GCTCCCCCACCTTCCCCCTCCCCACCACCCCTCCTCACCGCCTCCTCCGCACTCATCTCACAAGCCATCACCACGGCACTCTTCACCGCAGCCAAACTGCCATCCTCTTCCCCACTTTTCCAAATCTTGACCCTCACATCATCCGGGGCTAATGCTCTCAGCTCGTTCTCCAACCTTCGCTTCATCCCGACCGCATTCGCCAAGCCACCGACGAGGACGATGTTGGACCACATCATGTCAGCTGCTGCTTTGGCCTGCGGTATGGATGAGCGGGAGACGGAGGTGATGGAATCGAGGACGAGTTCCGGTAGAGGTTGCTGGTCGAGGTTGAGGGAGAGAGGGTTGAAGAGGTGTTCGGTGATGCTGAAGCGTTCGTTTGTCAGGGTGAGGGTTTGTAGGTCGGCGGGGTCTTCGTCTGATGTAGGGGACGAAGTGCTGATAGGTTTCGAAGTGTTTGAAGAGGATGGGCAGGAGGAGGAGGCGATGAATGCAGATTCGTAATCTATCAAGTCGAGCTTCGCGCGTTTCCGAGATGAAGAGCCATCATCTTGTCGTACCTCGTCCACCTTTGGTCCTTCCAGAACGTACCCATACCTGGCCCTATCCCGTCCCTCACCCATCCCTCCGCCACCCCCGTAATCAGGCAGACTCCAAGTCACCCCAATTCGCCCTCCCTTCTCCCACCGACATATCATCAACAGATCCTCGTAACTCCACTTCCCCGGCCTTTTCCTCCTCACGTCCTCCAACACCCTCCTCTCATTCCCCTTCGTAACCACCACCCTTTCCCCCACCTCCGGAGCTACGAACACCGTCTTTGCGAAGATGTAGGACATGAGCCACGACTCGTCCATCATGTCGAGCTGCTGGAAGGAGAGCGTCTCTTTGAGGAGGTTGATGAGCATCTTGCCGCCGAGTTCGAGTCGACGGATGGAAGGGGTGTGGGGTTGGGAGTTGATGATGGGGATGGCGTGGCAATAGGAGTAGCCGAGGTCTATGACTAGCATGGCTTGTGGACGGGGAATGGAGAGGAGACGTGGGACTGACGAGTCGGTGGTGCCGTTGGTGGACGAAGAAATTCGTGGCGCTCGATGGGGACGTTTTGCCGCTGCAGCACTGCTCGCTGATGCATCCGCTGCTTGCGATGCTGCCTCTGCATCGTCCTCATTCCCCAGGCCGCTCGCGATCGATTCTTCCGCTCGAAACACCTCAGTCCCTAACCCCACCAGCCCCGCCGCACCACACCTCCAAACCGCTTGCGCACCATACTGTTCGAACATCAACAAGTCCATCGCCGCCTGACTACCTTCCAGATTGAAATACGCTTCTGTCACTACCACCGCCTTTCCACTCAACAACTTCCCTCCCTTTTTGTTTCCACCGAGTTTCGCAAGGTGGCTGGTCAACACGTGATCCCAGATGGTTTTTTGCGCGGACCAATCGACGACGATTCCGCTCTGATGTGGTAGGCGTAGATGGAGGGCTGCATAGTCGTCGAGCAGGGAGTGAATGTGGGAGGAGACGAAGATGGAAGTTTTGGTGCCCGGAGGTGGTGCGGTGCTGGACGACGACGACGAAGGAGGGATGGTGTGTGGTGTACGTGTGCGTGCGATAGCGTTGGGAAATACGTCGATTGCGATGGATCGTGCGAGGATGGATGGATCGATGACGGGAGGTGATGTTGAGGAGGAGGCGGCAGAGATGGATTCGGGGGAGAAGGGATAGGGTATGGAAGCGATGCGGATGTTGTGCGCTCCGTTGTCGATGATGATGATGTGATCTACGCCTGCGAGCGGATCGAACGAGTCGGTGGGTTGAGAAGCCATGTTGGAGGTCGATGTGGGCATCTTGGCGATCCGTCAAGCAGTCGGGCTGCTGCTGTGGATGACGAGGTCGCGAAGGTTGAGAAGGTACGAGAGCGACAAGCTAAACTGGACCCTGAACACAGACGCCGCGGGATTCTTTTCGAGCTCAACATCAACGTCGATCAAACATCTGATCGCGGATCCAAAAACCGCGAGACCTGCTGAGCTGATCCTCGATTGTTCCCCGATTCTCGTCACGCTGCAGTTTCCTCCACACGGCTGCACAACGGCGACTTTTTTTTACTCGCTAAGAAGCACATCACTTCCAGATCTTCCCAATCGACCCGAGACGCTGATCCGATCCATTCATTACTCAATCCTCTCTGTCTCTTTTCGTCACTGGACCCTGTCTCTTGCCGTCTTTACAGACAACACCTCCCTCACTCCCTCCTTCTCCGTCCAATCCTACCGTCATCTCTCCAACCCACGCCCAGCCATCATCGTAAACACATCACAATGTCTTTCGGTCGACCACCAACGTTTTCCGACTTCAAAGTATCACCACCCGAACGAGGCTCCTTCCCGTTGGATCATGAGGGTGAATGCAAAACCGTCATGCAAGAGTACATGAACTGCATCAAGTACAACGGCAACGACAATGGGAAATGTCGACACCTTTCCAAGGCGTATTTGCAATGTCGTATGGACAAGTACGTGTTCCCCACTTTTCCCGCACCCTTCACCCTTTTTGCTCTCAACTGACGTTGTTTTGTTTTCTTTCGGGGTAGGGGTTTGATGGAGCAGGACAACATGGACAACCTCGGGTTCAAGGACGTCATCGATCCCCCTTCCAGCGGAACTTCGAACGCTGCTGCAGACAGACGCGCCAGTCAGGGCAGATCCGCTCACTCCGGAACCACCCCGAGCTACGCCGGCGACACTCACGGTGCAGAGGGCCACGTCAGCAGCTCAAAGGCAGGCAGCGGTAGCCCCGCAGACGAAGCGAATAGAGGACCAAACGCCGGCTTGGGAAATGCCAAGGGGTTCGTCAGTAAACAGGCAGGCAGCTATGCCGGTGATAGCTCTGGAAGAGGTGGTGCTGGACGACTCGTTTGATGAGAAACATGCAATGCGAACGAAGAATGACAGATTCAAGCCCAAGAAGCTAAGAACGTTTGTGGAATCGCGGGTTGTGCGTGAAGACCGAAGTCTGGAACTTGTTCAACGAGATTAACAAAGCCCAGAAATCGAGCCGAAAAAGAAGGCTTCAAAATACCGACTACGCAATCATGTCCTCCTCAACACAGGTTCACACCCGGTCCAATCCATTCTTCTGATACGGGGCTGCTTCACATCTATCGACGAAAGAGTACTGTACAGCCACGACCGTGCAAAACACTCTACCACAACTCGTTTTCTACATGTACGAATGCTTGTCAAACAGCCCTCCTTTTCCAATCACTTGTACTTGTTAACAAAATCAGTGTGGAACTTGCCGTACCTCTCGATGAACTCGTCCGTCTCCTTTGCCAACACCGTCGTCCTAAAGAAGCACGCACCCGTTCCCTCCTCCGGCATCTTTCCAAACCCACTTCCGGGCACAACACAGATTCCCGTCGCATCGAGCATCTCCAAGCAGTAGAACTCATCCACCTTCTTGCCCTTCTCCTTGGCTGCCTCGTGCGCCTTCTTTGGCAGGGTCACCCGCGGGAACAGGTACAAAGCTCCCTGAGCAGGATCCACTTCTACACCCGGCAACTGGGCAAACTTTTCCGCCATGCGTTCCGAACGCGATTTGAGCGTTGCATGGATGCCCTCGACTTCCTGCTTGTAGAGCTCGTACGAGGGTGATCCAGGGGTGGGTGGTTTGACGAGCATGTCGACGCCGATCTGACCTTGAAGCGAAGGGCAGAGCGAGATGGACGCGAGCTTGTAGATCTGCGCTTCCACCTCCGAGTCCATGTTGGTGAGCTCAAAGTAACCACCTCGTCGACCGCATTCGCCCGAAACGCCTTTCGAGATGCTGTGGAACGACACCAGCTCGACGCTGGTGGAAATTTCGCGCTCTGCGGCATTGTTGGACGACTGGAAGTCCATGAGCACCTTCTTGAACGAGTGGAAGGGTCGTGTGTCGGGTTGGTAGATGTTGGCCTGGTACACTTCGTCGGCGAGAAGCACGACGCGCTTGTTGTACGCCATGCGGATCAGGTCCTGAATGTTTTCGTAGGAGAGACACTGTCCAGTAGGGTTGCCTGGGTTGATGACCGCGCAGGCACGAACGTCGACGCCGTTGGAACGAGCCTCGTCGATGGAACGCGACATGGCATTGACGTCGAGCGACCAGTCGTCGAAGGGATTGAGATCGTACCTGACGGGCTGCGCGTTGTAGAGCGCAAGCGCAGCGCTGTAGAGCGGGTACTGAGGGATGGGGATCATGACGCCCGAGTCGGAACCGGCGATAAGCACCTGCAGCAAGAGCTGAACACCGCCACTGGCACCCGTAGTGAGGTAGATGAGTTCGGGGTCCGAAGGATATCCGTCACGCTGCTCGATAAACTCTGCGACGTGCTTTCGAACGATGGACGCACCCTTGGAGTGCGAGTAGGCACCGACGCTGCCAATGTCCTCGAGCAACAGCTTGGCACGCTCCTGCGTGTCCTTGGGGAACATCTTGTCGATGCCAGGCTGGTCCATGAGCTCGGGATATTCGGTGAGCGCAGCCACCTGACGCCAAAAGGTAAGTGGCTTCTGTGCGAGGTATGGCTGCTGCTGCGGGTTGCCGATGTTGGCGGTGACCACCGACGAGAAGGGGAGGTCCGCATCGCCCTGTGCGATCTGAGCGGCGTACTTGTTGGCACGGTTCGAAATCTCACCACGCACGGCATACTCGGCCTCGAGGACGTGCGGGTTGATGGAGTTGGTGGTTAGCACGGGCTTGTAGCCGCCGCTACTGGATTTAGAGGATGAGGCAAAGTTGCGGGACGACGAAGCCTGCGTCGTGTACGACGAGCCGTAAGCGGTATCGACGGCCATGCTGGACGATGAGCCGGACGAAGCGGAGGATCTTGACACGGAGCGAGGCCTAGTGGTGGACGTGGTCATGCTTGCGAACGGCGAGGCAAAGGTAGACAGAGCTCGACGCGATGGTAGAGCGGAGAAGGAGGAGGAGGTGGCAGAGCTGCAAGTGATGGTGGAGAGGGAGCGAGCGCAGGGAGAGAGGGTGGAGGATACGGCAGCGGTCGAAGGGGCCCGTGAGAGGGCGACGCGGAGGAGAGACATGCGGGGCAATGGCACAGAGCGGGCAGCGCACGATAAGACGAGGAGGACGAGACGTCACACGGACCGGTGGGGTAGGTGCTGGGCGGCAGGAACCGATAGACAGCTGCTGCAAGCCAAGCGAGGATCGCGGAGGAGAGCGAGAGTGGGAGGCGGAAAGGGACCGGAAGCGGCGGAAGGAGATGTGGCCGGGGGGAGAAAGATGATGCAAGCGTTGAAAGCGTGAGGGCGTCAACGTCACAGCAAGCCAAGTCAAGTTGCCGAGTGTGACTCTGTCTGCGGGCTGAACCGGATATGAGGTTCAAGAGCAAGAGAGAAAGCGTGCAAGCGGGCTTCAGACCGGCCAAACATATACCTTTGCCAAAGCGTAGAGAAATCGGCGAAAATTTTTCCCTCCCGAGTCTTGTGTAAGTGTGTGTGTGTGTGGCCTTCTGACTCAATCATGAGTCCGATACGCAGCGACTTGACAGCCGCGAAATTGGCCGTGACGCTATCGACTTACTCTAGCTTCGACGAGTCACCTCTGCGCTCTGCCACCACCTCGGGATCGAGCCTGCAAACCCCATGTGACGCGGTCATGTCCGCCGCAAGAACCAAAGAAGCTTAAATGAGTCGGTACAGCCGGCCACAGTCTGGCTCCACCAGACACGAATATCCGCGAATTTCCAGGTACGACGGCTAGGAACAACAGTCTAACAAGGGCGAAAAAGCCAACTTTCACTTTTCGCGAAGCTAGCTACAGTAGCTGCTCTTCAGACCCGTGCCTCTCTCGCACTCTCTTCTCATCATTGGGACGCTGCATCACTCAGTTGATCGATTGACCTCTTTTCAGCGGTTGCGTGAGATGTGTTCAAAAGGAGAATTGCTGGTTCATGCCAAGTCGGAACAGATGCGGAAAGCTATAGGGATGTATGTGTTTATGCCGGTAAGTTTTGTGTGTATGCTGAGCAAGAGATCGAGACTGTACAGCCTTCGGTTAGACGAGCGAGAAGGACAGTACAAAACAGCGACGAAGCTGTGTAGTCTAGTAGGCGTACGATGCACGCGAGCGCTTCATGGGTCGCCCTAGCACATCCACCTGTGCTTCGTGTCCCGGTCGTAGTTCATCCGACAACCGCTTCCGCTGACTCTGCGAGCGCGACAACGTCTGTGCTTGTAGCTGATACCTTTCTCGCTCGTCCATGGCCATCACGTGGCCGCGCTCGTCGCCGCTTCTGTCATTGTCGTCGTCGTCATCGTCGTCGCTCCAATTGGTCTGATCCAGACGAGCTAGAAGGGCGTCTCTGGCTGTTTGTCTCGCCTCTCCGCCAGCGTTGAGATCGTGGCTGTCGCGTATGATGCTCTGAAGCCTAGCCGAGCTCGGTGGGGCGACTGCCTCGCCACGCTCCTGTGAGCTGGAAGAGCGACGCGAGCATGCTCCCGTTTGGTCCTCACGCTCATCCGCCTGATCCGAGCTGTGCGACGACGGCTGCTTGTACTGTTGCTGAGCAGAGATCTGAGCAGCAAACAATCCGCCTCCTGTGCGTCGATCGGCGTAGCACTCTTCCTCACCGTAGCTGCTGCTGCTGGTTGCACCGCCAAACTCGTCCCCGACCCACTCGACAGAGCGCGAGACGTCTGCCGCGGATGCACCTTCGCGTCTGCCGCTCATCTGCTTCGAGGCATCGGCTCGTACCGACGACGCGGACGCATCGGTCCGCGCCCGTTTGCTGCCGGACTGAGTCGCATCGATCGACATCGAAGGTGGGAAAAGAAGTCTGGGCTGTAGACGCGGAGGTCGTTCTGCATTGTGGTGCGGGTTGAACTCATTGGTCCTCGCACGCTCCTGCTCCAGCTCCGAATCGTCGTCATCCGAGTCGTACTCCGGATCGGCATACGTGACCCTCTGACCGCGGAAAACGTACGCGATCTTGCCGCGCTCCTTTCCGGGGATTTGCCTGGCGCGACGATACGCCTGATGCCTGTTGGGACCGTAGAATCCTTCGTCGGCCGGTCCTCCGGCGAGGAACGGGTTCTTGGGTGTGTCGCGGATGGGTACGGTCGAAACCACCGACTCGTTGTCAACCCTGACGCGTTCGGAGAAGCGGCGCGCGGGCCGGTACGCGACAGCCTGTCGGGCCCGTAGCGGAGGTGGTGTGGTGGCGTTGGACGAAGATGCTCGCGGCGTTGCTTCCTGCAGCGGTTCGCTTTCAATGCCTTGTCCATCGACAGAGCCTTCGGCATCCTGATCGCTATCAAATTCGTCGTGGTAGGCGTGCAAACGGTGCGCGTCCCTCGCCGCTTGCGTTGACGATGAAGCTACGGCAGGTCGACGGTCGAGGAACGGGTTGTGCTCGTCGTCCGACTCGAAGCCTCCGCCTTGATTGAGGGTACCGAAGCAGTTGCCGATAGGTGCGGCTGGCATCAGCTGTGGCCTCGAGGCGGCCACGCGGAAGGAAGCCTGCTTGCTAGCACCAAAAGCAGCCGCAGGCGCCTGCTCGACGTCGATGGTGAGAGAGGAAGAAGAGGATGCTGGTTGGACGAAGCGATCGCCTTCCGAGTCGGTACGGTGACGAGCATCGTGGTTGTCACGATCCTGCTGGTCGTGGCGCACGTCCTTGCTCATGGGCGGTGTGAGGGGACGCTCAGCACGCTCTGCATCTGAAAGCTTGCCGTCGTGCGGCTTGACCGGACTGCGGATGGTGTGGTGGTGAGCATACTGCTCGAAATAAACCTGCTTGTTGTGCTGAGCAACGCGACCAAAGACGTCGGCGGCATCGACGAACTTGTGAGTGTCTTGAACACGCGGCTGGTCCGCCTTGTGCGTCCTGCCGGATAGCGGAGGCGAGACGAGGCCTTGCTGGATCGACATGTTGGGAGCGTGCGGTCGCTCTGAGATGCAGCTAAAGCCAGAGACGATGCGGAAAGAAGACAGGAGCTCTGAGCGAATGCGACGTGCCTGGATGGGCGCAAGGCAAAGGGCTGGGCCGGGTCTTTCGCCGTGAAGCCCAAGAGTGTGATCGAATCGATAGGTCAAATTGTCATGGGCAGCAGGGAAGAGCACGAGGACGGAGATGGCTGAATCGACAAAAGTTGTGTACGTGCAAATGCGATGAGCTCGAGTCGTGTGGAAGGCCTGCTGTAGGCGTGGTAGAAGGGAGCGATGCCGAATTGAACCCGAGGAGCGGATGGATGCGATAGTCTGGAGCGAGCCTGATGAGTGATGCGTTGAAGTAAGTTGCGATGAGGAGCAGCTGATGCTGGACCGAGATGGAGCAATTAAGAGGGGTATGATGCAGAAGTGATGGTTGATAGTAGTGTAGAAGAATGGACGAAGGCAAGATGGAATGGGAGGAGGAGAGGGAAGAAAGCACAGGCGTCGATGAAGCGTACAATCGGTGGTCTTACAGAAAAAAGGATTCGACGAGACCTTTGGCATGCATGAGATTTGGATTGCAGGTGCGGGTCCAAGTCCCTTTGACGCTAGCCCCCTGCGTGACTGTGGGAGCTCGACTTGCTGTTTACGTCGTTTCTGCCGCTCGCTTTTTCGACGGTGACCAACAGCACACTTCCGATGCCGCTCTCTGCACACACACCACAAGACAGCGCCGTTGCGGCTTTCAAGGATGAGAGGTACGAAAAGCCAGCCAATCTGCTTGTGACCGTGCGATCGTGCGACGCGTCGTGCACGATCCGACAAGAGTGTGAATATAGAGAAGGAGGTTCTGCAGGTGGAACTTCATCAAACGCACTGTGCCGTGCCAGCCTCAAACTCAGCCAGCCTCTTTTTCGCCCTTTCTCTCTACAGTCACATTTTGCAATTTGGTCTGCAGGCGCGTGTTTTCGCGTAAATTGCTGCATCTGGAACGCGTGTCGGACTGTCTCGACGTGTCGCGTAAATGACGATTCACGAAGAGATCGGTGAGCAAAAGCTACCGCATCGGCTGAAAACAATCGGGGATCGTTCGTCATCATCTTGGCCCAAGAATTGCAAGCTGGAAGCTTCGGAAAATTGACAAGACGGATCTGACCCCAATTTCGAGAGACGCGATCTCGCAAGCGACGTCGCTTATCGGAATTGCAATGCCCAACAAGCGGACAAAGGCGACTGGCTCGCTTTCAATTTAGGTTTTCCGTTGCCATGCGATTCCGACTTCGATACGGATTGCGCACAGTCACCTTTCTTCGCTCTACGTTTATCACACGACATCCTCCTTTCGATTTCAGCAGCCCTCTGCGACCGCACAACGGTGATAGCAGCGACAGCAGAGGCAAGAGCAAGGCCAACGGCACCGGTGAAAGAAGCAGCAGCAACAGCACCCGCAGCCCTAGCGGCAGTACTAGAATGTCGGCCGCATCATCTTTCGCAGCGCTCAAAGCCCAGAGGGACGCACGGCGAAACCCCTTCTCTCTTGCTGCTCCTTCAACCGCTTCGAGCACCGAAGATGTACAGCACGGCGAGCACACGTTCGTAGGCGGGGACATGAGCCCACCGGCACCGTTCTCGGCAGCGGAACTTCCATCCGGAGCCGTGCCCATCCCTTCGAGTCGGCCGCCACCGGCAGCGTCGACCGCGACTGGAACTAGCATCGGCATGGATGAAGTCGGCGCTTTTGAATCGCCCACAATGCCGGGCATGGGCGAGGCCAAAGGTAAACCTCCTCCTGGCGCAGCTGGTAGTAGAGTGCGGCTACCGGACATTCAAGATCTCGAGCTTCGCTTCGATACCTACTCGAGCGAGCGTGCTCTCTTCTATGCACCTCTTCCCAAAAATGGTCCGAGGCCATCCGACTTCTCCACTGCCGCATCTTCGTCCGCCTCCCGCTCGCTCTCTGGATCGCTCTCGTATTCCTACTCGCAACTGCTGTCCAGCTCCTACTCGGCTCCCGGTGGATGGGCGGCTGCAGGCATCTCGAGCTGTCGACCGGGCGATGTGCTCCTGCGTGTCCGCCCCGAGGTTGCCGTACTCTCTACAGCTCTTCTAGAAAAGCGCTGCTCGGCTTGCTATTCGCCCCCTGGGCCCGAAACTTCCACCACTCCCGGGACGACATCCTCGGCTGGCAGGCTTCAAAGATGTTCGGGTTGCAAGGTGACCCGCTACTGTTCCGCCGCCTGCCAGAAACGCGATTGGCCCGCCCATCGCGACGAATGCAAAGCGCTCAAAGCCATGCAGCAGCTCCATACGTTCCGATCTGCACTGCACCAGCAGCAGAAGCTTGATCAACGCCTTGCCAGCAGGCACGCAAAGACCCAGTCAGCAAGCACACCTTTTGGTGTCGGCTCGTTCCAGGACAACGATCAGGTCGTTGCTGCCGCAACTGCAACCGGGCAGTACCAAGAAGCAGAAAGTGACGGTGAAGATGAAGACGGCATGAACGAAGATGACAAAAAGACGCCCACCGGCAGCAACGATCGCATGCGTCTTCCTAGCGCCATGATGCGTGCCCTCGCTCGGTGGATTTGGGCTCGCAGCCGCATAGGCACCGGTGGCAAGGACAAAGCCAGGGGGGACGGCAGAGACTTGCTCGAGCTTTGCTCGCATCGAGAACGATTCGCACCAGAACAGCTTCAGCAGCAGGCGCAGCTTGCCATTCACCTCGCACAGTATCTCACCGCAGCCGCGCGAGCAGCCGCCACATTCGGACCAGTGTCGAGGGGCGAGGCGAACCTAGACGATATGATGCAGCCCGACACTGCCTTCTCGCAGGGCGACGCGTTGCGAGCGCTGGGCATCGACTCGGCCACGGAGCTGCTCGACCTGGTCTGCCAATTCTCGTGCAATTCGTTCGCCCTCACCGATAGCGATCTGAATGCGCTGGGAGTATGTCTGCATGCCAGCATGGCCATGATCAATCACGCTTGCACACCCAATGCTGCCGTCGTCTTTCCGTTCGGTGGTGCAGCCAAAAGTGGCCAGCAGAGATGGAACGATGGCGACGACAAGATCATGCAGCTCGTGGCCCTGCGCGCGATCGAGCCAGGCGAGGAGTTGCTCATCTCGTACGTCGACATCAGCGACACGTACCAAGATCGTCGCAGTTACCTCAAGAAGCGATACTGCTTCGACTGCCGTTGCGAGCTGTGCCGCACGAGCCAGGCCAATCTGGGACAAAGCGGTGCGCAACCATTTGCATCGTCAACGCCGTCCTCGTCGTCTCAGCAGGGCTTTGGAATGCATCCCCCGCAGGCTGCCAAATGGATCGATCCCCGGCGTGCTATTTGGTGTCCGCACCGATGCGGCGGCTGGATAGACGGGGCCGCCCTTGAGTCGCAAGCCAATGTGACAGCCGGTGCTGCCAGGTGCAACAAGTGCCAGTCGATGTCCAATGTGACAGCGTCGGACGTGGCAACGGACACGCAGCACGCCAAGGACACGCTCAGGCAAGCCTCGCGGTTGTTGGACCAAGGAGGTGCCGAGGCTGCATGGACGCAATGCGCCCGAGTGCTGCCTTTGCTGGTCGACCGATATCCGCCTTCATGGCAACCTCTGTTCCATTTGCTGAGACTGGCAACGATGTGTCTGATCGAAGCTGGCTCAACTTTGCTGTCACTGTCATCATCACAGACGTCAAACACAGAGGCGGCCATCTACTGCTTTGACGAAGCGGTGAGGATACAGATGCTGGTGGTGGCAGGAACGCAAGCGTCCAATACGCCCATCTATTCCAAGGGCTCTCCAGCCAGAGCCATTGCGATTGCCACGCTGGCCAAGCTGGTGCTGGCGCAGTTCGACCACCCACACCGCCTCGATCAGCAGGGATTGCAGTTCAGCACACACTCCGGTGCTCCAGTGTGTCGAGCGGCTGTCGAGCAGGCAGCGGCGCAGGGCAGCAACACCCTGTCCATCCTCAGAGATGCAGCGAACGTGCCTGAAGAGATGCGAGTGGAGCTGGCCAGGCAATTGCTCACACAGTCGATCGAAGAGCTCGACGTTGGGTTCGGACGCTCCAACCAGGGGGGCCGCGCAGGACTCGAGATGCGCACGGCACTCCAAGAGATGGAAGAGGAGATGGCGTTGCTGGCCCAGACCCGCTCGATGTCAGTGTCGTAGCGTCACTCTATGCTTGAAACTCAAAAGCAGAAATCCAAGCTTAAAGCTGTGAGCAAGAACATACAATGCGCTGAAAGAGCAATCGTCGTGTGAGGCAGGGCAGTTGCATGCCTAGTGAGAACGGCGAATCGATTGAGCATTAGTGCAATTCGGCACTCCGACGCGTCTGTGCTCAACGCGACCCGTCTATCTATCTGAACAAAGGGCTGCTGAGCTGCAAGTGCAAATTCGGCCTGAAACGCGTAACGAATCCAACACTTTTTGGTCGGGGCATGCAGCGCGCAAAGGGGCACAGGCGAGAAGGCTGCGCTCTGCTCATGATTGAGAAAGACAGTGCAGCTTCCTTTGGCTGAAATGTGCACAGATGCGCAGTATCAGGCTCTTCCGGCTCGACGCGCTACTCCCTCGATCCTTGGCTCCACTCGCTACGACTTGTCGCTCGCTTCCTCGTCGACGTCAACGCTCTCCGTGCATCAGCTTCTTGTCTTCCTAGACTGGTCACATCCGTGGACTCATCCCTCGAGTCGACTCTCTTCGCGGACATCCTCAGCATCGAGATCTAGGACGCTTTCTCCCTCCGCACCACCACTACGCGATCCGGCCTTCCTCTCATCTTGATCCAGCGGGACGAAGCCTCGATCCTCTCACATATACCCGCTTGCACGTCATGGTCACCGCCACATCCTCCGCCAGCTCGACAGTTGGCTCAGTGTCGACAACGGCACCAGCAACGCGCAGGCAAGCGCTCGCCCGTCTCACACTCAAGGGCAAGCTCTATCAAAAGGGCACCTCCACAGATGCGCTACTCAAGCGTGTGCGTCAAGTACGCACGGAACTCAGCGAGATGGACCAGGATGCAGTCGATGTCAACTCTCTCAAGGATATCTGCAAGGAGCTCGTCACGCCCGCCCTCATGCTTCACAAGGACAAGGCCGTCAAGGCACATGTCGCTTGCTGCCTCGCCGACATGCTTCGTCTCTTTGCACCCAACGCACCCTTCACTCCTTCCGAGCTGCGCGACATCTTTCAGTTCTTCCTCCACCAGCTCACTATGCCGCAAGCCGGCCTTTCAAAACCCAACGGCCCGCAGTACCCAGAATACTTCTACCTGCTCGACAGTCTAAGCAGCGTCAAGTCTGTTGTGCTCATCTGCGATCTCGCCAATGCTGACGAGCTAATGACCGACTACTTTAAGGGATTCCTCGACCTCGCGCGACCCGACATGTCCAAGAATGTCGAAATTTGCATGGCCGACGTGCTCGTCCAGCTCATTGACGAATGCGTAACGCTTCCATCCGAGGTTCTCGATCTTCTGCTCGCCAACTTCACCACAAAGGCCGTCAAACACAATCCATCAGCACACCGCATCGCCGTCGAGGTCTGCTCCAACACTAAGGACCGACTGCAGAAGAACGTCGCGCAGTACTTCAACGAGGTCATCCTCTCTGCCACACACGAAGACGATCAGGATGAGCGGCTAGAGAGCCTTCACACGGCTCACTCCCTTATTGTCCAGATCAACCGGGTCGTGCCATCGCTTCTCCTCAATGTGATCCCACAGCTCGAAGAGGAGCTGCGTATCGAGGATGTTCAGCTTCGTGTCCTCTCCACCAAGGTGCTCGGCCAAATGTTTGGCGAGAAGCCCTCCTCCACTGCTGGCGAGAGCAGCGACCTGGCACGCAGATATGCATCCACCTGGCGAGCGTGGCTTGGCAGAGCCAATGACAAGTCGTCCAGCCTCCGCGTGGTCTTTATCGAGTCCACAAAGCCCATCCTCGTCAACCATCCCGAACTGCGTCACGACTTGTCGCCCATCCTCGAACGAAAGCTCCTCGAGCCTGACGAGCGCGTCCGAGCAGCGACCGCCAAGATGATTGGCTCGCTCGACTACGAGACGGCGTTGCACCACATCGACAAGTCGGTGCTGCTCACCGTCGCCGATCGATGCAAGGACAAGAAGACGCTCGTGCGCAAGGAGTCGCTCGAAGCCATGGGCAAACTCTTCGACATGGCTTTCTCCGAGATCGAAAACAACGACCCAGCAGCCATCCAGCAGTTTGCGTGGATCCCACAGGAGATCTTCAAGTGCCTCTACGCTGGCAGCAGCGAGCTGCAAGTGCTTGTGGCTGCCACGGTGGAAAAGTACATTCTCCCCATCCCAACCAACCTCGAGGAGGATGACGTGGCGTCCACCAATCGCCTCTTGCTAGTGATGAAGTATCTCGAACCCGAAGCCACCAGGGGGCTGCTTCGTTTGAGCAACCTCATCTACGCACGTCCGACGTTGCACGACAAGTTCATCGACTGCTGCGAGGAGTACAACGGAGGTGATGTGGCGCCAAACAAAGACTCTTCTGTCGTAAAGACGGCCATGGCGGATCGCATCCGGCGCTGCGCCTCTCTCTTTGCCGACCCGGAACGCGCAAAGACGGATCTTCACGCTTTCGCCAAGCTCAACGACTCGCGCATCTACCGCCTCATCCGCACCTGCTTCGATCCACAGACCGACCTCAAGACGGCCACAAAAGCGCGGAACGATGCGTTGCGCCGCGTGGAAAACGCGAATGCAAGCATCCTCGACACGCTCACCACCTTTGTACGAAGCGCATCCTACTTCATCCTCAACCGATCCTCGGTGCCTACGCTCATCAAGAAGGTCTCCTACCAAGGCGCATCAGCATCGCAGCGATCAAAGGCGTCTTCGTCTTCTCAATCTCAGTCGAGCGATCTATCCGATGCAGAGACGCATCGGGCCACGGCCAACGAGCTGCTGGAGTTCATCGCCAAGCGATGTCCCGCGATGCTGGCGATGCATGTGCCCGAACTTTGCAAAGCGCTTTTTGAGGAGTCGAACGCAATGCTTACACAAACTTGCTTGCAGGGTCTCGCCTCGGTAGCGCAGTGGAACACGGCCAAGGTGCAGCTGGACAAGAAGGCGGTGGAACGCTTGGCCAAGCTGGTGCTCAAGGGAACGCCGTTGCAGGCCAAATTCGCGTCCAAGCTGCTTGCGATCGTCGCCACTGGCGGAGCAAGAGGCGGACGCAAGGCAGTTGGCCAGAAGGCGGGGACACCCGGGGCGTCTGTGTCGAGCAGCGTTGCCTTTGGTGTGCTGGAGGAGGTACTCGACTCGCTTGCCAAGCAGTTGGCTGCTGCCAAGCCCGAGCGACAGGTGGCCACCCTGTACAGCTTGGCGCAACTGTTCAAGCATGCGCCTGATGCGTCGGAGAACGTGAGCAGCACCGTGGTGCGCACCATCCTTTCCGACATTCTGCTCAAGCCGCTGCCGGCGAGCAAAGCCAAGGCGTATGCCAACGGCAGCGAGGATTGGATCGAGGATGCAGCCGTTGACAACGAGTTGCAGGCCAAGCTCTTGTCGTTGCAGGTTCTGACTAGACGTTGCGAAGCCTTTGGTGAGACGGACAGCGCCGGCGATATGGCCAAGCCGGTCTTCCGACTGCTGTGGGCCGTGGTGGGTGCGGGCGAGGCCAAGGCTCTCAACACGCCCGCCCCGGCCAAATCGCGCATGCGTTTGCAGGCCGCCATCTGCGTGCTCAAGCTTGCGCGCCATCCTTCGTACGATGCATGCATCGGTCGCGAGTACCTCGATCTCGCGTTCATGGTTCAGGACGAGTCATTCAACGTGCGATCTCGAATGCTGCACAAACTGCTTACGTATCTGCAAGCACGAAGGATCGACGGTCGATTCTTGGCGATGGCGTTTTTGGCAGCGTACGATCCCGAGGACGAGAACCGCAACATGGTAGTGAGGTACTGCCAATCCAACTCTCGCGGTATGCCCGCGGAGCAACGGTTGAAACACCTCGACGTATCCTTCCCGCGGTTGCTGCATCTGCTCGCTCACCATCCGGACTTCTCGAGGGAGACCAAGGAGGATCTGCTACAGTTTGTGAGGTACCTCGAATTCTTCCTCGGCTCTTTGGCCAGCGCATCCAACGTTTCTCTTTTCTACTACCTCGCAACGAGGGTGAAAGGTGTTCGCGATGCAGAAAGTCAAGGAGCGAGCGAAAACTTGTATGCGCTTTCCGAGCTGGCGCAGCTGGTGATCAAGAAGAGGGCAGCACAGCAGGGTTGGAGCATAGAGAGCTATCCGGGCAGGGTGACCTTGCCTGGCGACATTTTCAAACCCTTGCCGAGTCGAGAGGTCCAGAGGGAGATCTACGACCGTCAGTTCTTGCCCGGCGACCTGGTCAGGCAGCTGAGCGAGTTCAAGATCAAGTCCAAGGTGAACGGCGCAGGTGCAGGTGGTGCAGCCAAGTGGTCTGTCAGCAGCATCTCTGCTGCAGCCAAGAGCGGAACCAAGAGGAAAGGTGCCAAGGCGAAGGGCGGCAAGAGGAAGAAAAAGAGCAAGGACAGTGACGACGACGAGATGGACGAGCAGAGCAGCGAGTTGAGCGAGGATGACAACGACGGGAACGAGAGCAGCGACTTGAGCGAGGAAGAGTGAACGAGAGGCGTTTGTAAGTTTGTGTTTCAATTCTCAGTCTCAGTGTGATGGCCACAGGGATGCGCAGACCGTGTGTTCGAGAACGCTCATCAGCCAGCATAAGGTATAAGTACAAGTACAATGCAAGTTCCTGAGAATACAGTGTTAGCGTTCACCTCATCCAGCCGCCTCTTCCCCTCCCTGCGTCCGGATGACCTCTGCCACGGGGTCTGCCTCTACCGCCCCACCCGGCGCCGCTTCTGAACCCGCCGCGCGGGTGCGCGTGGCCCTGGGTGCCGCTGCCCGGGCCACCGCCGACGTCGTCGTAGTCTCTGTACTCGCCGCGCGCGGTGTCCCGCGGTGGGCCTGCAGGCGGGGGGAGCGCGGCGCTGTTCATTCCAGGACCGCTGGGGGCGGGCCCCCCGAGACCGAGGCTTCGACCGCGGATGCCGATTCCTCGGTTGTACGGGTCGGATGGTCGGTCGTACGGCGACACCGGTGCTCCACCTGCTCCGCCTCCTCGTACAGCGTCGTCATATTCGGTCGCAGAGGGACGACGATAGGGAGCGTAGTGCGGGTGGTCGCCGCCGCCGCCGCCAATCTCACCGCCTCCCGAACCCAGATCGTCACGTCCATAGTTTGGATCGTCCCTGCGATAGCCCGGCCGCGAATGAGCGAGATCCCGACGTTCGCGTCCCCACCCACCTCTGACACCTTCACGTTCACCCATACCACCAGAGGGATCACGCGATCGCTCGCCCCAACCCATGTCACGCCCTGCGCCTTCTCGCGTCGCTTCGTAGTGACGCGGCGGATAGTCCCCGCGTGCCTCGCGAACTTCGCGCGCCTCTCGTGCCTCTGCCCACGCCTCTGCGCGCGGGTCAGTGTCGCGCATGCTGGCTGGGCCTTTCGGCACACCGGCATAGTTGCGCGACGCGTAGCCGCCAGACGCGTTGGCAGGCAACGCGGTGGAGATCGGCGTAGGCGAAGTGAGACCGTGAGCGGGATAGCGTGGAGCCGCTGCTGACCCAGCGGAGCTGCCAGTGGAAGGCGTGTTGCCGATTCCAGCGGCCGCACCTGTATGTCCAACGCGTGCTGGGGTAGAAGTGACAGCAGACGACGTAGACAGTGTTGCTGCAGCCGGACCCGAACCCAAACCCGGACCGGGACCCGGTGCCGACGCTGACGTCGGCGACGGTGCCGTAGTGCTGGTAGAGCTGGCAACAGTGGAGGATGCGGGCATCATGGAAGACGGCGGCAGATTGTTGCCTGGAGGACTCATGAATGCACGAGGCGCCTTGGGGGGATTGAAGTTCGACGAGCCAGAGGGGGAAGGTGGGAGTCGGCCGCCTGACTGTGCATGTGCCCCACGCGTAGGTCCAAGTGAAGGAGACCGCAGCGGCGCTGACGATCCAAAAGTAGCTGCAGTGGGAGTGGTCGCCTGACTTGCGCTAAATGTAAGGGGCCGGACGAAACCGTCTGCGTCTGCCCCAGCAGATCCACTGCTAGGGATGCCCGTATGCTGAGTGTCTTTGTCGCCGGCAGAAGCAACGGATGCAGCTCGGTTGTGCCGTGTCTCCAGACGCATCAGCAACGCTGACGAGTCAGTGCTGGACCCGACAGCGGGCAGTGCGCTAGTATTGGACGCGGGTGACGAAGCCGGCCCAGCCAGGCTGGTGGTAGCACCAGACTCGACACGAGCCCCCGTGTCTGACCCTTGAGTGAGCGCCACAACAGTGTCTTTGGCTTGACTTGACGGTGCGGAACCGTGTTGGAAAGACGGAGTGGTGGCAGGTTCTGGAGACGGCGACTTTGGAATCTCGACCGAGCGGATGGCAGTGGGTGCCGAGATGGACGTGAAGAGCATGCCTCGGGACACGGATGCGGATGCCTTGCTCGTCTCGGCAGCATCCGCCGCGTTGGTCACCGACGGCGGCGCCAAGCTAGTCGGAGTGGAGACAGTCTCAGCTGCCACCGCGGTCAAACTTGGCTCAGATGACCGAGTAGGGAGAACGAGCACGGGTTCGCTCTTCTCAAGTGCTGGCGAGGGCGATGGGCCCACCTCCGAAGTTGGCGTGGCACTAGTCGGTGTGAGCGGAGTTGCCGATGACGAGGCATTCTGTTGCCCCGACACGCGGCGTTCGGCGAGTCGACGCTTGTACTCGGCCAGAGACAGCTTGACTCTTGGCTCTTCCTTTTTGACCTCTGGGACAGGTGCAGGCGTCAGACTGGCCGCTGTGGTCTCGGCAGACGCCGCGTCTTCCTCAATATTGGGTTTGGCAGCCGCTTCCGTGTCCATTGGCACGCTTTTGGCTGGCTGCTCTGCCATGTCCAGCCGAGATGGGTCCTCTTCTGCCACCTTGGGCGTCGATGCAGCGGTTTGGATCTCCTTTTCGTCACTGGATGCTTCCGAGTCGGACAAGATGCGTCGCACCTTTTTTGTCTTTGCAACATTGTCCTTCTGCACGGGCTTGCGATCTTCTGAGGCAGGGAGGATTGCCGGCTTGTCCTGCTTGCTTGTCTTGCGCAGGAGGGCATCGGTGGCGAGCTGAGCGTCACCACGAGGAGGTGCCGCATCTCTGGTTCGGGAATCAGAGTCCTTCTTTGATGCGCGCGGCGTAGATGCACGGCTCTCGACGTCGGCCATAGTAGTATCTCCATCGTCGTCATCGGGACGCTGCTTGTCGTCCTCGGACACGTCTTCCGAGAGGCCTTCCTCGCTGGATTCTGTATCGCCAAGATCGAGGATCGCGTTGCGATGAATACGCGCCTCCTCTCTCTTGCGCCGCTTTGAAGACGATTCTTTGGGACGAGACTTGGACGATTCATTGTTGCGACCCGCGCCACGTTTGGCGGCCCGCTTCTTTTTGGCGAGCTCGACGTCCGACATGCGCCTTTCGCTCTCAAGACGACGCTTGATCGATTCGCGAGAGGTAGCAGGAGGCGGACTCGTCGTCGAATCGGCCGAATTAGGAGACGGAAGAGAAGAGAGCGGCGAGCTCGGAGCCACGACATTGCCCGCCTTCCTGCGCCTCTTTGCAGGGGTATTTGCGGAAGCGGCGTCGAGTTGCTCGTCTTCGTCCGAGGAAAAGTCGATCGGAGCACGTCCGGCGTCGAGCTTGCTCTTGCGCTTCGAAACTGACTTGGACTTGGACACGCTGTCTGCAGATCGCCTGCCCTTGAGTGCTTTGCCCTGGATACTGTCGTCCTCTCTGCCTTTTAAATCGCCGTCGAAAGCCTCATCGTCGTCGGAAGGCGCCATGACCGCCTTGATGCGAGTACGCATCGAGCGTTTCTTGGGAGGTAGCAGGAACAGACCGGACAACTCGGCATCCACAGCGTCACCGCCTTTGGCAGATCGTCGACGCGGCTGAAGGCCATCAACCGCACGTACGGCATCGATGAGGTCTTGATCGTCATCGTCGCTTAGCAATTCGTTGTCGCTCAAGCCGGAAAGGGGATCGGTGAGCGAGGAGGCAATAGAGCGCGTATCATCGGCGTGGTCGTCCAGATCAGAGGCGGCCGAATCGGATCTGTGGTCATCGCCAGCCATACTGATGCGTCGTTGCTTGGATCTGCCGGCCTTCCGACCTTTGCGGCGGCTGCCAACTGCTTCGTTGCCCCCACATCCGGCCTCGGCCTGGATGGCGGCTTCGTCGAGCGACTTGATCGTGCGAGACTCGCCTTCGGCTGCGAGAGCGGCGAGCAGGGCCTGATCTACCGGTGAAGCGGCGTCCTTAATCGACGTGTCCGGTGTCGGCGGCAAGCTGATTGGTCTCCAATGTCTGCGAACCCCAACCAGTGGCGAAAAGTCCGGAAGCTTGGCTCGACGATTGGTTTTGCCTGGCATGGTGACGTTGAGGAGCGACATACCGTTGCCGACCCTGAGCATCTGAGCGACGGCGCAGTCCTGCTTGCGGCCGTTGTTGGCGCTGGCACCTCCGCCGCCTCCAGGCGGAGCAGCAGAGCCTATACACGCGCAAAGTACGGAGCCGAGCAGCGCCGCAGCCACGGTGCTCATCTTGACCGAGAACTCGGTGTCGGCGTAGGGGAACTCGCCCTTCTCGGCGAGAGCGACCATGTGAGCTGTGTGCTGATCGGCATCGACGTCGTCGCCATGCGGCTCGAGATACGGATTCTGAACTAGTTCGGGCAGGAAGTGGACGATGTGGGCATCGTCCCACTCCCATCCGACGGTGATCTCGTGGGTACGAGTAATGTCGGTGAGCGCAAAGAGACCAAAGAGAAGCTGCGGCTCGTCGGATCGAAACTCGGCAGGCGGGGTGTCGGCGTATCGGTTGTTTCTCGCGGACGAGGCGAGGGCTGAAGCGGGCGACTGGGCTCTAGAGGCGGTGCGAGAGCGGCCAGGAGGTTGTCCGTTGGGATAGAAGAGGATGGGGCGAAGCACAGCGTTGGGATGGCAGCTGTAGCGAGCGAAACGAGCCTCATTTCCAAACCTGCGAGCGTCGATGGCGAGGTTGAGAGGTGGTGGGAGAAGATGAACGTGAGGCTTGGTGGCACCCAGAGCGGCATACTGGTTGATGGGATCGTTGCGGTATGTGTCGGCGCTGTACAGCTCGCCACGTAGCTCAGAGATGAATGCACCCGCAGGGATGGAGGAGTCGGCAAAGAGGCCGTGCATGACTGGTCTCGAGAAGGCGCGTGAAGCGGACCAGGATCGCTGCGGCTCGTCTGCTGAGTTGTTGACGTAGAGAAGATTGCTAAAGACGCCCGCAGATGCAGACTCGGAGATATGCCTCACGTACGTCCTGCAGGCGAGATCAGCCAAGCAGGGGCCAGAAAGCTCGACAGGGACGCATTCCTGACCAACGGCGGCGATACCGATGGGTTCTGATTCAGGCGCAGGAGAGGCAGGCGCGCGTGGTGACGAAGAGGAAGGCGATGATGTCGATGAGGAGGGAGCGAGTGATTCGAGATGCGAGAGTTTGGCGCTGGTGGAGGATCTGGGTGCGGTTGGGGCAAGGACGCGACCTGCTGGGCCCGGCACAGCTTTCAGCGGACTGCCGTCCTCCCAATCGAGCATGGCAAGCGCGAGGCTTTCGAGCACGGAGGGATCTGCAACGACATTTTTGCTTATCGGAGTGAACTCGATATGCCAAGCTTCGAGCTGATCCGCGAGGTCGAACGGGTCGTCTGCGCGATCGTGTGAGCTGCCAGGAGTATAAACGCCGCGAATAGGCGTCGAAACGGCCGACGGCGTGTCATAGCCTCTGCGAGAGCCTTTGTGGCCTTTGCGCTGTTTGGCCCCCCTCTGTACTGTGCCTGCGCTGGCAGGAATGTCTGGCACGACGAACTGCGTGTTGGTGAGGTCGAGAGCCTGGCTGGGCTTTCGCGCGCGGGCGGCAGCGGCAGGTGATGGAGCGTGGTTGATGCTCTGTTGATGTGTCGGCACCGGCTCTTGGGTAGGAAGTGGAAGCGCAGCGGATGTGGGCGACGAAACTGTATCGTGGGATAGATGAGATTGGCTGTATGTGGTAGCAGATGCGAGGGCTTGTTGCTGACGCTTGAGGTTGCGATCCATGAGCGCCTTGCGAGCTTCATTGTTCTTGCGCTTCTGCTGATGCGCTTGAGCAAAGGCGACATCAACGGGACGTGGTTCGCACTGCTCGCAGAGGTACTCGTCGGGCACGGAGGCCTGCGACATGCCGAAGCAGGCGCAATGTTGCCAAACGAGACACCTGTCACACTGGATGGTGAAGCCGTCGTCGTCGTCGCATCCACAGATGCAGCGAATGACGCCTGCTTCCTCATCGACGGTACCCTGGTCGTCGTCGTCCTGGGCAGCCTCGTCATCTGGTATGACCGGATCAGATGGTGGTTGATCGGTGGGTATTGTCGATGAGGCTGAAGGGAGATGGTTTGCAGGCGAGAAGTCGGTGGGCAAAGATTGTGATTGAATGGTGGATGAGGAGGAAGGTGCACCGCCTCTGCCAGCTGGAGGAGGATCCCGGGCAAAGACGCCCATGGCAGGCGGCTTGATCATGTTGAGCGAGGGTTGTACTAATGCAACGATGTAGAGACGTGTGCGTGTTGCGGTTGGATGTATGGGTGCACTCAAGCAGAAAGGTCGCTATGCGCGGCGTGTAACATTCTGCTAGGGACAGTGAGCGTGGATGCAAGAGCGAGGCGGTGGACTACTATAGTGCTGCAGCTGTCATAGTATGCAGGGTCTGAAGCAATGAACCCGGACAAGGACCGAACTTGAGAAAGACTGTGAGGCGTTGTGATGGATGATGCGTTAAGGAAGGAAGGTGTTGAGGGTGGTGGTGAGAGGCGATCGTTCGCCAAAAGGCGTTTGAACCACAACAATTTGCGAGGCTGAGCGATGGGATGAAGAGGGAGGAAGAGAGAGAGAGAGAGACACACAAGGAGAGAGAGAGTCGGTCGGTGCGACTCTTCCACACAGTCACTCAACGCCAGCGTCGGACCCGCCGAAAGCGTCGATTCGAAATGCAAGTTCAGCTCGACGCAAGAACCAAAACCGCGTCTCTCTTGACACAGGAGCACGGCTGCTCAAAAAGTTTTCCTCTTGGCTCACGACTCAGCCATGTCGACATTTCTTCAACGGGAATATCGCTGTTAAGTTCAACAATTTTGGCTGAGCTTAGCCGCGTCGACTTTTGCTTTCGTTCCGAGAAGATTTGCTCGCCCCGATACTTTTCCGTAGCATCGACACTGCATCGACTGCATCATCTGCATCATCACCTTCACCAACAACGCCGGCATCATCATCGGCTCCTGACTAGCATCGACTTGTTACGGTTCATCGTACACATTCTCTCTCCCGGTACAGGCGCCCTTTCCCGCCATCTCGCGCTCGACATTCAGCTTCGACAACGCCCATTTTTAGAAATCAGTAGCTCGTCTGACCCATTAGCCGCGAGGGAACGACAACTGAAATCCTGTCGCCACCCGGATCTTATCGCTCTTACGACCCCCATGATCACTCTATAGACATCTTATCATTGCAGCACACACTCCTTGGCACGAAGTGCGCACGGCGGGTCTCCGAACTTGACCGAAACATTGCACTTCCATCCGTCTCGCTTCACCTACCGTGGTCGCAGTGGCCGTCACAATGCCTCCCAAGAAGCCAGACCTCTCGGGCTACCAGTACTCGGCGCTCTCGTCCCTCGTCATCAATGCCGACCGCTCACATCGTCGGCCCGACGAGCCATCAGGCGAAGCAGAGTCGCTCGCCGGTCGCATCAATGTTCGCGACATGGGCACAGCAGTCAAGTCGGAGGGCGTAAAGAATATCGACAAGAAGCGCAAAAAGGCGCAGACCGACGACCAGCTCACTCAGCCGCAAGCAAAGCGTCAAGCTGCTTCGACGTCGTTCGCCAATCAAAACACTTACAGCGACATTCTCCAGGCCACTGCAGAACTCGAGGGTCTTCGCTACCACCCTAAGACTGCAGAGACAAGGGACGTCTACGAGCTCATCCTCGGTATCGTTCACACAGCACTCGGCGATCAAGCTCAAGACGTCGTGCGTTCGGCTGCAGACACCACCCTCGAGATTCTCAAGGACGACGATCTCAGAGACCTGGAGAAGAAGAAGGAAATCGAAGATATCCTTGGTCCACTCACCACGGAAACCTTCGGCCAACTTACCAATCTCAGCAAAAAGGTCACAGACTACGATGAGATAGATCGTGTCGACGCCAAGGCGGGCGAGATCGATGAGCAGACCGGCGTGGCCGTCATGTTCGATGACGAAGAGGAGGAAAGCGATCAGGACAACGTCAATTACGTCGTGCGAGATGGAAGCGACGACTCGGATGCTTCCGACGATGACGACGCCAGTGCACGCCAAACAGACGTCAAGAGGGAAGGTTCAGATGGAGGCACGGACGTCGACGTTGACGCCGATGATCAAGACGCACTCATGATCGGCTCCAGCGCCTCGGCTGCAAATGGCGCCTCGACACAACGGGATCCAAATCATGTCAGTCCACGCGACATTGACGCATTCTGGATCCAGCGTCACATCTCGCAGCATTACCCCGACGCACACGAGGCTAGCGAAAAGGCCGACAGCGCCTTTGACATTCTCTCTGCCGAGTCCGACGTCCGCGATTGCGAGAACAGCCTCATGGAGCTCTTCGACTACGACAAGTTCGAGCTCGTCCAGCTCTTCACAAAGAATAGGGATGTCATCGTCTGGTGCACTCGTCTAGCCCGTGCAGACGACGATGAGAAGGTCAACGTGCAGGTCGCCATGCGCGAAAAGGGCGTCGGCTGGATCCTCAAGGCATCCCAAGGCGACACTGCCAAGACAAATGGCGTTTCAGCCGACGCCAAGGCAGCCAATGGCACCACATCCATCGATCTTGAAGATGCTCAGCGCAAAGCAAAGCGCCTCACTTCACGTGCCACCATCGCCCCCGGATCTACAGCTCAGCCAAGACGCGGCGTCGACCTCGAGGCCATGGCGTTCACTCAGGGCGGTCATCTCAACACAAACGCAAAAGTACGCTTGCCAGAAGGCAGCTTCAAGCGTACCAAGAAGGGTTACGAAGAGATTCACATCCCTGCTCCCATCAAAAGGACCGTGGCCGAGGGTGAGCTCGTACCCATCGCCAGTCTGCCACATTGGGCCCAAGGCGCGTTCCCTGGCGCTACGTCGCTCAACCCTGTCCAGTCACGCTGCTACCCCGTCGCATTTGGCTCCGACGAACCCATGCTCTTGTGTGCGCCAACCGGCGCTGGTAAGACCAACGTTGCCATGCTTGCCATCCTTAACGAGATCGGAAAGTGGCGTAATGAAGCATCTGGCGAGATCGACCTCAACGCTTTCAAGATTGTCTACGTTGCCCCCATGAAGGCGCTCGTCTCGGAGCAGGCAGCCAACTTCCGCGATCGTCTGCAACCCTATGGTATCATCGTCAACGAGCTCACAGGTGACAGTCAGTTGACCAAAGCGCAGATTGCAGAGACGCAGATCATCGTCACCACGCCGGAGAAATGGGACGTCATCAGCCGCAAGAGCACCGACACGTCCTACACCAACCTCGTCCGCCTCCTCATCGTCGACGAAATTCATTTGCTGCACGACGACCGTGGCCCCGTGCTCGAAGCCATTATTTCGCGAACCATCCGCCGCATGGAGCAGATGAGCGACCCCATTCGTCTCGTCGGCCTGTCGGCTACGTTGCCCAACTACCAAGACGTCGCCACCTTTCTGCGTGTCAACCCGAAGACCGGCCTATTTTACTTTGAAAGCAACTATCGACCGTGCCCTCTCAAGCAAGAGTACGTCGGCATCACCGAAAAGAAGGCCATCAAACGCCTGCTGGTCATGAACGAAGTCACCTACGAAAAGACCCTCGATCAAGCCGGCAAGAACCAGGTGCTCATCTTTGTCCACTCGCGCAAAGAGACGGCCAAGACGGCCAAATTCATTCGTGACCGAGCTATGGAGCAGGATACCCTCAACCGCTTCCTTCCACCTTCGCCTGCCAGCCAGGAAGTGCTGCGATCCGAGCTCGACAACGTGACCGACAACGATCTCAAGGACGTTATTCCGTACGGTTTCGGTATTCACCACGCCGGAATGTCGCGTCTAGACCGTGAGCTCGTCGAAGCTCTTTTTGCTGATGGCCACCTCCAGGTGCTCGTCTCCACCGCCACGCTCGCTTGGGGTGTCAACCTCCCGGCGCACACCGTCATCATCAAGGGCACGCAGATCTACAATCCAGAAAAGGGCCGCTGGTGCGAGATCACACCGCAAGACATGCTCCAGATGCTCGGTCGTGCCGGTCGACCGCAGTTCGACACCTTCGGCGAGGGCATCATCATCACCAACCACTCCGAGCTCCAGTACTATCTCAGCTTACTCAATCAGCAGCTTCCCATCGAATCGCAGCTTGTTTCCAAGCTTGCCGACAACCTCAACGCCGAGATCGTGCTCGGTACCATCCGCAACCGTGACGAAGCAGTGGCTTGGCTCGGCTACACGTACCTGTACGTTCGCATGCTGCATTCGCCGACACTTTACAGCGTCACGGCCGACTATGCCGACGACGACCCCTTCCTCGAGCAGAAGCGTGCCGACATTGTCCATACCGCCGCTGCCCTGCTGGAAAAGTGCGGCTTGCTACGGTACGAGCGAAGCACCGGCAACTTTACATCCAACGAGCTCGGCCGCATCGCGTCGCACTACTACATTACACACGACAGCATGGCGACGTATCACCAGCAGATCAAGCCGCAGCTTGGTCCCATCGACCTGTTCCGCATATTTGCGCTCTCCAACGAGTTTCGCCACCAGGTGGTGCGACAGGACGAGAAGCTCGAAGTGGCCAAGCTGCTCGAACGCGTGCCCGTGCCGGTCAAGGAATCCGCCGATGACCCGATCGCCAAGGTCAACGTGCTCTTGCAATCATGGATCTCGCAGCTCAAGCTCGACGGATACGTGCTTGCTGCCGACATGGTCTACGTCACGCAGTCAGCCGGGCGTATTCTGCGCGCCATCTTTGAGATCTGCCTCAAGCGTGGCTATGCTCGACTCAGCAGGATGGCGCTCGACCTTTGCAAGATGGTCGAGTCGCGCCAGTGGGGATCCATGACGCCGCTGCGTCAGTTCCGTGGCGTGCCCGCCGATCTCATCCGTCGTCTAGAGCGCAAAGAGTACCCGTGGAATCGTCTGCGCGACCTCGAGCCGAATGAAATTGGAGAGCTGATTGGAATTTCAAAAGCGGGACGCCTCGTTCACCGACTCGTCCACCAGTTCCCGCGTCTGGAGCTTCAGGCCTTTTTCCAACCCCTCACCCGCTCGCTCCTTCACGTACAGCTCACCATCACACCCGATTTCCAGTGGGACGAGAAAGTGCACGGCGGTGCCCAGTCTTTCTGGATCATGGTCGAGGACGTGGATGCCGAGATCTTGCATTACCACGACCAATTCTTGCTGATGCGCAAGTATGCGGAGCAAGAGCACACGGTCACCTTCACTATCCCCATGACCGAACCCATCCCGCCCAACTATTTCATCAGCGTCGTCAGCGATCGATGGCTCCACAGCGAAGTGCGGCTGCCCATCTCGTTCAAAAACCTCATCCTCCCCGAAAAGTTCCCTCCCCACACGCCGTTGCTCGACTTGCAGCCGCAGCCACTCTCGGCACTCAACGATGCTGCTGCTGAGCAGCTCTACTCTGAATCGTTCTCGCACTTCAACAAGGTGCAGACCCAAACGTTCCACGCGCTTTACGGCAGCGACAACACGGTCTTCATAGGTGCACCCACCGGCAGCGGCAAGACGGTGTGCGCCGAGCTTGCACTTCTGCGTCTCTGGAACGATGAAGATGCGGGCCGTGCTGTATGCATCGTGCCGTACGAATCCATGGTCGCTCCACGTGTGGCGGAATGGAAGACGAAGTTCGGCTCGTATGGGGATGGCAAGGAGGTGGTCGGGCTTACTGGCGAGACGAGTGCGGATCTGCGTTTGCTGGAGCTGGCCGATGTCGTCGTATGCATACCGGAGCACTGGGATGTGTTGTCGCGTCGTTGGCGTCAGCGCAAGAACGTGCAGAACGTGGGGCTCTACATCTTTGACGAGATCCACATGATCGGCGATCACCGCGTTGGACCTACCTACGAGATCGTCGCCTCCCGAGCTCGCTTTGTGGCCGCACAGATGCAGAATCCTACGCGTATGATTGCACTCAGTGTGCCGCTCGCCAACGCTCGCGATCTCGGAGACTGGCTTGGCGCTCCCAGCGGCAGCGTGTTCAACTTCGCTCCCGGTGCCAGGCAGATTCCAATGGAGGTGCATATCCAGACTTTCAACATCCCGCACTTCCCCAGCATGATGATCGCGATGGCGAAGCCCGCCTACTTGGCCATCATCGAGCATGCGGAGGATCAGCCGGTGATCGCGTTTGTGCCGAGCAGAAAGCAAGCCAAGCTGACGGCGGACGATCTGCTCGCCTACGTTTTGGCCGACAGCGACAGAGGCGATGGCGATAGCGACGATGGCGAGTCACGCTTCCTCAACATCGAGATGGAAGATCTGGAACCGCATTTGCAGAGGGTTCAGGATCGCGATCTGCGAGAATTGCTGGCCAACGGCATCGCCTACTACCACGAAGGCCTCACGCGCAACGACCGTCGCATCGTTGAACGGCTGTTTTCTGCAGATGCGATCCGCGTGGTCGTCGCGAGCAAAGAGACCGCCTGGAGCATTCCGCTAAGCGCGCATCTTGTGCTCGTCATTTCGCTTCAGACCTACGAAGGTCGTGAACACCGCTACGTCGACTACGCTCTGCCCGATGTACTACAGATGGTCGGTCGATGTACCGTGCCGAATGAGTCCGGCACCTCGCGACTCGTGCTTCTCTGCCAAGCGACTCGCAAAGACTACTTCAAGAAGTTCCTCGCTGAAGGCCTGCCCATCGAATCACGACTCACCTCGTACGCGCAAGACTTCTTCAACGCCGAAATCGTCTCTCGCACCATCGACGACAAGCAAGCCGCCGTCGACATCCTCACCTGGACTTTGCTCTATCGAAGGCTGTCCCAAAACCCTCAGGCGTACAACTGTCAGGGGAAGACCATGCAGCATATTGGTGACTTCCTGTCGGAACTCGTCGAGACCACGTTGGCGGATTTGGAGGCGAGCAAGTGCATCGCCATCGAGGACGAGATGGATGTTTCGCCGCTGAATCTGGGTATGATCGCGAGCTACTACAACGTGAGCTACGTGACGGTGGATGTATTCAACATGTCGTTGAAGGACAGGGTCAAGATGAGGGGTGTTTTGGAGATCGTTTCCTCGGCGGCGGAGTTCGAAGATCTTCCGATTCGACAGCATGAGGATGTGTTGTTGAAGAAGATCTACGATAGGTGTCCGGTCAAGTTGGAGGGGCTGGATCTGTTGAGTCCGTACCACAAGGTGTTTGTGCTGCTGCAGGCGCATTTTGGACGGTTGAGTTTGCCGGTGGATTTGGAGATGGATCAGCGGGTGGTGGTGGGTAAGGTGATGGGGTTGTTGAGTGCGTGCGTGGATGTTATGAGTAGTGGAGCGAGGTTGAATGCGATCGTGGCGATGGAGTTGAGTCAGATGGTGGTGCAGGGGTGTTGGGACAAGGAGTCGGTGTTGAAGCAAGTGCCAGGGTTTGGAGAGGAGGTGGTGGAGAGGTGTAGGAGGAAAGGCGTGGAAGATGTGTATCAGTTGTCGGATTTATTGGCTGAGATGGAGGAGGAGGAGAGGGATGAACTGTTGAAGATGGATAAGAAGGCGTTGGGGAAGGTGGCGAGCTTCGTCAACAACTTCCCGTATATCGAGCTCAACTACACCATCACTACGCCGGAAGAGGAAAGGATCGCCAGCGAACCGATCTCGATCGAGATCACGTTGGAAAACGATTCGGAGGATGAAGAAAGTCTTATCGCCCAGACGGACTTTTACCCGCACAAGAAGTTGGTGCAGTGGTGGGTGGTGATCGGAGATCCTGGAACGAGGAATTTGTTGGCGATCAAAAAGGTGACGATCAGGCAGAAGCTCGAATTGCAGCTGGAGGTGAACCTGCCAAAGGGCACGTACGACGGGTTGAAGATTTGGTGCGTTTGCGACTCGTACATCGGCGCTGATAGAGAGGTTCTCATCGAAAAGGTGATGGTGCAGGAGGGCGTAGAGGAGAGCGATGATGACGACGAGGAAGATGAGGACCAGAGCGAGGATAATGCCTGAAAATCACGTTTGCGGATCTGTACGCCGTCAACAATCGTTTTCAATGACAAGAATCAACAATCCCCAGTTCTGACATGTTCCAACATCGCTGCCGCCTATACAAAGCCTGATCAATCAGCCTCCTCACACACCACTGCACTCGCACATCGGAAGAACCACAGCTTGAGTTGCAGGAATAAAAGGCAATACGAAAACACAAAAGAGGTATCTCCACCGTCCACATTCAGCAGGGTGGTCACAAGATTCAGAAAAGAAAAAGCTTCACAACAAACGCCAGCAACATCCACGCTCGAACACTCGACAAACTTGACGCCGTCACTTTTGCCTTGTCCTCCCGCTGGGCTCACATGTAGATCTTCTTGATCTGGTCCTCGTACTTCTTGATGATGTCCTTCCTGGACAGCTTCTGCGCTGCCGTCATGGCCAGCTCCTCGTGAACGAGCAGCACGGTCTGGAGCATCTCGAGGTTCTTGAAGCCTGCCTTCTTGCCTGCCTGGTTGACGTCGTCCCTGACGAGCTTGGCGACCTCCTTGTTCTTGCAGAGCTCTTCGAGGTCTCCGCCGTTGATGCCGGCCTTCTTGACCGCTGCGGTGAGGTTGTCCTCGCGCGGGAAGATGATGCCCATGGGCTGCTTGGCATCGCTGCTGGCGTGGACGCAGATGTTGGAGACGAGGTTCGACGACTTGTACGTGCTCTCGAGGCGCTCGATGGCGATGTACTCACCACCAGACAGCTTGACGAGGTTCTTCTTGCGGTCGATGATCTGAAGCGTACCGTCCGCGTTCCACTGCCCGACGTCACCGGTGAGGAACCAGCCGTCTTCGAAGGACTCCTTGTTGACGTCGTCGCGCTTGAAGTAGCCCTTGGTGATGGAGGGACCGCGAATGAGCACCTCACCCTGAGGAGGGTTGTTGGTCGAAAAGTAGCCGGCATCGGGTACGTCGCGAAGCTTGGCCTCGATGGCAGGCACGATACCGCCCGAAGGACCGTACGAGTAGAATTCGGGATGAAGAATGGCAGTCATACCACACGACTCGGTGAGACCGTAACCCTGCAAGATGGTGACGAGGGCGGTGGTGAGGAACTCCTGCGTCTCCTTGGAAAGAGCCGCACCGCCCGAAAGTGCAAGGCGCATGCGTCCACCGGTCTGGTCCCTGACGGCCTTGAAGACGACCGAATCGACTGCAGAGGTGAGAAGAGGAATCTTGTTCTTCTTGATGGTCAAGGCACCGTTGAAGACCGACTTCTTGACCGCACCGCCGGCATTGACCTTGGCCACGATACCCTTTCGAATGAGCTCCCACACGGCGGGAACGCCGATCATGATACTGGGCTTGAAGGCCTTGATGTCTCCATCACACTTTCGAACGGCCTGCTGGGTGAGCGTCTTGACCTTTCCGTAGCCCATGGTGACACCGACGTAGATTAAAGCGCACTCGACGATGAATTCGAGAATGTGGGCGAGCGGAAGGTAGGCGAGGAAGGTGTCGTCGGGCTTGAGGAGGTCGCCGATGTGGACCTCTACGGCTGCAATGGAAGCGACGAGGTTGCCGTGGGTGAGGATGACACCCTTGGGAGCGCCGGTGGAACCGGACGTGTACATGATGCAGGCGACGTCGTCTCGAGTCGGGAGGTGACCCTCGGCTGGGTTGGCCTTGCCCTCCTCCCAGAGCTCTTCGATGGTGACGACCTTGCCCTGGCGAGCGGATACTGCGTCGCGCACCTTGCTGAGGTGCTTGTCGTCGGGCTTGCCGTCGTAGATGACGTACTTTACGGTCTCTGCCTTGTCGATGACGTTGGCCAGGGTGGGAAGCAGCTCTGCGTTGGTGAAGACACCAACGACCTCGGGCTCGTTGAGCGAGTGCTGAAGACCTTCCTCGCCGAGAGTCTCGTAAGCGGTGCAGAAGGGGATGCTCTGACGGAAACAGGCGTGAGCCATATTTTGCCAGTTGATGGCGGTAGCGGCGTAAATGTTGAAGCGGGTCTGCTTGGAGAGACCGAGGTTGACGAGACCGCTCGAGGCGTGTTGAATGCGCTCTTCAAACTCGTTGTAGGTGATGTACTTGTAGTCCGAGAGCTCGTAGTACTGCCAGGTCTTTGTCTCCTTGACCTCTTTGCCGTCGACGGTCTTGGAAACTTCCTTCTGCTCGTCGTGCATTCGGATCACGTCTCGCCAGCCCATGATGGGCTTGTTGGGGAAGCCTGCAGGAAGGAGCACGAAAGCGGGATTGCAGCGACCAAGAGAGCCAATCGAGAACGAGAAAACACAAGGGTGGAATGAGAAGAGCATCAGCAATCTAGCTTGCTCGATCGAGCCCGAGAGCGAGGCCACAGCTCGAAGCAAAGGGTCAAGTACTTACGCTTCTTGGCGGTAAGGAAGACATCGGCCATAGTCTCGATGCCATCGGCGGGACGTTCGAGCATACGATCAGGCGCCCGGTAAGAGCGCCTGATCTTTGTCTCGCCCTTGTTGGCGGGCGTGTCAATCTCGACACTAGCGATCTTGGTCATGGTTGCGGAGGTGGTCCGGGTGTGACGATGCTGTGACGATCAATGGATGGGTATCGGGATCCACCTTGTCTGTGCGGGACAGCGGGTCAGATGAAAAGGAGAGACCGAAATCAGCGAATGGTGGTGAAAGGTGAGGACGCGGTGCTGCTGATACGAAAGGATTGATGGTTCTGATGGCGCAAGTGGAGAGGCGGATGCAAGAGCAGCACCACGAGCGGCAAACCTGGAACGAACAGCAGCAGGCGCAGCAGCAGCCAACGAGGCTGGATGACGCGCTGGGGGAGGCTCATGCACATTCTCTGACAAGTTGTGTCCTTTCCCGATCTAAGTTATTTCCCCACTCTGGCTCTCGGCTGCGCTCATTCACGCCGACGAGCGACGGTAGATCGTCCATTGGCCTCCCTGCTGCGTGAATAGCGCGTGCCGACTGCGCCCAGCAGCTGCGCTTTTGCTTCATCACCACGTCGTGCGTGGAGGCGGGGCCTTTTTTTTTGGTGGAAAATTCAAACTCAACCCAACTCTGCGATTTCGGATCGCACTCCGTTCCTCGCTGGTGTCCTTTCATGATTTGCGCCTCGCATGGGCCTGGCTCTGGAGAGTGGGATGTGTGACGTTATAGAACAGCTTCGCCTTCGCTTGGCTTTTTCTTAGCATGCGTGTGTGGTATCAAACTTTTTTTAGAGTTCCACCCGCTGCACCTTGTCATACATTAGCCGCTGGATTGCGAGCCCTGTTGAACGAGAGGTATCAAGGTCAGCTCGAGTGGAAGCGTCATTCCCGAAGCGATCGACTGTCTAGTCCAAACTGCGCAAAGAGAAACGCGAATGGAATCCACAAGTGCAAGAGCCAAGTGTGGACCGGATGAGCCGCCTCACCCGCCTTTTCTCGGTGGCTGCTGCTGCTCAGCGTCGAGATCATTCGCCCCGCCGATTAACCCACCATCTCTTTGCCAAGCCATACACCGAAGCCATTGCCAAGAAAGCATGCACGTGTATATATGTTGCTGAGGAGAAGCTAGTCTCCGACAGACCTCCTCGCGCAGAGTCTGTCTCGGGCCTTTCCCAGGTCACGAGTCGTCTGACTGCCGGAAAGCGTGCGGCGTACCTGAACGCCAATTTCTGATAGGATCGGGCCAACCTCGTCTGCTCCCACATCCCCGCACACCAACGCCCGTGTTAGGCGAGGTTCGGTTTCAGGGCGTGGCTGACAGAAACGTCGAGATCCGGCTCCGCCTCTCACGTTGCAACACCGTTGCCGACCAATCATAGAGGTCAGCCTCGTGTGAGCGGACAGACCATCACCGGGTACTACTACTCCATCAACGCTCTCCCGCCTTTGGATTTCCGACACGGCTATCACGCTTGCAACGCCAACCTCCGTGTGGTCTGATGTCTGTAGCGTCGAAGCGCACCGTGCTTCTTAGTTGTAACCATAGTAGCCTCCCTGAGCGTGCCTAACACCCACCTGGCGCGCGACTCGACGTCCGGGCCCTCGTCGCCCCGTGCAAGCGAGATCGTTGATGCCTACGGTTGGATCGCCCATTGGACTTTGACGCTATAGCTCCCCTTTCTAAAGATGCGGGCCAACTCTCTTATCCGAACAAACACGACGAGTGAAGACGATGTTTGATGACGAACAGGGTTCCCCTTCGGATATGCATCTTCCAGCTCGTCTCCACGGCTCTGGGTTCAACGTTCGTTTCACACGCCACCCGACTGTATTGCTGCAAACAGGGATCCGAGGTCCTCTATTTTGACGATCATGTTAGGCCGGCATTCGCTCTTTTGGGAGTTGAAAACCGTATCGCACGGAAATCTGGATCAAACAGACAGGTCGCGCTCTTGTCGCGACGCACCACTTTATTTTGGGAAACGTCTGAGCGCAACACCACTTTCTTCCCACGAAAACGGGTCTTGCTCGTCGTCCGACCGTCTGTACGACGACACAAGGTCAAATCCGCCTTCTTCCTCATTGCGCGCATTCAGCATCATACTCGCATTCGAGCGATCACGCACACAATCCACGCTCCATCGCAGGATTGCTGTCGACACTCGTCAGCCCAACTCATCCTCCTCGTCATCCTTTTGACGTACGACGAAGGACTCTGGCATACCTCGCTTTGCTCGTCTCTGGTCCGCACATTCGCAGCGCAAAATCCCATCGAACTCCTTTTCGCTCAGTAACAATGCTGTACACCGACAGCGAGAAAGTGCTCTGCTTCCACGGCCCGCTGATCTACTCTGCCAAGATCCTCAAAGCCGAAAAATGGACTGGCGAAGACAACGTCACTCGACAAGTAGGACCGCACTATCTCGTCCACTACGACGGCTGGAAGAAGACCTGGGATGAATGGGTACCCGAAACACGCCTGCTCAAATACAACGATGAGAACCTCGCTCGCAAAGCCACACTTCAAGAAGCGGCGAAATCGGGATCCTTGACATCAACCGAAAAACCATCCACTTCCACCTCCTCCGCCTCCACCACATCAGCCAAACGAAGTCGAGTCGCGGAAGAAGACCGTAAAACAGCATCACGTAAGAGGGGGCGAGAAACGGTGGAAGCGGAGGAGGAATTTCTCAAACGTCCCGAGGTGAAAATCTCCCTACCGGACGAACTCAAGTTGCAACTCGTCGATGACTGGGAGAACATCACCAAGAACGGTCTTCTCGTACCACTCCCGCGCAAACCCTGCGTAAAAGACATCCTCGACGAATACCGCAAACACTACCTCTCCTCCAAACGCGATTCCAAACAACGCTCCCCACAGGTAGTAGACGAAGTCCTCAAAGGTCTCAAACTCTACTTTGACAGATCCCTAGGTCAAAATTTGCTCTATCGCTTCGAGCGAGCTCAGTACGTAGAGTATCGCAAAAAGAACGGTCCCAAAATGGGCGATGGTGATGTCGGAAATGCCAGAAGCGGAAATGGTAGTATGGGAGGTGATATGGAACCAAGCGACGTGTATGGAGCAGAGCATCTTTTGAGGTTGTTCGTCAACTTGCCGATGATCATCGTTCATACTAGTATGGATGGCGATTCTATCAGCTTGCTCAAGGAACATCTGGCTGAGTTCTTGTCGTAAGTACCCATCCAACACGAACTGTCAGATCTCAGAGACAAGGATCCACTGACATCGTTCCGTTCACTTTTCCTTCCTCGTCACAATCGATGCAGCTACATCGCAAAGGAAAAGCATCGCCTGTTTGTGCGCGAATACGAGGCAGCTTCACCAGCATACCACCGCATCAGCTCAACATAGCCTTACCTCATACCGCTGTCACCGGCACCACTTGTACTTCTAGGTCACTTCGACGCTCGTCAAGCATCACAACATATTCAGATTCACCGCTGGCTGCCCTCAGAAGCATTGTCCGCTGATTCTCAACTTGACCAGCTAATGAGCGGAAGGACAGTGGATTCTCGAGCGTCGCATATTCAACGAGTCGCTGCTCGCCAAGCCGAGGCGTGTTTCGTGCGGAATGCCGCAACGGGATGGAATGCGAGCGCATGCAGACTCCCTTGGCAGAAGACACCAGGAGCCGTTTAGGTCGGGCAATCCTTGGCGAGTCGTTGAGAGTGCCCAGTCAGGCATCAGTTTCGATTTGATCTTCTTCCCTGGCGAGTCTGCTGGATCGCATTCAGAGCTCGTCTGCTACGAAACCCAAGATGATTGTCAGCGTCTCAGAGAAGAGTGCAGTTTTCGACGACAGACTGCCGTTACTCACATTACCGGATCGACGAAGCGGTCGTATGATGTAGAGAGATAAAGGCTGGAAGATGCTTTTCAGCAACATCGCCAAGAGGACGATGGTGGCGGCCAGTGCCTTGAAGATCGCGGTCGAGACCATGATCGAGGCTTTGAGCTTGAGTGTTTCTGGCCAGAGGAAGATGAGCCAACGGAAGCATCTCCATCCAACGACTGCAGTGGCCACGCGTGTCGGAAAGAGCTGTCAGTATGTCTCACCGGTTACAACAGAAATGTACAGCTGGGACTCACTGTTACCAAAGCCGAGACCTGTACTGCTTTCCAGCTGTCGCAGTGACCAGAGGACCATGCCCTCGAGCGCAAACCCAACGCTGTTGAGTATAGAAGATGCTGATGATCTCTGGGTGCTCAGCAGTACGTCCAGACTTGCCTGAGAGGCATGCAGCCCTCTATTGATAGCTTCGAATCCCGTGTGGATCCGTCGAAGAGCATCAAGTTCACTCTCGAGCTGGGCGTGGTTCTCTCTCTGAAGGGACAGCATTTCGGACGAGAGCAACGTCAGGTCCGAGACAAGGCCATCCTGCTGCTGGAGTGCGAGGCCAAGAGCCAGCGTGTGAGACTCGAGCATCAATGCAGCCTGGTGCAAAGACTGAAGCGGTGCGGCCAGATTCGCTTCCATGAGATCGGTTGCCTTGCTAAAATGCTGCTGTACGGAGCGTTCGATCTGTACGCCGTGCTCATCAACGACGTGCTTCAGCTGTGATGCCACCTGCATAGATGGGGTGAGATCGGCGTGAATGACGTTTCTCTCGGCAGTCATGCCGAAAGCTCTGACCCTGCACTGACCTGGCGAGAAAGATAATTCGAGTATTCCTGAAGGGCATGCTGGTACTGCTTCAGCAAATGTTCAGTCGAGTGCTTAAAAAGAAGCTGTCTCCAGAAGCGATATTTCGCTCATCAGCGACTTGGCGTACCGTGCCTTGACGACGTCATGATGACAGAAGTTGCACCCACCTCGAGATTCTGCAAGGAGTCGACGACGCTGTTCGCTTTCTCTGTATGTTCGGTGACCAGGGCTTGAAAAGCCAGGCGTTGCTCCTACAGAGGGTAAAGGTTATCGCAGGTGAGCAGAGCATTCGCAGAGCCTCTCTGGTCGAAATTCAACTAGCACTGACCTGCAAGTCGCCCTTCCACTGCTCCTTTAGACGAATCATTTGCTTGAACCAGTCTTGTCGGTCGAGCCGCTCGGCGTCGCTACTCGTGACAACCTCCTGAACTTTCTGATGCCAATAGCGAATCAAAGCGATCTTCTCCTTCGTCGCCGTCCTGTACAGCTCCCTCGCTCTATCTGAAGAGGATGGACAAACACGGTCAGCCGGCTGCGATTACTTGCAAGTTCTTCCGGTACTTGGCTGCTCACCCATGTCCTTCCATCTCTGTAGAGCAAAGCACGTCCGAGGAACCTCTCGTAAATAACCGGCATAGCTGGACCAGTATCGTGTGCTCCGAGACAAGGCTCTGTAGGCAAAGAACTAGTGGTGTGAGCCTTGCTCTTGTTGTCTCGCTCCTAAAGACTCGGAACTTACTCGATACAGGGTCCAAGTGAACCTTGGTCCGACATTTCCTGCACTGCGTTGCATTCCCACGGAACGCTCTGATTGGAAGCTTGTAGATCGCAGAGTGTCAAGAGAACCGACGCTGCAGCATTTGGAGCCATGTCAGCAGCAACTCGAAGTCTGCATGCCGAGCAAGGGGTCACTCACCAAGCATCCGCTCTTCCGAGTTCATGTCGGAATCGCGAACGCATCCCGCTTTGACCTGATCGTAGATTTGAGCATAGCAAGCCTGCCCTTTCGGCACATCCAAGGAGGCGAGAGCTACCAATTTCGCAAAGGCGTCAAAGCGTCAGCATCCGTACTTTTTGAGTAGCTAGACTCGCACTTACTTGCGTCGCCAAAGATGGCCACTTGCTCAACAGGGTCGAGATTGAGCAACTCCACTTCGGATCTTGCTGAAGCGTCCAAGGGGCCGTCTGACGCCTGTCGACGAAAGATGTTTGGCAGCGCCAGCGTTGAATATGTGCAGCAGCCGATGGCAAACACAGTACTCAAGAACAAGGCGCGACGGAGCCTCATGGTACAACGATTGAAGCTGTAGGAGAACCTGTGTCAGCTCTTGGGAACAGTTGCGCGACGCAAGACAAGGGAAAGAGCATGTCGAGGAGCACGCCTCTTATGGCAAACACATACAGGGACTCAACACAGGTGGAACAGGCCAAGCCAGAGTCGGGGTCTCGCTGCAAAACTGGCCAGAAGCGTTTCCTCGTCAGCAGCCGTGAACGTGCTGTCAGTCCAGTCGGCACATCCGAAAAGCGGACAGGCAGGTGCTTTCGGCCTGCTCTGGCTGACAGCCTCGGCGAGGTTCAGGAACGGAAGCGCCGACAGTGCGGTCCACATCCGCCGAATTTGACAAAGTCACAAATTTGCGGTCAAACTTTCACATCAAAAACCATCGCTACTATTGCAAAAGGAGAGAAAGTCGGAGCCAAGCAAGGACTTGGCCAGAGAGACAAACGCGTGAACCTGGGAGATACTTCGAGGCTGGGCCGGACGACCGCCTGACAAGGAAGCAAAACAAGGTTGGCATAGATGCAGAACGGATGATGAGCCTTCTGACACGCTTGCCCAAACACGCGTGTCATCGAAGTCTCATACGTATACCGCGACCATGCGCCTTCACCTCCTTGGAAGCTCAAAGCATGGACACAGCTCAAAGTCGCCAAGGTTGCCAACCGCCAGAACTCCACTCAATCCTTCTTAGTTTCGCAAGGAGAAGCCTTTCTTCTTGGTCGCCTGCGAGACCTTTTCGGGAGTGAGCGGACGGCCGCTTTCGAGCCTGCGACGCTTCTCTTCGAGCTCTTGCCTCTGCTTTTCGAGCGCATCGCGCATCTCGCGGTGACGAGCGTAGAGCTCCTCTTCGCTTTGCTTGAGCTTGGCCTCTTTCTCGGCCACCTTTTGCTGGAAGACGAGCTTCATCTCGTTCTCCATCTTCCTCAATCTCGCCTCGTGGATTGCGCGCTCCTCCGCCATCTTGGCCGCGGGGTTGACCTCCTTGAAGACCGAGTGATCCTGTGAGACGCCCATCGCGACCAGCTTTTCGCTTCGGTATTTTTCGTACAGCACGTTGTTGGTGTGCTCCTTGAGCTCTTCCATGTGAGTGTGGATGAGCATCTGTCGCAGTTTGACAAAGTCGCAGTGCTCCTCGTTGTCCACCTCGATCACGCCCCACGGGTAGGCTCGGCCACGTACACGTCGTCCGTCAGGCGTGTCGATCTCGGTGTTGGATCCCACTACAGCGAATGGCACCTTGTTTTGGATCTCCTGGATCTCGAGCATGGTTTCCTCGTCCTCCATCTCGTAGATGGGTGCGTGGAAGATTTCGATCTTGTGGTGGGCAATGTCGCTCAGGATCCTCTGCTTGAACGACACGATCTCTTCGTCGGTGAGCGTGTCAGACTTGGCAATCACGGGAATCAGGTTGACCTTTTGGTGCAGGCGTCGCATGAATTCAATGTCGATCGGACGAAGGCTGTGGCCAGTGGGCTGAACGAAGTAGATGCAAGCGTGGACACGGTTGTCCTGCAGCTTGTTGCGGTTGACGCGATTCTCCTGTTCGAGGTAGTTGTCGAAGCGCGATTCAATGTTTTCGACGACGGGTTTCCAGCTGGGTAATCGACGTTTGAGGCAAGTAAAGAGGTCAGCATTGGTGTCTGGCACGGAGTAAAGGTCTGAATTGCGGTGGTCGTGTGATGTGAGAACTCACCTTTCATCGTTGTTGATGAAGTCACCGAAACCTGGAGTGTCGACGACGTTGAGCCTCAGTCGAACACCGTTTTCCTCGATATCAGAGCTGATGGACTCGATGGCGACCGTCTTCGGTCGCTCTAGGTGAGGAGGTGGTACCTCCTTGCGAGGGTAGAGTGTGGTGTTGAAGAGCGTGTTGATGAGCGTCGACTTGCCGAGACCAGACTCTCCAACGACCATGGCGGTGAAGTTGAAGCCTTTACGCACACTCTTTCGGTGCACCTGGTTGGGCAGGTTGGCGAAGCCGACGTAGCCCATCAACTTTTTGCGTCCAGCAGCTACGGCGCCGGCAGGACCGCCCGCCTGTGCGGGCGCCGCCGCATCCACGTCGTGAGAACCGCCGTTCATGTTGCGGCCGGGGGTTGAGGAGAGTATTTGTGTGTTTCAGCGCCAAAGACAGAAGCGGTCGACCGAGAATGTCGATCGATAGGGCGCGGCTGTGCGTACGTGACCAAAGTTCAGCGAGCGTCCGTGCTAATAGAGTGCGAGAGATAGCCGGATGTTTTGCACGTCAACGATCACCAGCGCTTATATGGAACCGGTCGCGTAGGTGGTATGTGCGCGGCGATGTCGAACCGGTGCGAAAGAGGACGTGTACGTGATCGTGCGAGGTGTAGGGTGATGGACGTGATGCAGGCTCCAAAGAGATCGAATCAGAAGAGCAACACCCGTGGACGGTCCAAGCGCTGGCAGGCTGGGCGTCCTACCGCACACACGCACGCAAGGTGAGAACATGCACACACGCAGGCTCAGGTTTCCTTACCGCTCGCATGGAAAGCACTCGCTCACCTACGCCTCGACAAAGGCGCTGTCGGCTTAGCGAGGCAGCCGTGCTGCGTGTGCGCAAGCGTGTCGAGCGCCAGGGGGTTCCAGAGAGCCTTGTGTGTGTGTGTGTGTCTCAAATCTGTATTTCAATTCAAAGGGTCGCGTCAAAATTCAAATCGATCCAGCCAATCCTTCCAAGCGACCCTTAGGAATCTCGACCTGCGCGGGTTAAATGGTTGTCTCCGCGATCTCTGTTTCGTTCGAAGCTTGCGCTCGTCGCTGTCTTTGGGATGGGCTGCAGCGGTACGTGTTCTTCGTCGGTGTCCATGCATGACAGGGAAACAGGATGTTTCATTGAGGGCAAGTGGAGCGGTACGACACTGCTCAATGGGACCGTAATTCAAGCGTGTGGTTGTTGAAAAGAAGAGCTTAGAAGTGGTGCGTGCGCTCCTGGAGATCAAACCAAAAAGAGCAAAAGCGGTGTTAGACCTCGATTACATTACACTCGCTGTCAGCCTCCAGATCATCACTGACACCCAAAGGAAGTGGCGGCTGGGTCACACGGCCGACACGCCCGAAGAGCGAAAAAAAAAAGAGTTCTATTAATATAATAATATTCTTCGAAATCTGGCCCAACCACTTGGTCTGTGTCAGGCGGCAAGGTGAACACCAGGCGGAACGTGTCACTCACGCCCGCGAAGAAAGCTAAGCAAATTTCTACTCTGAAAATGTTGGACCCACCGAAGATTTCACGACAAATTTTTGGCGAGAGACCCTAGATCTGCGGACGCGAAGGGCGCCTCAGCGGTGGCGGAGCATGCAAGAAGAAAGTGGAAGATCAACGTGCACAGTGTGAGGACGGACCGTTGGAGCGTGCACGAGAAAGGCGAGCACAGCAGTTTTTCACTCAACACCTGATTTCTTCCTAAGCAGCAGCAGCAGTTGACAAGCATGTCGCTGTACAGTGGCTGCGTCTGCCAACTTGTGCTGATGTACAAGAACTAGGAAGCGTACCCGCCATCAATTTGTCCTCTCAACCACATCCATCCCTCTCCATCCGACCCACTCTCTCATCTTTTCCACCAAATCATACACCATGCCTAACTACAAGGTACGTCTATCAAAGCTCTTTAGCTTTCTCATTTTATGGGTTTCGCCATGCCTGACAACTGACATCTCCCGTTCTTCCCTCCTGTTTGTGAATTTGTTTCTCCATAGGTTGCCGACATCTCGCTCGCCGCTTTCGGCCGCAAGGAGATTGAGATCGCCGAGGGTGAGATGCCCGGTCTCATGGCGCTCCGAACCAAGTACGGCTCCGAGCAGCCCCTCAAGGGCGCCCGCATCGCTGGTTCGCTTCACATGACCATCCAGACCGCCGTCCTCATCGAGACGCTCACCGCCCTCGGTGCCCAGGTCACCTGGGCCTCGTGCAACATCTTCTCCACCCAGGACCACGCCGCCGCCGCCATTGCTGCCACCGGTGTCCCCGTCTTCGCCTGGAAGGGTGAGACCGAGGAGGAGTACGACTGGTGTCTCGAGCAGACCATCACCGCCCACCCCGAGGGCCCCAACATGATCCTCGACGACGGTGGTGACCTCACCTGGCTCGTGCACGACAAGCACCCCGAGCTTCTCGAGAAGATCAAGGGTGTCTCGGAGGAGACCACCACCGGTGTCCACATCCTCTACTCTGCCATGAAGAAGGGAACCCTCAAGCTCCCCGCCATCAACGTCAACGACTCGGTCACCAAGTCCAAATTCGACAACTACTACGGATGCCGCGAATCGCTTGTCGACGGTATCAAGCGCGCCACCGACGTCATGCTTGGCGGTAAGGTCGCCATCGTTGCCGGTTTCGGTGATGTCGGAAAGGGTTGCGCCGAGTCGCTCCGTGGCTACGGCTGCCGCGTCATTGTCACCGAGATCGACCCCATCAACGCTCTCCAGGCCTCTATGGCCGGCTACCAGGTCGACATCATGGACGACGTCGCCTCGCAGGCCGACATCTTTGTCACCACCACCGGCTGCCGTGACATCATCACCGGCAAGCACTTTGAGGCCATGAAGGACGACGCCATTGTCTGCAACATTGGCCACTTCGACATTGAGATCGACGTTGCCTGGCTCAAGGCCAACGCCCAGAGCGTCAGCAACATCAAGCCCCAGGTCGACCGATACACGCTCAAGAACGGCAAGCGCATCATCCTGCTCGCCGAGGGCCGTCTGGTCAACCTCGGATGCGCCACCGGCCACCCCTCGTTCATCATGTCGGCTTCGTTCTGCAACCAGACGCTCGCCCAGATCGCCCTCTGGAACGACAACAATGGCCAGTACAAGCGTGGTGAGGTCTACATGCTGCCCAAGGAGCTCGACGAGGAGGTCGCTCTTGCCCACCTTGGCCGACTCAACGTCAGGCTCACCAAGCTCACCAAGGTTCAGGCCGACTACCTCGACCTTCCCGTCGACGGCCCTTACAAGCGTGACACCTACAGGTACTAAGCGCCCGGCCTTCATAGTTTTTTTATAGCTAGAAAGCCAGGGATGATGGTGCCTTTCGTTTGATCCTCTTTCTCGTCGTTTCCAAGTTCCTAGGTTTTTTCCGTGCAATCATCTCCCCCTGCAAGAGTCTCTCCGACTCACTGTAACAGTACTCAACGGGCTAATCCACCTACACTCGCACATCTCTTCCGCCAATCCTGCTCTCGATAACATACAACAACTAGATCCCAGATTTCGCATCAAAAAGTTCGCTTCTCGACTCGTCCTCGGGCGAGTCTCTAGCAAAGGACCACCATCCCTGCCTACCGGCCTGCTTCCCGGTCTCGTCGATATCAACACATTCTCACTCAATTGTCGTGTCTGCAATGCATCATATTCCCCCGGCCTTCTCAACAAGGTTCACATCATAAATCCTCTCTAGGGTCGTTTCGATCATGGTTTGTGTGCGTCGTGGGACCGTACCGATGCATGAGCATAAGATCGTGCATCACCAAGGAGCCTGGATCTGCACGTCGCTGGCGGGATCCAATGAGCACGAAGCATCCACGTAGCCGCATGGAGTTTGCAGGTCGGAGGTGTCTGACCCGAAATGTCGCGGGAGTTGTGTTCGGTCAGTCCGAAAGAAATCAGTTTGCGCGGGACTCGAACCACTAACATAATTCGCCATGGAGGGTCTTTGCCGAAAAATGCACCGACCAGGCCGAAATCGAATGCGAGCGAAAAGTGAAAGCGAACAAAACGCAGCGCAGCGAGCGCTCAGCTCGCACAATCACCCTCGGTTGTCCTATCAAATCGCCTCCGACTATACGACCATAACGGCACGAATCCCTTGCGACCTTTCCTTCATTAGATGATAGTCGCATCCACCAGATTGCTGTCTATCTCTCCCGCAGCCTGCAACGTATTCTCTTCATCTTGCCTCAGTGCCAAAAGACCAGCAGCGAGCACACTTCGACTGTCCCGCCTACACACATCTATCAGCAGCGTCGCTGTCGCCAAGGTGTCGCCCTCTCCCTTCACCTCCAACATCTCCTCGTCAAGAGGCAGCTTACTTCAAGCCTCTGGAAAGGGTGTAGCACTTCGCTTCTCAGGACCGCAGCAACAAGCTTTCGGTCTCCAACACCTCAACACTTCTCGATCCACCTCCACTTCGGCTTCTTCGGCGAGCAACAACGACGACGACATGGGTGCCATCGCAACAGGACGGGTCGACACGACCCAGCGCGTCCAAGCTCTCCGTCAGCTCATGTCCAAGCATGGCGTCACTGCATACGTGATCCCATCGGGCGACGAGCACGCTTCCGAGTACCCTGCCGAATCGGATCTGCGCAGAGGCTACATCACAGGTTTCACCGGCTCTGCCGGCTCGGCGGTTGTCACCACCAACAAGGCGCTTCTCTTCACCGACGGACGCTACTTCCTTCAGGCTGGTCAGCAGCTCGAGCCTTCGGTGTGGACGCTCATGAAGCAAGGCGAGCCTAGCGTGCCCACTTGGCAAGAGTACCTCTCCAAGAACCTCCCCGCCAACTCCAAGATCGGCATGGACGCCTCGCTCATCTCTGCCGACGATGCGAAGGACATCACCGCCGAACTCAGCAAGATCGGCTCTAGCCTCGTACCCATCCGCGAGAACCTTGTGGATCAGGTCTGGACGGAGCGCCCTTCGCGACCGGGCCAGCCCATCTTTGTACTCAAGGACGAGATCGCCGGTCGTTCGTCGTCCGACAAGATCCGCGAATTGCGCGACGAGATTAAGAAGAAGTCTGCTCACGGCTTCGTTGCAAACATGCTCGACGAGGTGGCTTGGCTGTTCAACCTGCGTGGAACTGATGTGCCTTACAACCCGGTCTTTTTCTCCTTTGCCCTGGTGCTTCTTGAGAAGGTGCTGCTCTACGTCAACGACCACCAGCTCGACAACGACGTCAAGAACGCTCTCGGCTCGGAAGTCACCCTCCGACCCTACGCCGAGTTCTACAACGACCTTCACAAGGTTGGTGCGGAGCTCGGCGATGGTCACAAGATCCTGATCGGCAAGAGCGCATCGTTGGCCGTGCAGGAGGCTCTGGGTGGTGCTTCCAAGGTCGAGATCGTTCGATCCATCGTGGTCGACCAGAAGTCGATCAAGAACGACGTCGAGTTGGAAGGGTTCCGTCAGAGCCACATTCGCGATGGAGCCGCGCTGTGTCAGTACTTTGCCTGGCTCGAGGAGCAGCTGCACGCCGGGAAGAAGGTGACCGAGTCCGAAGGTGCCGACAAGTTGAGCCAGTTCCGACAGTCGCTCCCGCACTTCCGAGGCGAAAGCTTCACAACGATCTCATCGACTGGTCCTAACGGCGCCATCATCCACTACAGTCCCGATCCTTCGAGCTGCCCTGCGATCGATGTCAATGAGATCTACCTCTGCGACTCGGGTGCTCAGTTCACCGACGGAACCACCGATGTCACACGCACGTGGCACTTCGGCAAGCCCGCACCCGAACACATCCGTGCTTTCACCCGTGTTCTTCAGGGTCACATTGCCATCGATCGAGCCATTTTCCCCAAAGGAACCACGGGATATCTTCTCGACGTCCTGGCCCGTCGTGCGCTCTGGGAAGACGGTCTCGACTACCGTCACGGAACCGGTCACGGCGTCGGACACTTCCTCAACGTCCACGAGGGTCCCCAGGGCATCGGAACGCGTGCCGTGTTCAACGAAACCAGTCTCAAGGAGAACATGGTCATCTCCAACGAACCTGGATACTACGAAGATGGCAAGTGGGGTATTAGGATTGAGAACCTGGTCATTGTGAGGCCTGCAAAGACACCGAACAACTTTGGCAGCAAAGGATACTTGACTTTTGAACATTTGACCATGTGTCCGATCCAGGTTTCGTTGGTGGATGCGGATCTGTTGACGAGGGAGGATAAGCAGTGGTTGAACGAGTATCATGAGGAGGTGTTGGCGAAGGTGGGTCCGCTGTTGAAGGAGGACAAGAGGGCGCAGGAGTGGTTGAAGAGGCAGTGTGCGGCGAAAGTTTGAAGCGGGCGGCCAAACGAGATTGACGTTCGCTCGTGTACACTTCGCAATTCAAGATTGGTGCAAGCCAAAGCTGTGCCTTCTCGCTGTTTTCCTGAGTGCGTCGTGTTGTAGTAGAAAGTGTGATGCCGCTCGCAGTGGATTGTGAAGAGATTGTACGGGTTTCCAAAAAGAAAAAAGAGAGTCCTACGGGGATTGAACCCGCGACCTGCAGAATAAACGTTGGAAAACGTAGCTTCAGAATTTGCACCGAAGTCTGCCGCTCTACTGCTGAGCTAAAGACCCTTTATTCAGTAGTTAGAAATAAGTGCGTACATATATTCTACTAGAAAATGGCTGTGTACAGAATGTGCTGCACTGGTTTGCCTTGAGGGACTTGCACGCTGAGAGAATGCAGTCTTCGGTCCCAAGGCATGTCTTTGGACGCTGCTGCTGAGACTAGACATCGTCTCATTTACACACTCAGAGATGGAGCGGGAAAAGACGAACAGTGAAATGTATGCTGGTGTTGGTATTACGTGGTTACAAGTGAACACCGCAACATCCGGCATGCCGAATCGGCATGATCAATCCAAGTGACTTTCTTCAGCCTTATCCGCATACACGCTGAAGCTTTCCGTACGCTCGGCATGGTCCGAATGATCAATTACCTGCTCTCCAAAAGCTGACGGGGATTCTCCCTCACAATCATGAGGTACTGAGCCAATGCTGGACTCGCGTGCGTCCTCAGGTAGAGCTTTCTCCATCTCTCGAGGTACGCCCTCGTCGAGGGAGTGACTTCGATGTCTTTCGTCTTCCAGCGGCAATCCTTCGGGAATGTGCGGATATAAGATGACCGGTCGGAAGGACGAAGCGTAGGTCTGTCGTGCTTGTAGAGATGATGAGATCATCGGCAATTGAGGGTGCTCCTGCGTGGAACTGCTGAGGGTGGCTGGCAGAGCTGGGGCGTGGGAAAAGTTGTTCCAGCCAGACTGATGGCGAGCTGCCGACTGAAACCTGAAAAGACCAAGAGTATCTCCGACACCTGTAGCAGAAACATACACTGCAGACTCCGTGGTCCATGGACGATGCTGTGTTTCGACGAGTTCAGACTGCGTTGTTTGGTGCGAGGTGGCGATCTGATCGAAGCTCTCCGAGCCTGTTGTTGCCACCGAGTCCCTGCGATGTGCTTCGTATTCAAAGTGAGGCTGGATTGGATTTGGTCTGAACTGCTCCGTTATAGCTTGCTGCGAGGGCGGGAAAGACGCGACAGTTCTCAGGTCACGTCCCGCAGCCGATGGCATTGCTTGTGAGCCCGATGCTTCTGCCGCCACTCCAACTGGGCCTTCCTTCAACTGCCTTAAGTACGCCGCTGGTGTGCTGCACGGTAGTGTGTTCCTCCTCAGCCCGTAGGGCGTGGACATATTAGCATACCGCACATCTCTCGTCCTTCCAGTGGCCCGAATCGGCCCCAACCCTGGCGAGGCCATGGGAAGGCTCTGAACGGTCGGAATTGCGGTTGACTGTGAAGGGATATCGAACGGCCGCATGAACGGTCTACTTCTCCTCTCTTGTTTTGAATAGGTGCACAAGATCCCTTGCTTGGCACATCGTTGACAAGGCTGTTGCCCCGAGCACTGCCAAACAAGCGAGAGGATATCAGGATATGCTCTTTCAAAAACGTCGGGAGAAGTTCAAGGACGAGAGGACTCACCTTTGCTTTCCTCTGTCTACAATGCTCGCAAGCATGCGAAACACGGACTTCTCTGCTACCGAGCATCTCCTCGAAATGCTGCTCTGCAAGTCTTTGCGTCTCTTCTAAATCTACGCGTGCTTGTCTCTCGAGCATCTCGGCCTGCGCTTGAATGACGTCCATGTTCAGCGTGGCTTGGGGCTGAGGTGGCAGGCGAGATGCAGAAGAGGATCCAAAGCCAGGGGTTGACGGGGGAGAGTCTTGCCGAAGGTGGACATGGTCGGTAGATGCTTGCTGCTGAGGTCGGCACAAGGCAAGATCGTCGTACGATTGCGTCTGTGCTGAGACTTCCGGCGACCGGCTTGACTGGGCTACGGCGAGGTTGGGTCTGGCGGAACTCTGCATGTCGATAGAACTATGTCTCTCTGTATATGGTTCGGCGGCATCGCGGCGGGACATGCCGGATCTGTTCAATTTGACAATAGACCGTGCGAGGGGAATACGTGGTAAGGAAAAGGTCGACAACTTAGAGGATGCGATGCGAGAGACGTTATGCCAGTCCAGCAGCGTGTGTACATCTGTTGATCGTGTCAAAATCAAGAGACTATATACGATGACCTCGGGTAGGGAAGACGTCAAACGTTACTGGCTGCAGGTTCTCGCAATGTCGAGATAAGCGATACACAAAAGGAAGTACCTCGACTTTTCTCCCACTCTGACTGGCTGCACTGCAGCGGCTATCTAGCACGTGTTGCAGGGCGAGAAGTTTCCGGATCGTGTTGCTTGCCTTTATGGGTTCTGGTGTCCATCGCTTGGATCTTTGACCCCCCGGGTCCAGCGCAGCCTCCCTTGCAGCTCCTAAGGAGCACTTTCGGACAGGCTTCTCATGTTGCTACACTGCGCTCTCGTGTGCAGATCATGTCACGATTCGTGCATGTCAGGGACAAGAGAGTGTGACATGCGCCCATCGGCTCCTGTCGAGCATCTGCGCTTCACCTTGCATTGTCCTAGCGGCAGCAATGAAGTCAAGACGGAAGACTTGACATTGGTATTGCTATTTCAGCCACACGGAGCTTAAGGTTCTCGACCAGGGGAGCACAATGGAACCTTGTACTGCGCATGTTCTTCCCGAACAGGACCGGGGATGAAGCTTCGTGCTCGCTAGAGAGAACAAAAGGTCAGCAACCCGATCCCGATATTGACTTGAAGGCATGCGTGCCAGAGACCGAAGAGCCGCGGAATCACAGCGTCATTTCTGCATTCATCGCATTTGAAGGTGGGTACAATGGTCAAGGTAAGCATTGTCTGCGTCTTTCGCCAAATCGTTGAGAAGAATCCTCCTTGTCTTTCCCTTCCGATCATCCAGGAGGCGGTCAAAGCATTCCTTGGTCTCGAATTCTAACGACCTTTCGCTCAGAGGCTTGACTATGCTCATCAAAATCGAGCAGAATATGTCCGGGAGTGGATGATGTTGAAGCGTGGAAGAGGATGAAGAGTCAGAGCTTCTTCCGCAGGATTCGGTTACCGATCGGTGGGCCTTAGCCAAACGTGGGACGTCCACATCGATGCGTGGCGACTGAATCGAATCTACAGTGACTCAAGCTGCCTACACGCCAATGCAACCCAAGAGCTTCGGTGACTTGGCACGAGTCTGGAAAGGGTCGAAGCTACCGCGAGGCACATGTTACGGGCTTTTCGCCGTCAAGAGATGGATGATTGACAGGTGCAGGCAGTTTGGAGGATGAATATGCACCGGACGTGCATGTACGTACAGTAAAGCCCAGCTCATTGATGGCCGATGAAGATGGGAGAGCAGACCGCCCACGCTGAAGACAATGCAGCCCGGATTTCCGAAGCAGGAACTTGGCTGTACCCATGTCGTTTCGACCCTTCCCAGGCTCCTTGCGCTTAGTGTGATTCAGCTGCAGATCTTTCGATCTTCGATTCGAATGTAACAACCGTGCCCGCACCGTTGCTTTAGGACTGACAGCATTCGATTTCAACGAGTAACACCCAGGAAGGACACCGTGGGCGAAGGGTTACCGGACACTGTCCTTCATCGGACGGAACATGGCAACTTGGCGACGGAGTACCGAAACGTACATTCAGCGGTAGTCAAAACAAGCCATGTTCGTTGTTGTCATGCTATCGCGCTGCGCAGCGGGACAACCCACGTGTAGAATCGATCATCCGTCGCTGTATCCGAAGCTTTCCGATATGAATCTGAAAAATTTTCTGTGCGCCGATGCTGCGCTCATTCACATCGAGCAATGAACGCAAGTCACAAGAGGGTCAAGGTCGTCGTTGTTCAGTGAGAGTGAAATTGCAAAAGCAACATTACCATATAATACGTGACTACAGTTTACAGTACAGCACTACAATTGACCGAGACAAGGACCAGAAGAGCAGAGGCTGAAAAGAGATTTACCGTCGACAGCGCCGAGTTGCACAAGGTTAGCCGCACAAGATTAAGCGTAGCGGCTAACGCGGGTCGGCATCATTCCCCTTCCGTTGCATCGCGGCGCTCGAAAGCATTTTGAGCTGCTGCAGGAAGCGCTTATCGGCCATCAGGGCGGATCTCTGGTGTTGCATGAGCGAGTCGAGCTCATTTCTCCATTGATGCGGCTCGGCCAAGTCCGCGAGGAGCAGCAGACGCGCCCTTTCGACATGCGCATTGAGCCCGCCGCGTTGCACATGAAGCTCGTACACTTGTAGGCCGGCCTCAAGGTTGCCACAACAGCGACTAGCGTCGATCGCAGCTGCAAACACGGCAGGGTGTACGACAACACGTTGCAGAGCCTCCACTTCCGGGATTGATGCGTCACCATGATGCGATGCGTAGTTGCGTCCGGATGCATGCGATGGACCGTCGACTACGAGAGCGCACTCGCAGACTTCCTCGAGCAGTGTAAGGGCAGTTTGCAGCCACGCCTGCTTCTCGACCTGGTCCGGTGCAGAGAGACTAGCATGCAAGGCTGACGTGAGACGCAGATTCCACGTATCTTCGTCTGGCTCCGCTCCCAGATCCTTGAGCTCCTTGAAAAGCTCCTCGGTGTGCAAACAGGCGGACTTGACGGCGTTCCAGCCCTCGCTGGAATGCTCAAGAGTCGTGGCATCGGTTGCATGATTCGGCACAAGCGACAAAGAAGCTCGCATGGCCGCATTGTATGCCATGCGAATCACTCGAGTAGTCACCCTACCTGAAGCGTATGCCTCCGATGTGTCGCCTATTGGCGGCGACGTGTCAGTTGTCGGCGAAGTTGAGATGAACAGATGGTGAGTCAGACCCAACCTGAACTCTTCGAAGACGCGAAGGACCTTGCGATGCGACTCGCCATCGCTCGACGAGGGAAGTCGGCTGGAGCGGTCAAGTGCGACGCTTATGAGCTCCAAGGTAGAGCTGAGTAGCCAGGAGTTGCCTGAGTTCTTCTGAATGTCAACTCCGACGTCAGACATTTGCAGCGCGTAGGTGGACGCCGTGAGCTGCGATACATTGACGACCATCTCGACGGCAAGATCTGGAAATCCGGCGTCGGCAAAGGACGCCACGAGGTTTCGGGCAAGACGTGCCCGCAGCAAGCCACGATTCTCCTGAAGCTCGAGCAGGACGCGGCGAACGACAGGAATCATATCGGCCCGCAAGAGGCCACGTACAAAGTCAGCATTGAGTCTCGATGGCAGGACGTTTCCGCTGGCCACCCAGTCGAGGTAGAGCTGCACTGCAAAGGACATCGTGGCCGTAGATCGAGTGCTTTCTGCGAACAGCCACATGAAGGAGTCGCGATCCGGGCCAGCTAATTGATTCTGTGCAGAGCGTCGCAGTGTGCCTGCTTGTGGATCTTCGGACCACATTTGAGCCATCGATTCGCGCAGCCGCATCAGTTCATACAACCGCTTTGAGAAGGAGTAATCGCGAGCGCGCATGTGGAGACCGAGCAGGGTCGCCTGTGCTGGGTAGCTCAGAGAAGCCTTGCTCAAGTCGGGATCCCTCCCGAGCACCATGTTCGTGAATTGACGGAGGCATTTCCTCAAAGCGTGTTTGCTGCCGTGCTGTTCGTTGCGTTGGGCTATGTGCGCCTTGAAGGCGGTGAGAACGGGTCTCCTCGGACCCAGATCTACGATCGACGTGGGCAGGCAAGACGCTAGCGCTTTAACCACGGCTTCGTTGAGGCGGGAGTCGAGGTCCGCATCGATGGCGTGAGCGATGCTGTAGATCTTCATTGCGAGGTGAAGGTCGTTCGAGAGACCACGATGCGTGTCTGAAGACTTGTGTGAACCTGCTTCAGACGTCATCCGTTCGGTCAATCTCTCGAAGATTACGGTGAAAAAGTCATGGTCTGGCACCTTGGATGTCGATCGCGACTCGACACGGCTGCTTTGCAAGCCAGTGACGATATGTAGGGCAGGCTGAAGGATGCCACGCTGAGCCAGGACAAGCGCGACGCGTTCTGCGAAGGAGTGGAGATTGTTCTCTGAGACGACCATTCCATCTGCAGAAGTTTGCCATGGATGCCACTTGTTCTTAAGTGGATATCGGTCATCTGGCTGCGCTTCGACCGTACCGTCGTCCCAGTGCTTGCCGTCGAGCTCGAAAGGCAGCAGCCACCACAATGTTGCAGAATCTAAGGCTTGTAGACATTTGTGTATGTTGGCCTTGGATGCATGAACATCGGTAGACAAAGTGAGTCGCAAAGCTCGAATGATCGGATGGGTTTCATCGATTGGACGTGAGATGAAGTCGACGGGTGATGGAAGATGCTGAGCAGACCCGCCGGAGGATTTGTTGGCATACCTCGCCAATGCCGAAAGAAGCTGGTCGAAGGGGCGGGGATCGATGGTTGCAGCTGCGTCCGCCTGAGTTGCCTGCGCTACCAGAAGCTGCAGTTGGCCATAGGCAGCATTTGTATCACCCAAACGTGACAGCGTCGCGGCGATACGCCCTCGGAGCGATACGTCGATGTGTTGGTCTGCGGAACGAGTCTGAGCATCCAAATTTGCTGACAATTGCTTGACCATGCTGGACAGTCTATTGCGCCTTTGAGAAGATCGCGGAGATCTGGCAGCTGCCACCTGCTCTTCTTCTACGATGAGAAGATAGAGCAATCTAAGGGAGACCGCCGGCGCCAGTGGAGACAGCTCGTCCGCGTCAGAGGCAGCCAGGCTGATTTGGGAAGAGCTTCCTGCCGGATTGCGCGCTCGGTCATCGCAAAGATCGAGCACTCGATCACAAACCTGACGAACAGCAGCCTGACTGTCGATCGCATTAGCCGAGCTGCTTCTGACGGGTTTGCGGCATTGCAAGGTGATGATAAGGTCGAGCACCGGTGTAGGTATGCTTCGACGAGCCTTGCCGAGTTGCTTGTAGAGGTGCCACGACAGGTCGGCATCCAGGTGCTGGATCGCCTTGTAGAGTGCTTGCTGATCATCGTTCTGAGCTATTAGGTCGACGTCGAAGAGAGGAGGCAGAAAGCGCTCGAGCCTCAGTGCATTTGAATGCTGAGTCGACGAAGGGTCGTATGGTTGGGAGGCGCTGAAGTAAGAGAGCAGCTTTGACTCGACGTTGCGGGCTCTCGAAGCGGCTGTGGCTGGAAAGTAGCGGAGTGCGACACGTCGGACATGCCGAAGTGGAGCTGTGCTGTAGGAAGGTCGACTGCCCGGAAGAGCCGCATTGGTCGGACGGTCCGATTTCAGTGACTTGGCTGCTCTGGCTACGCCCCTAGCGCCCGAGCGCAGCATCGGATCGAAGCGACGCCACCTAGGCAGCGGGCCGGCTTGGGGTCGTGTGCAAAGCGGCACCTATCGCGCGAAGATGGACGGCAGTCATCTATAGAAGTCGAATGAGGCGCGGATCGAGTTTGAGCAACACAAAAAGCGATTACGAAGCCGCGAAGGTCAGATAAGCCCTTGACAAGATTGCAGCATGCGAGAGCGGACTACGAGAGTTTCCCGCTCCTGTTCGACGACACAGGTGCTGCCAATGTGGTGTTAGCGATGTATAGGCAAGGCCGCAGCGTATGGGGATGGTGATGATGCAGTGCTCAACGATATCGTCGACTGCTGTAGTGTCATGGCTAACCCTCGTGACACCTTCCGGCAAGCCAACTTTTTTTTAGGCGTCAAGTCGCAGTAGTGGAGCATTTCCAATTCAGGGTTCACAGCTGCATTTCTTCTACCCGCACGAAAGCGGCTGCCAGCCATTTCAGCACCGAAAACCTAAACTTTTGGCCAGAAGAACACCTTCAATCATACTCGGTGTAACTCAGCGTCTACGCTATCGCTTTCTTCTTCTCCACGACCTCGACATTTCCCCCATCTCTCTCCGTCGCAATTCATCGCAGCAGACGATACGTTGCGATGGCAGACGCTCCTCCGTGAGGTCTCCACTACGCCTGCGGCATGCTGCATCACCTTGATCCATAGACGCAACCTGGACCAACTTCTCAATCCAGATCTCGATCGGAGGTTAGCTCTCCGGCCGCTCTGCCGCAAGAATGTCGCTGCAACTTCCCCGCATCCTCATCGTGGATCACTTCGACTCGTACACTCTCAATCTCCTCTCCTTGCTACACCCAGTCGACTCACCACCATGTCAAGCCTCGTCAAGCAATCGAGACGAACTCACACGAAGAATCGCGGATCGTGTCATCGTTCTGCCGCACACGCATCCTCTGCTAGCTCCCGACGCATTCCACGAGCTTGTTCGTCCACATATAGATGCCATCATTCTTTCGCCCGGCCCCGGGAGTCCTGACAAGGCCGCAGACTTTGGCGCGGCAGAGACGCTGCTGAAAGATGCATCCCTCAACCTTCCGGTCTTTGGTGTGTGCCTTGGTCACCAGGGGCTCGCAGTCGCCTTCGGCGGTCAGGTCACGCGTGCTGCAAGTGTAAGGCATGGCCTTCAGAGCAAGCTCAAGATCTCTGACACTCCTGAAGCAGAGGCAGGGACATCTTCTGAGATCTCTTCTGTTCTCCGAGGCGTACCCCAAGACGCCCTCGTTGTCCGCTACAACAGCTTGGTCGTCGATCCAACCACTCTGCCCGACTGTCTTCAGGTCACAGCCTGGAGCTATGATCACGTCTCAACAGCTCCGCCACCAAGGCCCGGCAACACCAGAAAGCACTCGACATTACCGACACTCCCGCCACCCACCCCTTCGGAACACTTCGCGCCACTCAGGCATCGCGAACTTGGCCCTCTTAGCCGTTCGCCTTCCACTCTTCCCTTCACTTCTCGCAATGGATCTGAGCGGCTTTCTGAGCCTGGCGATATGCCCCTCTCCGAAGCCACCAGCGTCGACGATATTGCCGAGGGCGAATCCATACAAATCCAAGGACACATAGGCGCTCCAGCTATCATGGCATTGCAGCATAAGTCATTGCCATTCCACGGCGTACAATTCCATCCCGAAAGCATCGAGTCCAACTGGGGTCACACGATCATGGCCAACTTTCTCGATATCGCTCGTCGGTTCTGGAAGCAACAGATCTCGCATGAGGATGCACAGATGGCAGCGGATGCTCGAAACAGGATCAGATCATGGGACAACGCCTGTCTCCGTCTTCCAGCGCATCTGACGCTTGCTGGCGAGCGTTGCCTTGCCAGTGATGGGCACATGCAAGTAGACGCACCCGTTGACAGTTCCGCCGTTTCTGGACCCAAGTTCGCATTACTGGCAAAGCGATCCCAAGTCCTTGCATCGGACAGCTTGGTCGACATGACCCGTATCTTCGACAAGCTTTTCCGCCGCTGCAGCCCTGCGGGAGCGATCTGGCTCGACAGCGCTCGCCCCAAGGATCCACACAGCAGATACTCTTTCATGGCGCTTCCTTCGTTCGTTCTTTCGTACAAGGACGGAAGCGGCCGCATCGTCGTGTCTGCGGACGACAGTCTGACCTCTGAAGTCTCGTTGGCTGGTACGAAGCAGCTCACGTTGTGGTCTTTCATGAACGCTTTGCAGGCTGAGCTCCTCTCGACCATCGACTCGCAGGCTGCCTCGCCCATCCTCGACGACGACCAGCAAGGTAACGTGTTTCGCACCGGCTTCACGGGCTACTGGGGCTATGAGATGAAAAACGAGAGCCTCAACCTGGAGACGCGCGCGCCGGTCGGTAACCACGGAAATGCCTTCGACGCCGAGTTTTCGTATTGTCCGAGGGTGCTCGCCTTCGATCATCTCTTGCGGCAGTGGATTGCATTTGCCCTCGTCGACCGCTCGCTTCCGGCTGCTTGCTGGTTCGGCTGTCTCGGGCAGGTCAATGGCGCTCTTCAAGACTTGCAGGCAAAGGGCAAACACTGGTCGCGATGGGCTTTGAACGAGACAGACGGCGAGGCGTGGGTGCATGACACGCTCGCCAAAGTGTTAGATCTCTGCAGGGAGGAGCCGCATCCCACGCGTGCAGACGCAGCGCAGAGTGCCGCAGCGTTCCGCGCTGCTATGCCGATTCTCAAGCCTCGCATGCAAGCGGAAGACTACATGGACCAGATCGAATCAGCTAGGGAGCTCATCGCGGCAGGCGAGAGCTACGAGCTTTGCATGACCAACCAATTTGAGGGCCAGCTTCAGCCCCTCTCTTCTCTCCCCGACACTGCGGACACGGATCACTTTGACCTCTACTGCAAGCTCAGAGCCCGCAATCCCGCTCCATACTCCGCCTACATCAGACTGCCCACCTTGGCGACTAGTCACGAAGGACTGCAATCGCGACAGCGCGGTAGGGCGATCCTCAGCACCAGCCCGGAACGATTCATGCGCATCACTGCAGACGGCCACGTCGAAATGAAGCCCATCAAGGGCACGTTGGCCCGAGCAGGTTTCGGGTCTGGTGAACAAAGCATGCGCGCAGGCGGCGGCTGCACACCCGAGGAGGAGCTCGTCAAGCAAAGATGGCGTTTCGCGGAAGACGTGTCGCGTCGGGACACACTCTCTGCGGACATCAAGGAGCGCGCAGAGAACCTGATGATCGTCGACCTTATCCGCGCGGACCTCTTTTCGTTCTGCAACTCGGACAGCATCGCCGTGCCCAAGCTGATGCAGGTCGAGTCGTATGAGACGGTACATCAGCTGGTCACCACCGTTACGGGTCAGCTCAAGTCATCCGTCGGAACAACCGAGGCCATTCGTCGTTGCTTCCCACCAGGAAGCATGACGGGCGCTCCGAAACGACGCAGCGTCCAGCTGCTGGAGCGGCTCGAGCTCAATCTCGTCGATGCACAGAGGGATGACGAGCTGCGAGCCAGAAGAGGCATCTATTCTGGCGCTCTCGGCTGGCTCGGCTTTGACGGAGCCGCCGACTTTTCCGTCGTCATCCGTACGCTCATCGCCGAGGGGGACAACGTCTCGATCGGCGCCGGTGGAGCCATCACTTACCTTTCTGATGCCAGCAAGGAGTGGCAAGAGGTGCTGGATAAAGTCACCGCCCTCGCCAACATCGAAGCATGATTCCATCAACGCTTTTCAGCGTCCAACACTGTCCCTCAACGGGAACAAAGAATATCTTTCCGTAGAAAGTAATGATACCCTCGATTCAACATAGAGTCTCCAGTCAAACCACCGCACCACAGCATTTTGTAATCTTTTCTGTTCACTGTACCTTTTAATCGCCATCTGTCACCGTTACCTCTTCTTGATGTTCGTCGCTACCTCGCACGTAGCGCTTGATCCGACTGACCCGGACTAATTCCGACACGTGCATCAAGTTACAAACAGGTCCGAGTTCGAAGCGACACCTCCTTTTTACTATTGCTTTTATGTTTTAATGAGAGGCATGAAGACTGGACGGATACAGAGGCTGACGGAAACCGGTTGAACAGCTTCAGCAGAGCATGTGACAAAAGGGCAAATCGGGATGGGACGGTGTTGAACGTCAAAGTAGACTCAGGAGAAGGGAGGCTAGGGAAGAAGCGGAGCTTTCGAGGACTTATTTTTTTAGAGGTTTGTTGGTTTTCTTGGGTGTCGCTTGTTGAGAGATGGAAAGGCAGGGTCGGGGGAACGAGCGAGGGAATTGGTCAAAGGAGAGAGAGTCTACCGCAAGAATGCTGCGGGACAAAGCCGATGCTGCGGGACAGAGCGAAAGGCTGCACCGATGGCATCCCACGGTAGATCTCGCTGCCTTCTTTCACTCAATCTCTTCATCCAACACCGTCGCAGCCAACCGCACCTCGCTTCATCTCCCTCTGCTCGCCCAACATACCCCTACCCTTCTCCACATCGCCACCAAGCTTCTGGATCCTCTCCTCCTTCTCCCTCAACAGCTCAGCCACCTCTCTCTCCAACAGCCTTCTCTGGGCACCCGCCCTTTTACCTGCAGCATCGACGCTCTCCAACAGCTCCACGTCGGAGATCCTGTGCTTGCTGCCACTCTTGGCCTCAACGCCGTTGCCGAGCTGGTTGGCGTCTGCAGCGGTGAACTCGTCGAAGCTCTCCTCGAGAACCTTGAGTACGACACTGAGGTTGTTGGGCAGGTACTGGAGGATGGGGCTTCCGCCGGTGGCGATGTCGTAGCTGGTGCGTTGGATGATGTAGCTCTTGGTGAACATCCAGTGTCTGTTCCTGAATTCTCGGATCTGATCCACGAGCAGCACGTACAGTGCCTTGCTGCGGGCGCTGCTTGACATGGCGAAACCACGAACTCCCGCCAGAGTGGATCGGGCTTCGAGCTGCTGCAGGAACTCTCGCTGGTTCTTCGGTCGGTACGAGCGGAAGTCGCGCAGCGTCTTGGTCAGATCGTTGTTGGGCATGTGCGCCGTGATCTCCAGGAGGTTGTCTCCGGTGGGGACGATGGAATCGTTGGCTCCGGATTCACCGCGGTAGAACTGAGGCTCTTCGCTGACGCCTTCGTAGACGACTCCCTGCGGGAACATGGCGTTCATCTTCTTAGGACCCGTGCCGAAGATGAAGCTTCGGTACTTGAGGTAATCCTCGGGCAGAGAACGTTTCCACATGGTCTCCATGCTCTCATTGATCTTTCGGTACACCACCAACAATCGCTCGAAAGCGTCTTCGAAAGCAGCTACGTCTTTTGCGTTGCATGCTCGTAGAGCGTCCTCCGTAGCGGACACCAATTGACCGGTGTAGGAGACCATCTCGACATGAACCAAGATGAAGCCTCTCTCGGAACCAGAAGCGTCTTCGAACGAACGGATCAACTCCATGTTGTCGAAGCTGTATTTTCCTGCATTGCCCTTGTAGTTCGGATCCTTGCAGAGGTAGTTCACCAGGGCGTAGGAGGAGGCGTACTCCATGTAAGGGAAATGACCCAACTTATCGGCGAGCTTCTTGAGGGGAACGGCGAGCTGCTGTGGGAGAACAGATCGACCCTGGGTGTACAATCCGGTTTGACGGAAGGCTCGATCAACGGGTTCCAGAAGATAAGCCGATGTCGCGAAGCAGTAGTCGCGGAAGAGCGCGGCGAGCAAGTGGGAGTTTCCGGAGGAGATGGCAGAGTCGACAGCCTTGGCTTCGGGTCCATCGGGTTTGAGCTCGTCCAGAACGGCATCGCCGAATTCGCCGGTGCCGAGAAGTCCAGTGGCGCGGTGTCCGTTAGAATCGGCAGGTTGGTGGATCGTCATCCTGTCAAGGAGCGAGGAAAGACCAGAGAATGCCGAGGGGAGGGTGGCGAGTGGATCCTCACGAGGAAGGAAGCCTCGATCGCGAGAGATCACAAAGGGTGGAAGCTTGGAGATTGCTTCAGCATCGTTTGAGAGAACGGCGGGGTGCTCCTCGAGCAAGTATGGCTCGACGTCGCGGCCGGGGCTGGAAGCTGGGACGGAAGCTGCGTCAGATACCTGGGCAAGGGTTCGACGGTGGGGCAGGGCGACGGCTGCCCTGGGGGCCGAGACGGCCGACCGCAAGGTTCGGCTTCGAACTGCGGGGAGCATTGTGGGCAACGACAGGCGTTTACTTGATTGGGATGAACGTTCTTGCGAGGCGGTGGACTCAAAAAGATGGAGGAGTAGTGTAGGGGGGAAGGTAGGTAGCTCAAACAGTCAGGACACCTTATACGGCGACCAAGATCAGAAAGCGAGGAGGCGTCGGCAAGTATACACACAACAAGCTCAGACATACACCAAAGCGGCGAGACCTTCCTTCGAGGCTGAGAAATGCGTTTTCTTCCATTGATCCCACAACATCTCACCGCACAGGCCGCGAAGGAAGGCTACACTCCGGATCTCCTTATCGTCCAGAACAGACAAGCACATGCCCTGAGCTATAATTGCTCAGAAAGCGGTCAGCAGGCAAAGACGACCTGCCAAGTACACAGTGTCTTGTCACGCGGCGTGCGCCTAGCAACTCCTTTGCATCGGATCGAAGTAGGAGGGAGGAGGAAAAGGCCCAGGAAAAGGCCCGATATATACGCTATCCGGCGAAAGGCCCAGCCTATCACCTCGCAGCTGGAGCGATACGCTGCATGGGCAACAACCCCACATCGGATGGCATATGACCTTGATAGGTCTTTTTCGTTCTTGGACAGCTCGCTAGCGAAAAAGCGACGCGTGTGAGCTGAGCGTAAAGGCCCGGTTTTTGGCCCGTCTGAATTTGCGCCCGGTCAGATACCCGCGTGGATTGCCGCGAGTATGCTTCGGCACCAGGCCGTGCCGTGCTTGGAGATTGCAATGCGAAGGACAGGACCGATTCGCGGTTCAAAGGAGTGTACAGGATGCGCTGGAAAGGGGTACCTTTCCGGCTGGGCATTCGGCTCATCGTCGCACAAGCAGGGACGTACGTTGACGACACGTATCGAAGGCAGCCGCGATAAGCTCTCAGCTCTCGATCAAGTTGTCCTCGGCCTGAATCACTCCGAGGAAGCAAAAGCAAGAAGTGAGAAGTATCACCGCATGAAATTTCGAGCTCGTCTAGAACGTCTCACGGTCGACCGCCGGTCTGGGAGTAGAGGGACTCGGGTCGCGACGCGCACCTTCGGAAGCAACGTGAACCTGGTCGTATACGCTTCTGCCGGATGGCGCGTCCGTCCCCAATGATAAATCGACCGCCCCGCTTTCTTCCACCTCCCCTTTTTCGCCCGTTGTAAGCCTCGGCAGGGTCGCCACAGGCGCTAACAATGGCGGACCTTCTCCGATCCGATCTACACTGACCTTCTCGCCGCTGCCACCAACTGCCGTCGAGTCAGGTGTGCTTCCTGGTCTGAACACCTCGGGCGGCGGTGGTGGGGACTTGACACTACCCCTGCCGGCTCGGTTCAACAACAGAGGACTCTCGCTTCGTATCGTGTACGGGATCGGTGGCGTATCAATTCTGCCCGGGACGTGATTCGGCTGTGGCGTGGTGCTGCGGAAGAGCGACATGGCTGCGGCGTCTTGCAACCTGACTTTATCCGCTGATGCACCGACGTTCCGGGGACTCGGTGTGCGCCGGATGATTTGACTGAAATTGGGTGAGAGCTGACGCTTGATTTCGGCTCCTGAGATACCGTTGGGCGCTAGCCCCTTGTAGGCGTTGGGTAGCGTCGTCGAAGGTGACTGAGCTGGCACTCTGTCCTGTGCCGGGGCAGCGTGCTCGTGCGCTCCGCTGTGTGGAGCAGCGCCAAGAGTAGCCGCTGCGGGGGCACGGGGCGAGTGGTTGAGTACTTCGCTGTACAGATCGATCGAAGCTCTGCCTGGCGTTGAGAGATTGGCCGGGCTAGCAATCCGCTGCACCGGTGGAGACGAGAACACACCACGGTTGCCCGGAAACAGATCTTGACCCGGCTGGGCAAACGTCTTTTCCGGATCCCAGTCGTCGTACAAGTCGGTCGTCTGGTCAGCCTTCGTGTCAGCGAATGTGCCACGAACGGGTGTGGTTGTCGTGCTGCCCCTGTGTGCTCCGCTGTTGGAGCCGTTTCGACTGAGGAAGGAAGGGAAAGGTCTGGATCGCGACTGTCGATCGGATGATATGGACTCGTCCGCCTGAGGCGAAGTTGCGCCTGCGAATGATGCCGAGGGTCGACCTCCAGCCGGCATGACTGTAGCTGCGGTCCCACGCCGAGTCTTTTTGCGACTCTCGTAGCGAACACGACCGAGCGTCTCGAGCGCTTCTTTGACGCTGTGCGAGTAGGCGTAGTCGGAAGCGGTGGAGCCTTCGGCGTTCTTGACAGCAAGGGAACAGCCACGCTCGATGAGCAGCTGCAAGAGCGATACGTGCCCCCATGCGGATGCAAAGTGCAGCGCAGTGTTGCCCGCGCGGTCTTGCAGATCGACATCGGAACCCAAATCTAGCAGCTGGCGTGCTACATCATCAAAACCGCGGATGCAAGATAGATGAAGTGCGGTCCTTCGGTCATGCAAGGTCTCGGCATCGATCAGATCAGCCAACGTAGATGCGACGTGGCTCGAGGTGTACGTCGAGTAGGCGTAGATGATGTCGGAGCGATCGTACAGAGTTGCGAGGTGGAGCACGGTGTTGCCGTCGTTATCTAGGCTCGGGATGTGATGTTCGTGACCCATTTCTATGAGCCAGCGAATCATCTCTACATCAGCATTGTGTCTGATAGCTACGAGCAAGCTGGGATCAGCATCTTCGACTGCATCTTGTGCAAAGGACTCGTCGTGTATGGCGAGTGTGTATTTGCGGTGGTGGTGATGCTTGGTGAGACCTACACCCTCGGGTGCGTCTGCAACGTTGCGGATGTCGAAGGGATGTGCCGACGAAGGTCGTTGCGCCTGTGCTGCACGCAGAGCCGCTCTGGGCGCACGAAGGGTGCTCCCGTCGCCAAGCGCGCCGTACGCATCTTGTTCTTCGGATCGGGGCAAGAACTGAAGGTCGAATGCTCTGGCGGCAATCCGCTGTGCTGCAGCCAGGTCGCCCTGCTGGATAGCTCGTCGAAAGCGCTGGCTTAAAGTGGTCCGAGAAGAGGTCGATGGCCCCGAAGCAGCTGGTTGCACTCTACGAGAAGGAATTTCGACTTTGTTTGTTCGGGCTGGCGTAGCGATGCTTGGTTGCCTCGGTGTTCGCAACAGCGGATTCGGAGTTGAGGACTGCGGTATGGACAGCATCCTGTCGGCATGACAGTGAGATTTAGTTGTGCCGGAGTCGTGAATGGCAGGAAGCGCAGCTCGGCCAAGTGTGCTTTGAGAGCTTCGGTATCAAGATATTAGTAGCTTCTCGAGCTCGGCGTCCCCAGTTCGCGAACGGTTTCACGACTACGTTGAGCTGGATGAAGGAACGCCCGGGCGGACGGTCGCTTCTTCTTCAACCCACTTTCAAGCGCTTGGCACCGTCTCGACTGATAGCGTCGACGCAAGTCGTCCTTTCGGCCCAAAGTTCTGCAGTTGGTGTTTGCTAGCCGCCGCTGCACGGACACTGCACGTAGTACACCAATTGCATTCCACCAAGACGTTTTCAGGGTCCAGACCCTCCCAATCTGAGCAGATCGTACCCCGATGCTTCTGTAAACATTTCGATCGATTCGAGCGTGATCGGAACAGTTTCACAAAACGAGAAAAAGACGAGGAAAAAGTCAGGGAAAGAATTCTTGAGAAAATCCCTCAGATCAGGCTCGAGCGCACGGTTCTTTCTTGCTCGAGTTCACGCCGTGACGTTGACATGCTGGAGCACGGTCAAGACAGGCGTCCGAGAGACCTTGCGCGACTCGAACAAGAGCAGCAGCCTGGACGCAAGGAGCGATATGACTTGTTAGGACCACTGCCATGCACTAGACAGCGGCAAAGCGGCGTAGAAGGTGCGGCAACGTGCTCGCTTCTTGCATGGAAGCCCAGCATCGCGGTCGCGCTGGGCGCTGAGGAGTGGTGTGGACAGACAACGCTCTTTTGCAGACCATGAACGCCATCTTCTCCGAATCCGACTCGTTACTTGACGATTGAAGAGGGTGACAAGTCTTGAGTGGCGGGCTGTGGGCGGGTGTACAGCAGTGCACGTCGCTGGCGAGCCAGTTCCCCTGTTGTGTTGAGATACTCTGGATTTTCGCCTAGACTGAGTTCTTCTGCCGCCTTCTGCGCTGAACGCTGACGCCGTCCGCTCCCGTCAGCCAAAATTTCTTCTGCGACTTCTTCCGTCTGTGGAGCTGAGCTGTGTTGTGGCAGAGGATCGCCTTGCCGCATGGACCAGCTCGAACAACACTATATATACGTCCCAGGTACTCCCTCCTGCGGTTGTCACACCAGAACTATTTCTCCTCGTCCTCATACACAAAAGTAACGTAAGTGTCCTATGATTTCGTACCATCCGTCTCCCCGTCGCCATTACACTGCGTCGAGTCAAGGTTCGCAGTTGTGACCGCATACACGTCGATCTTTCCAGATTCTAGCATCGACGCCCGCATTTCATTATCAGTGTGGATCGCACGCTTCTAGAAGCCTTCTTGTCGATCGCCGTTGTTGCTGTGTGCGACTCTCCCTCCCCTCGCATCTATCCATTTTGCCATACCTGCTCACTCACACACAGTACTTCTTACTTTGCTATTTTCCGCGATGCACGCCACCTTTGCACGTCAATTCACTTCGTCCGCCAGAATCATGTCCAACGTTTTCTTCGACATCACCAAGAACGGCAGCCCTATGGGCCGCATCACGTTCAAGCTCTACGACGACGTGGTGCCCAAGACCACGCAGAACTTCCGTGAGCTCTGCACTGGCCAGCACGGTTTCGGTTACGAGGGTTCCTCGTTCCACCGTGTCATCCCCCAGTTCATGCTGCAGGGTGGTGACTTCACCGCCGGCAACGGTACCGGTGGAAAGTCGATCTACGGCGCCAAGTTCGCCGACGAGAACTTCAAGCTGGCCCACACCAAGCCCGGTCTGCTCTCGATGGCCAACGCCGGTCCCAACACCAACGGATCGCAGTTCTTCATCACCACCGTCGTCACCTCGTGGCTCGACGGAAAGCACGTCGTTTTCGGCGAGGTCGTCGAGGGCATGGACATCGTCAAGGCCATCGAGAACGAGGGTACCAACTCGGGCAAGACCAAGTCCAAGATCACCATCGCCAAGTCCGGTACCGTCTAAGCCGATCGCTTGACTCGCTGCTGCACCCCGAAGAATAATGCATGCATAAACGTACTCTCGCTGTAGATTCGTATCAGAGCTGCAATTCGAGATGCGTTGTAATCTGTTGTCCTCACTGACAGGTGTGAAATGAAGTTGCGTGCGGAAAAGCCGAGGAGGCCTTCCGCTTCGACAGAAACTTCCTTGTGTAGGCTGTGGGCATAAGGCGCCAAGATGAGATCCGACACGCAGCAACTCAGCAACGCACCCGAACCAGACGGGTAGAGTGAAAGCTTCCCAAGACAGAACAGTGAATGATGTTGAATCCATACATCGACAGGACGCATCATGAAGAGTTTTCCTTCCATACAACCGAACTCGACTCCAACCCCGCAGCAGCAGCCGCTTGCTCCGCATCGATCGTGATGGGCGGATGAATGGCAACGTCTTGCTGTGCATCCGCTTCCACGCCTATCCACGAAGAGCTCATGTTCGAGCTCTCGGCGTCGCTTCTGCTTTCCTGCTTGCTACCCTCGCGTTTCGCCGAGATCGACGAGGAAGTTGGGGAATCGCTCGACAGGCTCACCACGCTGGCACTGTACGAATCGGCTCCGTCTCCAGTCAATATGGCGTCTCGATCGACTCCGGCAGCCGAAGCAAGATGCTCATCCTTTTCCGCTGTAGAGATCCTGCCGGGGCTGACGGGGGTGAAGTTCAAACCACCGGAAAGACCCCTTCTGCGCGTTCTCACGGGACTGTCCCGCCCGCTCTCCGTCCCACTCTCCGCATCTGTGTCAGCCATCCCCAACGCCCCATCAACACCAACCCTCGGAGCCCGACCGAAATAATCCTCTTCTCCACTCTCCGTCGCAGGAGAAGCGACCATCGCATCATCCGACGAACGTCGTTTCGCCAAACTGCTCAATCTCGCCTGTTGACCACCGCTAGCCACCCACGCAGCCTCTTCCTCGGCGGATGCAATGCTGAGACTTCGTGCACGTTGTCGCAGCAGCGTCTCTGCGTCGTACGTTCCCGGTGTGAGAAGCGGCGCTTTGACGATGCTAGGGATGTTGGAGCGATCCGTGGGTCGATGACGATCGTTCTGGTAGACTCTGGGTTTGCGCCGGGAGCTGGAGCGACCGAGGGCAGTTTTGACGTCTGATTTGGTCTGACGTTGAATACGAACTCGACGCCGATGCAAACCTAGCGTTCGGAAGACCGCGTAGCCAGCGAAATCGATGACGCCGATTAGGAAGATCGGTAGGAGGATGAGGAGCGAGATGAGTCGACAGGTCTGGGAGAAGAGCGTGATCCAGTAGGGCATAGGTGGATCGATGATCATCCTCCATGTCGATACGGGTTGCGGTTCTGGATTGCGGAACAGCGCAGATTCGAGCAGGTTTCTGAGGGCGGAGAACACGCTGTAATCCGCCCAAGAGGAGGAAGAGGTCTGTTGGAAGAACGACATTGTGTTGAAACCTCGCACACGTCCCGGATGGTTGTACGCTTGGGTGGCAGTTGTCTAGCGGGGATGATGGACGTTTGACCGTGCGAATTGCCGTCCTGTTCGACTGTAGCTCAGTGCATACCGGTTCTTCGTTTCCAATACACCTGCGATGCTGCGGTCGATCGAAAATGTAGTGATTCAAGCAGTGTTGTTGTGAGAATGGGCTGCTCGTCCTACTTTGAGAGTTGTGAGGATGGGTGGGTGTCCAGGAGCATAGGCCCTAACTTCGCGGGGTTTCTTTTGGGCTTTCAGGCGTGTGAATCACAGGACCTGCATGAGCACAAAGGCACCAGACCCGGCTCGTGCACCGAAATTCCATCGCGGGCCCGTGTTAGCTCGACACCTGCTGTTCTTTAATTGAGGATTTTACACGTACGAGTCGTCCACTGCGAGAAGAAAGTAACTCAATTTGCGCTGCATCGAAGTCGAGAAAAAAAAGTTGGATTTTTATGGAGGACAGTCCAAAAAAAATGGAGGAATTCTCGAGCGACACCCTTTCTCTGCTGCAGCCGGTGGCACTTCCTCCTGCCGCATCTCACAGCTCCACCATCTCTCGAGGAGCATCTCCCATATACCCGCAATACACCATGTCGGCAGAACAAGTCAAGCAGGAGGAGCAGGTGCCTGCTGCTTCCACCTCGGCAGCACCCGAAGCCTCCTCCACCGCTCCCACCACCGAAATGACCGTCGATGAGGCCAAGGAGGAAGCCCTTCGTCAGGTCGAATTCTACTTCCACGACTCCAACCTTCCCTACGACAAGTTCCTCTTCACTTTGACCCGCAAGGACCCGGAAGGATGGGTTCCCATCGCCACCATTGCCTCGTTCAAGCGTATGCGTGCCATCAAGGAGCTTCTTGGTCTCGACGGCATCGCTACCGTTCTTCGAGGATCCAAGGAGCTCCTCGATGTCAGCGAAGACGGTGCTAACGTCCGTCGACGAAAGGAGCTCGTGCCCGTCAAGGACGCCTTCGACCGATCCGTCTACGCCAAAGGGTTTGGCTCTGAGACCGAAACCCTGCAGAAGGAGCTCGAGACGTTCTTCAACACCTTTGGCAAGATCAACAGCGTCCGCATGCGACGTGACATGGAATCGTCCGAAAAGCCAAAGCCCTTCAAGGGGTCCGTGTTCGTCGAGTTTGCAGACATGGGGGACCGAAACAAGTTCCTCGCCCAAGCAGCAGCCGCCGAGCCCGAACAGGACGGTGGTAAAGGCATCACCTTCCAAGACACCCAGCTCGTAGCCATGAGCAAGGACGCTTACGTCAAGATGAAGATGGAGGAGAAGGGCATCGACCCCAGCAGCAACAAGGTCCACCGTGGCAACGATGCGTCGCACAAGAAGTTCAACGCTTTTAAGGAGATGAACCGACAGCAGCGGGATGGATCGCGTCCCAACAGGGCAGAAGACAACAAGCCCAAGCGATCCGATCCATTGGAGTTCGAATACAACGGCAAGCCTCTGACCACCCGTGCCGATGGCACTGTTGACCCGGACGCCGTCGAGTTCCCCGCCAACTCGGTGCTCAAGTTCACCGGCGCCGGCGAAGGCGGCAACTGGAAAGATCTCAAAGACACCCTCATTACTGTTCACCCAACCTCGTTCGTCGAATTCCCCACCGGCGCCGTCGAAGGTGCCGTCGGCTTCAAAGAGTCCCTCTCCGACGACAAACTCGCCGAGATCAAGGGCAAGAACATCACCGTCGGTGGAAACGTGGTCGAATTTTCCCGCGTCGACGAGGAGACCGCCAAGAAGTTCTACATCGAACGCGCCAACTTCCGCGCATCGTTCATGCTCGATCGACGCGAGGCCGATTCGCAGCGCAACGGCGGTCAGCGTGGAAATGGAAGCTACAGCCGTGGCGGTCGTGGTGGTCGTGGTGGTCGTGGTGGCAAGTTCGGCAGGGGCGGCGGTCGAGGTGGTTTCGGCAGAGGTGGTGGAGACAAGAGGAAGCGAGAAGACGGCGGTCGTGACGACGGCGCACCACCTTCCATCGGAAAGAAGGCCAGGTCGGAAGAGTAACTTTGTGGCCAAAAATGTGTACATATCCTTTACATCTGCATCGCCTCTCCCCTCATCGACATTTGTATTCTGCATCCCATCTCGCTCCCGACTTCACAGTCTGTGCTCCGACCGCTCTGAATTAGTTCCATTGCAAAAAGCGACGTCAATCTCCAAGCTTGGGAAGGGAATCACCTTAACCGAGCAGACAGGACCTCCTCTTTGTGTTGCTGGCGATGCTTCCTAATGGCTCTATCGGCAATCAAGTTTCGCCAGAAGGGAATGGCGATCCACCCTATCAGCGCAATCACCCTATCGAGCAACCCACGATTGGTCGGACCGGCACCAAGAGCTGCTGTGCGGAACAACTCCGTGTTGAAGTCCGTCGTGATGAAAAAGTGTCCCTTTTCGACGCCTGTATTAGGAAAGAATGTTCGATGTTGTCAGTCCAACCGAAGCTCCAACTATTAGGCTTCTCGGGCACCGCACCGAAACAACAATCGGAACGATCCCGAGAACAAGGGCAGCGCGTACTGCTCTGCTTCGCCAACTCACCCTTGATGAGACCCTTTGCGCATTGTGCCGGTGTCAAACCTTCTTCCTCGCCTTCGATTTCGAGAGTGATCTTGGGCTTGGTCTTGTTTTCCTCTTCCAGCCCGGGCGACAGGATCGTTCCTGGGAAGTAGGCCTGGACGGAGATGCCGTAGAGTATCAATTCGGACCGTAGCGACTCGGCGAGTCCTGTAAATTTCAGCCAATGGGCAGAGGACAGAAAAGACTCGGTGAGCGTGCTGACCATGGCGATGCAAAAGCTTCTTCAAGAGCGATTGTTGGTCATACGTACCTCTGATGGCATGCTTCATGGGTCCGTACTGAGAATAGCCGATAAGTCCAATGAGTCCGAGCGTGGAGCTGATGAGTACGATTTTGCCATTGGTAACGTTGTTCCGTGCCATGGCATTCGCTGCTGCCTACTCGAGGACAAGGCAATCAGGGTGCGACGGTGGATTGGGACAAGTATCACGAATGTTAGTGAATGTCCGCAACGGTACGCCTAATGACGGAGGTAAAAACTTACGTGTGAAGTAGCGAGGCACGTCCAGTAGTCGGTCCTCATTCCCTTTTCGAAGTCGCTTTCGGTCTGTTCGATAAAGAAGCCCGGTTTGGCGCCACCAGCGCAGCAAAACACGGTATCTGGAACGACGCTGCACGACTCGATGGCTCGTTTTGCGCCTTCGAAAGTCGATACATCCGCAGCGACATACTCGACCTTCTGGTCTTCCGTCTTGGCTGCTGCCTGCGAGCGGAGAAGTCCGTACGAGACAGACCCACAAGAAAGGGGGACCGCAGCAGAATACCACACGACGAAAGATTTGATCACGTCAGCATCGAGCTCAACGATACCAAGAGCATCTTTCCCTCGTTCAAGCAAGCTTTGACGTAACTTACCTTGACTTTGCCCACCGCTTCTCGAAGCTTGGACTCGGTTCTGCTGCAGATTGTGACGTTGGCACCTTTGGAAGCGAGCAACTCGGCGACCGCCAGGCCGAGACCCTGCGAGCCGCCGGTGATGAAGACGTGCTTCCCTTGCGCTTTCCACTTTTTGCTCCGCAGTGCACCCATGATGGACGAAAGGACGATCGATAGGATAATCGCGGCGAGCGCGGTTCTTGAAGCGAGGCTCGTGAGCAGCGCGGGTGCGGACAGCATTGCGCTATCTCCGGCGTTTGCGGGTCGGGCGACTTTGAGCGAAAACGCTGATCCCGAGGTAGTTCCGAATGCCGAGCACCGGTAGGATAGGCTCTATCAGCTCGAGTGTCGATCTCGTGGAGCTTGATGAAGGTGTTGGTTGTGAGGGGCCGGCAAGGAAGCGAGGTGCTGGTCTCGATTCGTGATAGGGGAAAAAGTGTAACTTAGCCTGGACGCTGGTTCACGCACCTCTCACGCAGCGCGGCGAAACCTTAACATGCTCAGTCTCTCAAAAAACCGCGTGCTGGTGCTCGAGCCAGCAACACCATCTTGGCCAGATCTTCTCAACCACCTGTTTCTCTCGTTTCTCCATATTAAGCCGCTGCAGAGGCCCGTCGACAACAGCAAGGAGGAGGCGAGAGGTCGCGCACGCTTGGCCAGTCAGCCATGAATGCCCATGCTTCCACCAGCAGCATCAACGGGGACGCAGGGCTCTACGGCGACGAACTGCAAGAAGCACCGGCGTTCCCTTCGCTGACACCCCTCTCCCACGACTTGGCCTTGCTATCGCCCACACAGACTCCCAACTTCTCCGTCGACGACTTTCTCCTCTCACGCACAAAGGCTTCCGACCTCAATTTTATCCTCAGCGACCTCCGCAGCTACAGCGAGAAGCTCAAGGACGAACTCTACTCGATCATCAACGAGGATTACAAGGATTTCGTCTCCCTCGGCAGCAGTCTCAAGTCGGAAGCGCATCGCATAGCTCGCCTTGGATGGAATGCTCGCTCCATAGATGCTGACTCGCAGGAGCATGTTCCATCGCAGGGCCTGATGGCTCCGGTGCGCGAGACTTTGCTCGCCTCCCGTAGCATGCTCAAGAGTGTCCAGGAGGATATCGAGGATTGCATCAGGCGTAAAGAGGATGCGGGCAGTCACAAGACGAAGCTCGAGCTGATGCTACAGCTCGACGATTCGATCGTAAGGCTCGAGGACCTGCTGCTGATACAGGATGAGGCGGCCAAAAAGGGAAGACGAAGATCGTCTCATGCCGCAAGGAGGCCTTCGTTGCTGAGCATCACTTCTGTCGGAAAGCGAAGAGATAGCGTTGCATCAGCGGCATCTGGTTCGGATCAAGAGCTTTCCGACTACGCCATGTCTTCCGAGTATGAGGACGAATCGGACAGTGACGAGGATCTTTCATCGGATGAACCCCAAAACAGCAAAGTCAACGGTCACGGTCGACAAAAGCGCGCCAGACGAAAGATCCTCCGTCGCTTCTCTTCGGGCGCACCACAATCATCGTGGCCAACAAGATCCTCTGACGATCACTCTCCCACCCGCACAAGAACGCGCTCGGACACACTCACCAGCAATGGTGCTTCCGCTTCCTCATCGATGCTCGGACTACCACAAAGGATCGCACGCACCTCCGCAGAGTACTCTCGCCTGCGCTTCCTCCACCGTCGTATCGACGAGGAGAATCTCAGCCACTTCACAGACGCTCTTCAAGATCGCATCGACAACGTCCGCTCCCGGCTCCGTCAAGACGTTCGCACGCTCCTCGCTCATCTCCTTTCGCCCCAATCGCTCCTGATGCACGGACAAAGTAGTGCCAAAGTACCATCTTCGCCAGAGCTCCGGAAAGCGCCTCGGTCTTCGCCGATTGCAGCCAGCGCACGCAGAACGAGCTTCTTGCAGAGTCATCCCCCGACGATACACGAGCAGGCGACGAACGAGTTGGACGCGTGGAGCCAGATCGCCGAGCCGGTTGAGCAAGGAGCAGAATCGACGTATTGGGAGGCGAGGTTGGAGGAGCAGCGTTCGTGGTTGGAGATGGCTCTGTCGACTTTGAACGCGCTCCCGCTCGTGAGTGATCGTCAGGAGGATGGCGATGAGGGGGTCGGGAGGCGGGGAAACGAGGCTGAGGAAGCTGTGCGTGATCTGCTGGTCCTTGATTGGGCGACGAAGAACATTGGCGTCGACAAGGAGTCGCTGGGGAACGATGTCGCCGGCCAGGGTTCGTTCAAGGACTTGCCACCGGCAGTGCAAGCACTCTTCGCCGAGCATCGCAGCCACATCTCATCACTTCTCCTCTCATCTTCCTCCTCATCCGATCCCTTAGTCGAGCTATACAACTCCATACTCACATTCGTCGCCACCACCGCATTCCAAGTATGCGACGCCTCCCGCGAGATCTCTCACCAACTACGCACCTCCTCCTCCACCGTGTCCCACCCAACCAGCGGCTCCTCTCGCAACGAGCTGGACTGCGATATCTTCACCAACGTCATCTGGTCCACCCTCTCCTCCCGTTTGCTCGATACGATGGGCAACACCATCTTCTTCGTCGGACAAACCGATCTCTTTTACTCCAACTTTACGCTCACTTCGAAGTTTCTTTCGCGGTTTCTCGACCTCGCGCCAAGGCCGGAGAGCAGGGCGGCGATGCAGGCGCATGCGAACTGGTCGACGTTCAAGAGGAGGTGGCAGTTGCCCGTGTACTTTCAGATGCGGTTTAGGGAGGTTGTGACGGAGATGGAGGCGAAGCTGGCGGAAGGAGGAGGGAGGAGGAAGACGGAAGTCGGTGGAGAAGAGTGCATGGAAGCGACGAGGGGGACGGTGGAGGCGATGGAGAGGGTTTGGGGGGAAGGCGTGCATATCCACGAGTTGTCGGCGAGGGAGTGGAGGGTGACGCTTCAGCTGTTGAGTCGGTACAAGACGTGGGTGGAGGAGCAGTCCCCCGTCGAGGTGAATCGACAGCATGAACTCGCAAGGATCAGCGGTGGTGGGGGTACAGATTCGAGGACGAGTTTGGATAGGTCGAGTGTCGAGATTTCGAGGGTGTCGACTCCGCAACCAGCGGGGGATCTGAGTGGACAACAGCAGGATGACGAGCAGTTGGAAGTGGGTGTACATCTTGTTCGGGATTGTTTGCTGTTGAGGAGGAGGATGGAGGAGATGTTGGACGAGGTGATTCTGCATAAAATCGGTCAAGGGGTTGAGCTTGACGAAAAGTCAGGGTTGGAAGGGTTGAGATCGGATCTGTGGAGCGTCCTCGACGGGGAATCACTATCCTTCATCCCCGGACTTACGTCTTCCATCGGTCGTCTAGCCTACAACCTCATCCTACCGCGCGTCGTATCCCCGCTTCGGATGCTCCGATCATTCTCGACCCCGACCTACCGTCCCACCACTTCCGAAGGTGGACCTGCCGTCCAAGTCATCCACCAGATGTTCACCCCGCTCACCGCATTCCTCACGCTCTGCTCCTCTCTCCCCATATCCACCAAACGTCACTGGACCGCAAAGATCCTCTCCGAGACCTTCAAACGCTACACATCCACCATCGAGACGGTCAATAAAAACCAACAGAGCTTGATCAAGCTCAAAAAATCGCAAGCCCCAACGACCCTGCTTGGTGGGTTGTGGAAGAGCAACTCTTCCTCAACCGGTGGTGGTGGAGGGGATACGACAGACTTGGAAAAATCCTTCGAGGAGACAAACAGACATGCGTTGGCAACGTTCGAGCGCCTACTGGAGGAGCTGCACCTGGATTTCGATCTGGACGAATGGGACGCTTGGATCGCCTTGAAGAACTTTTTGCTTTCAGGATTCGATCAGCTGTAGAGTCGTCACCCTCACATCACTCGCAGATTCGCAACAGCCATGCTCAGCACGGCGAGAGACAACCAGCACAACGCAAGCACGTCGATGCGAGAGTATAGAGTCAATGCAATGTATTAAAAAGGATGAAGAGAATGGAAGAGGCATCTGTGCACGTGCAGCTTTAAACGGAGAAAGATCGAGGCAAACAATCATCGATGACTTGCCAAAGAGGAAGGAATTCGAGAGGGACGCAGGAGAATGAGGGGCGAACGATAAGAGGCGTCCGGCAAGAGGAGAGCGAGGCGACTCTTGACCTGTCGTGTATGAGGTGTTCAGTTGAGCGCTGGCGTGAAGGATTATCGGATGCTGTCAGATGCTGGAATCGAATGGGTATTGTTCGGAGGCATGAGAAAATCAAGATTCCCACTGATCCTCCTCCGGCTCGCGATCTCCCTCGACCTCTGCCATGGTGTGGAACAACTCGACCGCGAAAGCGTTCATAATACCCGGAGTCACCATCTCGGCTTCTTCCAGACAAGCGCGTAGATTGGCAAGCGTTCGCACGGCGTCTCGCCGAGACGCGACTGCCATGTTGAGCTGCTCGATGACAGGTAGGAACACAGTATCGAGCGCGGTGAGGCGTGCGGCCTGCTGCTGCTGCTGCTGCTGTTGTTGTTGTTGCTGTTGCTGGCTTTGGTAGGCTGAGTCGTGCGAGCCCTTTTGACGCTCCTGTGCCGCGTTCTGCTGACGAATGTGCATGTCTTCCATCCTTCTGCGTTCTTCCTCCACAGGGTCAGAGTAGTTGCGCCGGTTGTCCGCATAGTACGCGTCGGAAGCCTGACCGTTTCCATTGGACACTGGACGCTGCTGTGAGCTGGAACCGCCGGCGATGGCCTTGTCGTATGCGTCAGCCGCAGAAAAGCCGGGCTGGCGCTGGGCAGCATCACTCGCGCCGGCAGTCGGGATACCCGGTCGCGAGGGTGCTGCAGCGAGACGCACTGTGCCACTTGCCGAGCCCGATCCCGAACCCGCCGAGCCGGATGAACCGAATCTGCGATCGGGTTGTTGCTGTTGCTGGTATCGCTTTTGTTGCTCTTGCTGCTGCGCTGGTCGCTGGTGCTGTTGCTGTTGCTGCAATTGCTGTTGCTGCATTTGAGGCGAAGGCACAGCATGTCTCGGTGACTGCGGCGGCTGTGGGTGTGAGACTGGTTGTTCGTAGGTGGGCGAACGAGGCTGCGGCTGTGGCGATCGCGGCGGCTGCTGGAGCTGATGCTGCTGTTGTTGGTGTGGCGGGACTTGGGGAAGCTCTTTGGCCTGGTGTCGACCGGGAGGGGCATAATCGCCTTCGTTGACAGCCGCGGCGGCAGCGGCAGCCGTCATGGCACTCGCGGGCATGCGCATTGCCACAGTGCCGCGTCCACCGCGACGCATCGTGTTGCGAACGGTGCCAAAATCCCACATGTCCTCGCCTTCGTCCTGCAAGTCCTCGTCTGCCTCTTCGCTCTCCTCTGACTCGTGACGATCGCCACCTTCCGCCTTCCATCGCTCGAGCCTCTCGATGAGCTCGGTGAGGTAGGCGGTCTTCTTGGCTTTGCGGATGAAAGGATGCTTGAGAAGCTCCTTGGCAGCAGGACGATTGGCTGGGTCACGCTGCAGACAGAGGTTGATGAATTCCTTGAACGGTCGAGAGAAGGGCCCTTCCAGTTGGGGAGGCGGATTTTTGGGAATGAGGAAGAGCACCTTCATCGGATGAAGGTCGGCGTACGGCGGCTCGCCCATGGCGAGTTCGATGGCTGTGATGCCCAAACTCCAAATATCGGCCTTGAAATCGTATCCGCTCTGCTTGATCACTTCAGGACTCATCCAGTAAGGTGTGCCGACAAACGTGTTCTTCTTGGTCATAGTGGCGGTGAGTTGACCCGAGACACCGAAATCGGCGAGCTTGACATCACCCGTGGCTGAGAGCAAGATGTTGGCTGCCTTGATGTCGCGATGCAGTTTTCCTTCGCTGTGCAGATACTCAAGACCTTTGAGCAGCTCGCGCACGACAATGGCGATGTAGTCCTCGCGGAATTTGCCAGGTTTCATCTGCAGTGTTCGGGAACGTGCCGATGAGAGAATGCACGGGTCAGACAGATGCGTCAGCCGAGACGGCTTCTCAGAAAGCGGATGTATGCGTGTCGGCTGAAAGACGGGCACTTACGAGGTCTGAGCAACTGCCTCCAGAGCAGTATTCCATGACGATCCACAGACTGGTGCCCTTGAGCCAGGAGCCATGGTATCTGCAAAGGCGAAGCGTGGCCACGTTCGTCAGCGAATCTGTACCCACAAGTCCGCAACGCGCTGAAGGCAACTTACTTTGTGACGTGAGCGCTGTCGAGTTGACTCAAGATGGCAATCTCTTGCTGAATGTCGTCGATTTCATCTTCTGCGTTCTCGAGGTCGATGATCTTGATGGCGACAGGTTGCCTGGATCGCTTGTCGAAGCCTTTGTACACTTCGCCGAAGGATCCTTTGCCGACGCGGTCCTGCTTGACGTAGTAGTCCTCCGGATCGGCGCCGTGGGGTGGTTCCATCATCTCGTTATCGGTATGCGTAGGAACTAGGCCAGTGCTGTTGGACGGACAGGTTGTTTATCAGGGCAGCGCCTTTGCTGTTCGTATGCCGAAGAAGCGCGGTTGGATGCTGCGCTCAGCTCGACCCGGTGGGAAATCGCACAAGTCGCGGGTATCGATGCAAGCCTGGCTTCAAGCCGGGTGATGGGTGGATGGATGGATGGATCGGTCAAGAGCACCCTATCAGATCGACGGAGCACGGGCGTGAGAGAATGCAAATGTGATGGCTGCCTCAGGAACGGGTCGGGGTATCGAGGTCAAGGATCGCTTCGAAGGTGCAAACACAAGACAAATGCCGGAGAAAGATGGATGCAAGGAGCCGAATCCAGGGCGAGGGCGAAGAAAGCCGACGGACAGGCGCCGGTGCCTCGAGGAAGAGGTTGGTGATGGTCAAGAGCACAAGGCGGAGATGGCGTCCGAAGTGCAGAGGACTGGCCGAGAGGTTGCTGTGATACTGTAGCACCTGTATGCCGTTCGACGAGAGCGGGCGAGTGGATGAATGCGAAACCCTGTGTGATGATGGAAGCGACGAAGCGGAGAATTGCAATCAGGGGCTAAGCTACCGAACGGCTAACGAGTGGGCGGCGGAACAGCAAAATCCACTCTGGCTCGCCTGCGTCCCTGAAACAGGGAAAAACAACCGAGTGTTGGTCTGCTTCACCACAGAGACACACACACCGCACGCCCGGCCACGGGAGCGCGCGGTAAGTCGGGGGAAAGAAAAATAACACACGCAGGCCACTACATGGCTCTGTCGCTCCCACACTAATCGCGTCACATTTTGCTGGCGCGCGGCGGATGTTGAACTCCAATATAGGCGCCAACCAACGTCTTTGCACGGTTCAGCCAAGTTCAAGACGGTCGATCGAGCAAGCCACCTAGCCTTGCTTCATCTCCAACATCGCCTGACCTTGTATCGCCATGTGGACCCCATTCAGGGATATTTTGAATGAGCTATTGGTGCTGTGTGTTCGGACCCAAGCTCCGCTTCGGCGGGAGAAAGCCCCTAACAGAGGCGGCTGCGAAAATGGGATTAGGCGCAGCACTGACGACACATTGCTGCTGCCTGAATTTGATCTTCCGCGTCGATGCGAAGCAACCGCTTTTCTGAGAAGAACAGGCGGCCACACATGGGTTCGCCGGCGCAGCATCAGATGGCCGGGGGCAAGAGCGTTCATCACAACCCTCGTTTTTTGACCTTACGGTCGCAGGATGTCGTTGCCATGAAGAGAACGTAGCGCGACAACCTGCCTATTTAGGCCATTGGGAATATCGGGAGCCGATTTGACTGATTTGGTCCTTCTGGAGGCCTCGTTATCGAGATCGACGAATTCCTTCCCAAATTGAGCTTGTCAGCATCGGTAGGCGAGGCAGCAGCAGCGCTTTCCTGCCGCGTTTCTTCTCGACGCCCAATTTTGAATAGCCGGTTTAGACGGCTCGACTCGACTTGATCCTCTTCTGTTAGGCCCGAAGCGCTCAAACCCACCTCCATACCGTCAACATAACACACTTCTCGCTAGCGGCCGCACCGTGTTTCCTCCACGCTCAGATCTGCTCGACGGTCTCCCTTCCTCCGAGGATCTCTGGGAACATCTTGGCACTGAAGTGACCGCCAAAGTAGAATCGAGCACCCCGAGCATCCTCGCTGACACGCAGCCAGAATGACTTCAACGCAGCCCGCTGCGGGCACTGCCGTTGCGCCCGTCAAACTCTCGACAGCGGAAGGATTCGTGGCAGGCGCATTGGCGGCCATGACGGCCGTGACCGTCACGAATCCGATGGAGGTTTGCAAGACTCGCATGCAGCTTCAGGGAGAACTCATGTCGGCAGCGCCGCGCGTGCTCAGCGGCCAAGCTGGCTCGGCAGCACCCCAGACTGGCGCCCAGAATGCCGTCGGCGCACGACTCTACAAGTCATCACTGGACTGTTTCGCCAAGACGCTCAAGTCGGAAGGCATCAAGGGAGTACAACGAGGTATTGGCGCCGCCTACGTGTATCAGGTGCTGCTCAACGGCAGTCGTCTCGGCTTCTACGAGCCATTGCGCAAAGCGATCAACCGTGCAGCAGGCAAGCGACCGGAGGAGCAGTGGGCAGCGGGTGCCTTCGCGGCAGGTGCATCGAGCGGATGTGTAGGTGCCATCCTCGGCAATCCGCTCTTCCTCATCAAGGCACGAATCCAGGCATACAGTCCGCACTTTGTCATCGGCAAGGCGTCGCACAACTACAAGAGCACCATCGATGGTCTGGTCAAGATCGTCCGGAGCGAAGGAGCTCGCGGTCTGGTGCGGGGTATGGACGCTGCCGTGTTGCGGACGGCAATGGGAAGCACAGTACAGCTGCCAGCGTATACATGGTTCAAGAGCTACTTGACCAACATGGACGTCGATGCCAACCCGTACAATCCGCTTAAGTTCCTCGCCAACAAACCCAACTCCTTCTTCACCTATTTTGCATCATCCATCTTCAGCGGCCTCTGCGTATGCGCCGTGATGCAGCCAGCGGACACGGCCCTGACCCGCATGTACAACCAGCCGGTCCGAATCGACGAGCGCGGCCGTAGCGTCGGAACGCTGTACCGCAACCCCTTCCACTGCCTCTACCTCACCGCCAAATCAGAGGGCGTATTGGGCTGGTACAAGGGTACCACAGCGCATCTCTTCCGTATCGCACCGCACACCGTGTTGACGTTGGTGGTCAACGAGGCGTATTTGCGGTGGTACACCAACTTCAAAGCCGGTCGCTCCTTGTTGGATGCTCCTCCGGCTGTCAAGAGTACGTAAAGGGACGTCGTCGGATTGGAAATCGCAGCATATAAACAAGGAGATCTGGGCATAGGCGTGGAACAAAAGTAATCAATCATGATAGACTCTCGGAAAGAGCCATTGCAAGCCTAGTGACCATGATGAGCCGCCTGAATGATCTGTCGATGACGGGCATCGCTGAATGTTGATGTTAGACCTTCCCGCGCTTAGGTGCTGTTCGAATAATTTGCTCACTGGGCTGCCACGTCGCGAGAATCCGCTTGCTATTCGAGTCTGAAGAAGAGTTCGAGGAATGTGATGGACAGCTGGCTCGATGGCAGTCGCCTCTTGCGCCAGTCGATAGTCTACATCATGACCATCGTACAACGATATTGTGGCGTCAAGGAACGGACCCAATGCTCAGGTCGTATGACATGTCCTCCTTGAAAGGTGAAGAGTGGCCATAGCCACAATGTAGACAAGCGATCGTCTGGCGAATCAGGGCAAAACATTGATCACACCAGCAGTACGGATCGCTGAAGCTTGTCCTTGAACGGTGAGACACCGGCGTTTTTGACAGCAGCAGGTGCAGCAACAGCCCGTCACAGACGAAGCAGATCCCGCTCTTTCCGCATCGAACCCTAACGAAAGCTGTTTGACGTGACAGCTGTAAGTCATGCTCTTAGGCTCACCAGCTGTGCATTGTATTCAAAGCGGTCATCAGACTCTTGAATTTGGCATAACGAAAACAATACATTTCAAAGGCTTCTCTCAAAATCATCCTATGCAAGTCTGTTCTCATTGGCGACTCTCACCCTCCGCTGGCGCAATCGTTGTCCCCTTCAGCAGAGCGAAGCTAATATGGGCTGCACAACGGCATCAATCGATGTATCAGGATCGTCTGGACAAATGCATCGTTTTCATGGCCAATCTAAGCGCCAGTATTTTTGACATGAGAATGGCAAGACAGAGAGAGAGAGAGAGAGAGAGGTCCAGGCGGCAGTGTCATTGTGCAGAGAGGAAATGAAAAATTAGCGTAAAAGCACTGACCAAGTTCTGTGGGCGCGTCGACGCTGAAAGAGAAAAACAAGAGCGGGAACTGCAGAGTGAGGTGGACACTCTCTCTTTCGTGCCACTCTGGAGCGGTTTCATGTCCATGCTCATTCCGTGCTGCACCTCCTGCCTGCTCGGTTCTTCCAAGCTCGGGTGCCTCCTTACCTCCTCCTTTCTTCTCTTCGACCCTCTCCATCAACTTTCAAAACACAAGCCACTTGCCACGCGGACCATCACGATCGCTCCCGTCTAACGCACGCAGTCGACACCGCGCTCCACGCAGAATTGGTCATCCAGTCGCTTCTCGTCTTTCCACCATCGGCAACCGAGCAGGCTTCCCTTTACGAGTTCGTCCAACAACATCTTGTTGTCTTTCTTTCCATCTGATTTTATATATAGGTATGTACTCCAAGCCCGCCATGCTCCGTCTCCATCTTGCCTCTCCTCCTCCTCCTCCTTCTCCTCCTTATCGTGCACTGCTCCACCATCTGGTGACACGCCGGCATCTGTCTGCAAAATCGCTCGCACTTTGCTGGACCCATACGGACATAGTCTACCTCATACCCGCAAGACTTCATAGCTGACGTTCCCTCTTACCGCGAAAACCATGGCTGCTCGTCTCGATTTCAATACCTACGACTCTTCTTCGTCATCTTCGGCTCCTTCCTCGTCGGCTTCCTTCGCCCGCTTCGGTGCATCTGCAGCAAGTCCGTATTCCACAATGGCTTCCTACGGCGCGTCTCCATACGCCTCTACGAGCACCAGCTCGCAGAACGAGTCACCGCTCGACAAGGTGCGCGAATACACGTCCAAGGTCGAGGACCTCATCGACCAGTACACGCAGCCCATCAAACCGCATCTGCCCGCTCTCGGTCGATTCCTCATCGTCGTCACCTTCCTCGAAGATGCACTGCGCATCATGACTCAATGGTCCGACCAAAAGTACTACCTGCAACGTCACCGTGGCATCCCTTGGGGCATCAGCCACATTTTCCTTCTCTCCAACGTGATCGTGAGTATTAAAAACAGCAGCTGAGCGGAACAGCCTTCCGGACGGAAGCGATGGATTCTGAAGAAGGATCCCTACTGACGTCTCTTTTCTGCGACTGCATTTCCCACTCTGTTCCTATACAGGTCATGTGCGCTGCCTCTGCGGCCGTGATCATGCGCAAGTACCCCGAGATCTCGGTCGGCGCCTTGTTTGGTGTCGTGGTGGTGCAAGGATTCGGATACGGTCTCATCTTTGATCTCAACTTTTTCCTCCGCAACCTCTCGGTGGTCGGTGGCCTGCTCATGGTGCTCTCGGACAGCTTCGCGGCCAAGAAGAACATTTTCGCCGGACTTCCAAGCCTCAGCGAGACGGACCGCAAGATCTACTTCCAGCTGGCGGGACGTGTGCTGCTCATCTTCCTCTTTATCGGATTCATCATTCAGGGCGAATGGTCGCTGGCACGTGTGCTCGTCTCGGTGCTCGGCTTGGGTGCCTGCATCATGGTGGTCGTCGGCTTCAAGGCACGATGGAGCGCCAGCTTCCTCGTGCTGATCCTCAGCGTGTTCAACCTGTTTGTCAACAACTTTTGGACGGTGCACTCGGCCCACCCTTCGCGCGACTTTTTGCGCTACGACTTTTTCCAGACGCTCTCGATCGTGGGTGGTCTGCTGCTGCTCGTCAACATGGGACCTGGTGGTCTCTCGGTCGACGAGCGAAAGAAGGTCACCTAAGCGTCGAATCTTCTGTAGTCGTCGCGAGCAACCGTCGATGGGCTCTTCGTCGAGGGAAACAGCCCCTCGTGGGTGTTCCGGGAGCTCGCGACAGGTACCCATCTAATCTCTTTCCTCTCATCAGAGCAAATTTATGCGATCCTACTTGGTCCTGTATATCTTCCAACAAGCTTTGACACTGTCTTTGCCGCGCACTGTCATCGAAAAACTGATTCCCGAGTTCCTATCTGTGCGGTGTGTAGCCTGCAGGCTCGAAAGCTCGGCGTTATCGTGGCCAGACGTGAGAGAGTGTGGAATCGGTTGGATCGGGCCGCAGATTTGTCGATACTGGATCAGGGTGGGCGCCTCTTTTTTTTTTGGTATTGGATTTTTTGGTGCCATTATTTTTTGAGTGAGATTTTTACTCTTGGCCCACTGACATCATATCTCTCACGACCAAGCACCGCCTTTGGAGATCCGTACATGGCACGTGCTTCGAGCAACAACGCCCAACTCATCATCAGGAATGTATCAACGGTAGGCTCATTGATCCTACTTTCAGAATCGAAGACCAAAGAGACTCGAGGACCTTGAACGAAAGAACAGGCGAGAGGAAGACAGGGTTCCGGAGGGTCCAAGATTTAAAGCTCGGGGCTGGTTTAGCCTGTACTCCATCCCGACCCAACACCTGCTCTGGAGGCTCTGGACTGACGTTCAGAGACGTTCGATAAAGATCACTCAAGACTCGACTCTGTATGAGCCACGAAAGATCGAGAACCAACGTCTGAGCCATGCGTCATTGCAGTTTCGTGTGGCGGGCGCTAACACTGCACGAATGAGTGAGCGGACAGCTGCGATGGTTGCGGATTGCGGTGCTGCTTGGCAACCGCGATGACGCCTAGGTTGCTGGTGATCCGCCCCGAATCGGACCCCCGCCCTTTTTGACGAGATTTCGGAGCAGTTCCATGCAACGGCCGCATGGAAACAGGGTCCTCTCGTCTTCTGCCTCGATTATTGTCTCCAAGGCCAGCTATGATACGGTGGTCGGTCGTCTTGCACTGCCAACTTCGCTTGCCACAACTCCGCTACGAGCGCCTCGAGACGCCATCTTTCGGCTGGAAAAGCGTGCGGGTTGATTCTCGCCACACGGCGACAGAGGCGGTGCTGTACGAAGCGATGGCGGTCGGCCTGCCGAAGCGTGTCACATGGCAGCAAGCAGCTGGCCCCCCGCAGAAGGTCACGTCGTCGTCATGCCAACAAACTCGCGAGATGATGTGGGTGGTCGAGGCGCAGGGAAGCTTCGAGACGCTCTAACTGCAATCGACTCGTTCTAGCTGCAACGCGTGGGCTCGTTTGACCAGTACGTACTGCACTGTGCAGTAGTGACGTGCGAAGATCGAGTGGCTTGCTGCAAAGCATGCGGATGGTGAGAGACTTGCCGCGAAGCTTCGCTGCGAGTCTCGATCCTCTTGTCGGACTCGAAACCCACCAACAGCTGCGACGGCACAATCCGAGTTTGACGACACTATCGTACAGCAGCGGTCCGCTCGGAATACGTTCGGGTCGAGGACCGGATGCGAAGTCGTCGAACCATATAAGGATCGCAGTGTCTCGCCTCCACACGTTTGGGCACCCTTGTTTGCTGCACACCTGCATGTCCAATAAGGTTTTACGCTCGAGCACGCTCGAAACCCTCACTAAGCAGACGCCACCACATCATTGCGCAATTGGGCATCCCACTCATCCGCACTCACTCGAACTTACTCTCACTCTCACTCATCCATACCTCACTCATCTTGTTGGCACGCAAAAGTGGAAGAGCCAAGGAAACCAAGTGAGCCGTTTCGAACCTGCCGATCTAGTCCAGCCAACTCACGTGCACAGCCGAACCGAGCCACTGCAGAGTCACTCATCGCACCGTCACGGTCTGGACTCAACGCTACCTCGCCAGTCACCGAGCGATCTGCCAGCCCAAGCCGCCTCTTCTACGCCTTGGATCGTTGATCTCACCTCGCAGCTTCTCTCGCAACCTCTCCAGCACCTCAGCCGAAACCCTTGACCGCTCGCTTCCGGCAAACTCCTGCATCTTTCCGACACCCTTGCCGATTGCCGTGGAAGTGCTGCAAAGGGAGTAACCACTGGCTTGGGTCAGTCATCTAGCTCGCTTCTTCCTATCTTTCTGGCTTCCAGCCCTTGTCTTGTCGGCTACGCCCTCAATTGTGCGTGGGCGACGCACCAGAGGACCCGTTGGACGGTTCCGGGACGCATTTCGACGTTCCTCTAAGCTTTCTCTCTCCCAATTTAAGAGGAGGGCGGTCTGATGAGCACAGGAGCAAGGCACCTCCTCCGATCCGTCCAGCAACCGACAAAAGCTGCCCTCAACACCACCATCACCATCATCATTAGCTTTCCGACTGCAATCTTCACGACACCACCCTCATAGCAACACCATCACGAGAGATCGTCCCAACAATCACCACAACGCTCATCCTCCCTCTCCAGTCATCATTATCATCAAATAGCTCCCCATGGCTGCCCCTATGACCATGCCGAATCATTCTTCGACCGCTCGGTCGACCATGGCAAGCGGCTCGCCAATACCTTCGCCTGGCCCAGAATTCCTCTCACCATTCTCCTCTTCAGCAATCGACATGTCGCCTCGGTACGGAAACAGCTGTGCGCTCACTATCCTCAAAGGGGACGCTGACCACCCTATCAGCGCGCATTCACCCATCCACAGGAAGCTCGATCCTTCCTCTAGTCGCTCTTCTCCCTCACAAGCTTCGCGCTTCGCCACTTCCTTCTCCGACATCCGATCCTCATCCAAGGGCGCATCATCCGGCTTCGACTCGAGCGTCAATGTTCACGCCATCTCGGATCACGGCATCCTCCTACCCTTCCTCGATCGACCAACTGAAGTCAAGGAACTGCTCTTCGACACAAAGGCCAACGAAGCGCTCCTCTACAAGCTCTGCAGTGTCTTTGGCGGCAATTTGGATCAGCCTACTCAGCGTGGTAAGGATGAGCGATGGGACGAGATGCTCGAGCTCCTCATCGAACTCGATCGTCCTCTGCTCGACGACGAGGATTGGCTCATCCGCCTCGAGTTGCTCGTCATGGAACGCTCACCTTCGCTATGGGCTCAGCTCGCACGCTGCTTGGGTGCCGAAGGACTCACGCTGCATCCAGCCATCCAGCCAGGCTCCTCACGCTTCGACAGTTGGGCTCTGCCCTCACGCTACATGGACGCCAGCCACGACAATGACAGCCCACTCTCTCCCCCGTCTGCCGCTTCCAGTGACGACGACGACGGTCAGAACGACGACAGAGTCGTCGAGCGTTCACTTTCCATTGACCTCGAGCCTCTGCGTGCACTGCCATCGTCATACTCGGAGCAATCGGCGGCCAAGATGCGAAGGTCGTCCCTTTACGACCCCGTCTCGCCTGCAACTCAACAACCGCCTCTGTCGTCGTCCGAGTCTGCGGGAGCCATTGTCTCGCCCACTTCCGGTGGGTCTCCTGGCGATGGCGGTGGGGACACTGCCATGACCGGCTTGCTCGAAGACATTATGGAGGAACCGCAATCGTCGCCCCAGATGGAGGTGGGCGTCGGAAGCAGGAGGCGATCGCATTCTGGCAAGTTTGCCGGCTTGCGCATCTCGGCTCTCAGCTCCTCTGGCAACTCGGCGGTACGACGCAGCTCATGCGCTTCGAGCACCGCTTCGACGTCCCCTTTGCCGACGGGCGTCATGTCTCCCGCGGGTCTTGCGCCTGAAAGTCCGGGCGCTGCGCCTTCGCGTGAATCCTCGACTTCCTTCGCCAAGCATCGAAGGCTCAGCATGATCATGGTTCACAACCGTCCGGAGAGCCAGCACGAGCCCCATGGCCATCCGCATGGCAAGCTCGATCTCGACAAGGTTCCGTCTCCACGACGTTCCCCTTCTCGACGTCAACGCGGTGTCAGCGAAGCCTCGCAAACATTCAGTGGTCACCATGCCCCTCCCGCCCAGCAGCGACGTCGTGCTCAGAGCTTTGCGCGCTCATTTGCCGAGCTCGCGTCACCGACCATGCATCTCGAGAAGCTGCGAGCCGATCACGCCCAGGGCAAGGACGAACGACTGGCAGCTGAAGGATTGACAGAGTCCACACGCCGTATGAGCCTTCAGCAGCCGCTTCATCCATCTGTCTCCTCTGCCCCTGTTGGTGCCACGAGCGGTCTCGGGTTGGATGCTAGCCTCGGCAGCCCTCCAAGCCTCAGCTTGACATCGGGCAAGACCAGAAAGGCTACTGCTGGTCGCAAGCGCCTCGGCAGAAGCGGCAGTCGCGGAGCTGCCAGCTCGACGGGCTCTTCGTCGCCTCCCATCCCCGGTCTCTTGCCGGACGGTCGAACTCGCCATCCATCGGGCAGCTGCGGCTCGAGAGATCTTGCCGAGTCGATCGAAGCCTTTCGCAATTCGATGGGCCTCTCAACCTCGCCCTCGCCGAGCGAGCGGGACTTTGCGGACACGGTCGAGGAAAAGTCGACCGAATCGGCCACTCGTAAGCGCAAAGACATTGGCGTTGCCGACTTGCCGCAGCCCACCTCCAAGACTGTCGAGACCGCCGAGGCCAAAGTTTCCCGCAAGGGCTCTCCACCCGCCACCCGCGCTTCCTTCGAAGAGCACCAGGCCCAATTCGAAAAGCCCAAACACATGCAGGAGCTGGAGAATCGCGGCCAAGGTAGCAACAAATCTGGCAGCGGCCTCGCGCTCGGAGGCGGCTTCTCGCTCGCAAAGTCTGGCGCCAACTTTCGCGGACAGGGCCACGACGTGATGTCGGGTGCGCACGATGGCTGGCGTTCGAGCTTCAGCCGACGCGATGGCACTCGCACTCGAGGCTCTGACCACTTTTCACTCCGCTCGCCACCTGCTGTGCAGCGTCGACCGGGAGGCTTTGTCTCGCTGGCACAAGAGTACGAGCGTGCCAGGCGAGACCGACGCTCGAGCGAGGTCGCCTATTCGATCAACAGCAATGCCCTCGAGAGCTCGCCCTCCAGCAGCCTTGCCAGCTTTGACATTGGTGGCGGTGGTGATCATCACCGTCGTCGAAGCTCGGAAGAGTCGTTGCCGCGTCTGGAATTGCCTGGGACAGCGGGAGGCGAAGCCAAGGGTAAAAGTGGTACTCCGGACTTTGAGAGAGGTGACCCAACGCCGAAGGCTGGGCCCGGAGGTGGCATGACACCGCGAGCTTCGTTCGGCGGATCGTCGACGCGACTTCAAGGCTATCCGTTTCCCAACCTTGCGAACCGCATGACAGCACCAGCTGCAGCGCATGATGCTGGCGCAAAAGAGGTGAGCACACCCGGACGCAGTCGGAACTCGCTCGGCCCTGCTACACCGCTGAGCCCTCTCCATGCCTGTCAAGACCTCCTCAGTCCAACCCGTACGCCTTCTTCGACGAGCACACAATCTAGTCCTCGATCGCCAAGTATCGTGTTCCCGATCTCGCCGAACCCGTCCATCTCACGAGCGCAGGAATTCAAAAAGGCGCTCGAGACGCCCGCATGTCAAACCGCCTTTGCGCGAATTCACACCACCTGTGGCTCCACCGCCGAGGCTTCGATACGCGAACTCATCACGACTTGCGAGAGGAGCCACATGTCCGACGAAAGTTTGTTGGAGGAAGTTGGACGGCGCATCGGGTTGGTCGACCATGAACACGCGCAGGCCGTTGGGGGCAGAGTGGCGGAGGAGGCGGATCAAGTGTTGGCTGAAGAGGGGTATGAGGACAAGTGGGAGGTCTTCGAGGCGTTGTGCAGGAGTTTGGGCATGGGGAACGTCGAGTTGGGGTTGGCGAGGAGGAGGTGTGGTCCAGCAGTCGATACTTGTCGCCAAGAGTAGGAGGAAGGGGTGGAGAATCAGTTTCAGATCGTAGTCATATTCGCGCTATGGTCATCAGCATCATCATCATCAGCAAAATATCTTCGCACAGTCCAGCACAACACCATACACGCACAGCATTCTGAAATCCGCATTGCATTTTCCGTTTTCCCGTCCTCGTGGCAGTGAGAATCTAGGATGTGATGATCGCAAGATCGAGTAGAATGAGCATGGCAGCGTTGTGACGAGATGCGTGCCTTCAACGTCGCATCCACATCCCCCCTTTCGATCAGTCTCGCCACACGTCCATCACATATCGAACCCGGCAACATCCAACAGCGCAGCAACCACCACCTTAGCAATACTCCTCAACTGCTCTACATCATACCCTTCTCTCTCGGTCACATCCCCCGAGTTGTGGTACATGGGATCGGCAATCGGACCATTCCTCTCAAACACCCACGTCGCTGGGAAACCCTGCTCCCAAAAGCTCTGGTGGTCCGAGCAGCACGCCGGTGTGTACCCCTGTTCCAACTCCGGCGCGTACAGCTCAGCAATCTCCCAGAGATGCTTAGTCGCAGTGGTGGTGACGAACTTGTCCGGAAAAGCGATCTGCAGCGGCTCGCCGGGTTTTCGATAGGCGAGCATGTCCATCTGCACCGCCAGCTTGACCGGCGTAGAGCGGGAAGAGAGGTGGGCTGCGTAGCGTTGAGAACCTACGAGACCCTGTTCTTCGCCCGAAAAGGCGATGAGCTGGATCGGAGAGTCGAAGCCGAAGCCGGACGAACCGATGGCTCTGGCAATGGCGAGCAGAGCGGCTGTGCCGGAACCGTCGTCGTCACCACCCGGTGCGGTGGTGGATCCGAACGTTCCGCGCGAATCGTAGTGCGCCGAAACAACCACTTCCCTCTCTTCCCCAGCTTTCTTCGAGGTGTCCGACGCAGGGATACGACACACAACGTTAGGCGCAAAGTACGGCGAATACTCGAAGAATTCGCATCCACTGCCATTCACCCCGCGCAGCGATTCTTCCAGCTGCTGCTTGATCCACTTCGCGGCTAGGCGCGCGCCGTAGGTGGAGCTATGTCGGCTGTGCCACGTGCCGATGTCGCTTGGTTGCGGGTCTTCGCCGGTGAGAATGCGAAGATCCTTTTTGATTCGTGCGGGGGAGAGGGCGGACGAGGAGGCGATTTTGGCGATCACCGTGTTGTATTTGGGCTTCTTGAAGGTCGGCTCTGCTTTCTTGTCGTCGTTGAGTGGGGCGAGGTAGGAGAGAGGGTGGAAGGTGAGGTGGTGGAGACGTGTGTCGAAGGTGGCATGCTGGTCGATCGTGGCGAGTTGTGCATCCGAGACGGCGACGAGGAGGGAGCTGTCGTGGACGCTGATGAGTTTCAACGCTGTGTCTGGTGCAGATCCGGTGGAGAACTGGAACGCCATCTGACCTGAGCTCTGTTCGGCCATAGGTTCTTGCGAGATCGACGAGAGAACTTGGAGGGATCGCTCCTTCCATGTACCGGTTACCGCCACCCGTCCTGCATCCAGTTGGACAGCTTCCTGCTTGAACAGCACCACCTCCTGCGGTCCATTCTGAGCCAAACTCAGACCCCGAGCGCAAGCTTCATGCGAGGGCGCTCGATAGAGATACGACGCACCAGCGCCATCTCGCACCTTGGCCACTTCCGAAGCGCAGCCCGCAAAGTCGGCAGCAGACGAATCGGACTTCCAGTAACTCCACTCTTGCGTCGAGGCGGTTGCTACTCTTGGCGCGGCATCGGCGGTGGTAGCGCTGCTAGCCGCAAAGGCAAGCGATGCTGCGACCAGCACGCTCTTCGTCAGCTTCAAGTTCCGCATGGTCGGTCCTGCTCGATTCTGATGGATATGGTGTTGGCAGGAATATGCGGGGATACGAACTCAGCTTTTGACAGTCGGCCTTCAAGGGAGAGAGAGGGTCCGAGCGCAGCCGACGGTTCGATTTACTGGTAATGTTAGAGCTTTCATCTTGTCTCTGCATCACTCGCGCCCGCCAAGCTGTTCGTCAATTACTCTCCTCACAGAACGGTCTCGCTATTCCGTACATAGAATGCTCGTTCAGAAGTTCATCAGGTTGATGCTAAACGTGTAGAGCACGCTATGGCAGCTGTTTGAGAGCGGCTCAAAAAATGAAACGTTCAAGGTAGCAGCACGAGTATATTTTCTGGCGGATGTTTTGGCTCAGCAGAGCAGTATATGTCAATCGGACCCTCTCGCTTAGCCATTGACATTCAATCGGCTACAATTTGGAGCCTGGCTCGATGTTCACAAGAAGAGACTCTGGGCATATTTTCCACGACTCGTTCGCCGCGCGACCACTCCGAGCAGCGACCGCATCCAGAGGGAAGGAAGGCGGTCGGCGAGTTGTGTTCCTGGCTGCGAGAGTACTTCGGATCGCACCTCGAGCCTCTTTTGCTTGTTGTTTCTGGACTCTGCGATCAGTTTCGGCGCGAGCTCAAGCATCGTATCAGCCAAGTTATGGGCTGCACAAAGGGTGTTGAAGTGAGCTGTGTACGAACGTAACAGTACCATGAAACGGACTTGGTCACCGTGACGTGAACAAAGAAGCAACGAGAACGCCAACCTTGAAGTGTGACTTCAGGAAGTGAGCGACATCCTGTCGACTTCATTTGCGAGAGACTGCTGCGCGGAACCCGAAGCCTTCCGCGCTTTGTGCGGTACAGCCTGCCACCTTTCCCAGCCGCACTCGCCTCCTCTGTACATCCTCGCGCCGTTCCGCATCCTCTCTTCACTCCACCGCACCACTTCCAACACCATCGTCAACCTCAATCATCATCAACGGATCGATTCAAGTAAGTACCATCAGCATCGTGCAGCTCTTAACAAGGGCTTATACCGTTGCTCACCATCAGTCCGCTCCTCTCCTTGCTTCATCCACACAGCCCACCGATTCATCCGCCTGCCATCACCATAGCGACTCAACGCTTCCTTCCTCGACTGACCAACTTCGGCCGTTGTCCTTTAGTTGGTGTGCTCAGTCCATCATGCCAAAGCGATATTGGGCTACGTCTGACGACGGACACGGCGATGAGTCCCTCCTCCCGCCTGCAGCCTCTTCGTCAAAGCGAGCTGCTCACCAGCATGCTGAAGATAGCCACGGAGCTGGACTCAGGCCATACAGGGTGGGTGCAGATGGAGTTCCTGTTCCTATGGCCCCTTCCGCGGAAGGAGAAGCTGCCGAGCTTAAGCTCCTCTATGAGGAAGAAGAAACAAGCAAGGAGAAGCGAAGCCATGTCGTGGTTGGACACTTACTTGACGATGGCAGAATCGTACGCATCAAGACTCTTGCCGGCTGGCCCGAGAGCCAGTATACTCCGGAAGAGGAGGCTGAATTGGCTGCCCAGGCTGCCGAGGCTGCTGCAGCTGCTAGAAGGGAGGCTCAACGTCTGTCGGGTGACAGGAAAGGCGATCCAACGCGCGAGGTACGCCACTATGTCTGGACCCACCCGGACGTATGGCAGCCCAACGCGATGGTAGACTCTCTGCACTATCCCGACGTTGTCACAAGGGGACCCAACGTCAAGCAACGCAAGCTGGTCTTCCGGACTCAGGTTCACCTTCGCCTCACTGCAATGAGGAAGGAGCACAATACCAACGATCGACCCTGCCAGAAGTGTTTCGATCTCAAGATCACTTGCTTGGGTCCTGACGAGAACTTCAAGACCTCTGACCAGAATAAGTGCGCCAACTGCCGCTGCTTGGAGCATGTTTGCCAGCAGTTCACAGACGAAGAGTGGGACAAGATTGGCAATTCTTACGATCCTCGTCGCGACCTGGACCTGCCAGACTGGGACCCTGACTATGCCAATGCAAGGTCGGCCAATACGCTGAGCCGTTTCAAGCACATGGACACTGACAAGTCTTTCAACACGAGCAGGTTTATCAAGTACCTGGCAGAGGCAATGCGACTCCCAACGGAGAGGGTCGGAAGCGTATGGGAGGGGGTTGTATCCGCACTCGGTCCTGATTACAAAGTCGAACCGGATGACGAGATGGCCCCAGCCCAGGTGCTTGCCATCTGCAACATACTCCACCAGCATCGCGAATCGCATCCCTCACTCGACCCGAGAGTTGTCGATGCCAAAAAGATTGATCCGGAGGGTCCCTTTTAGTTTGATGCATGCTTCGTTTGCCTGTACGATCGCACACGTCGCAGAGACCGCAAACCCGAATCAAAAAATCGAGTCTTCCGATGGGATTGTGATTGTGATTGTGGCTGCAACCGCTCGGGTGGACGACATTATCCGAAGCATCGGGACGTAGACAAAGTTGCGTCTGAGCCTACACAGCCGACACGAGATGCAAGGAGTCTGATTGGGGCTGCGGTAAAAGAGCGCCGCGGCATCCTGGTTCATGTACGCAATGCCGCCGATAAGCAACAGTGTAAGTTAAGGTGCTTATTGCGATGGTTCTGCCGAGCATGTCGTCACGGTATCCTTGGCGTGAGGAGAATGATGCTTCTGCTCGAATTGCCTTTTGGCCAGGTGTCGCACAAAGTGGGGCGGCTAGCGGCAAAAGGCACTCCAGGGTACAACATGTTGTTCCAGGATTAGCCACACAACACAGTACTGCCGTGGAGAGCGCAGTTGGTGGGGGCCGCAAGAACCAGAAGCCGTTCTGTCCATCAAAGCCGCGTTGACTGTATCAGGTCTTGAGACCCCGCATCTCGCGCAGATTCAAATCGTCATCATCCTTGTTTCGTTCTCGCAATTCGCGGACTCCATCGACGTGATTTTCCCCGCAATCCTCCTTGCAATCGGCTCAAGCATACGAAGAGGCGTTGTTTCGACAAAGTGGCGGGTCTTCTTCGAGGTGCGTTTTGGACTCTGCGCATTAGGCGCAAGAGGACAGTTAGCGACATGGTCGGCGAAAGGGCCGAGAGGCCGGCATCGCAGGTCTTCCAAGGTTGCCAACGTAGCTTGTCGCCTGCGCTCTCGCAATCTCTGTGCAATGAGGCTATCCGAGTGGGCCCTTCTGGGATTTCAGTTGCTCGGAGCTTCGACTGTCGGCTTTCTGGCGTCGTGCCATCGGACGGTATTTGGATTGCCATTGTTGTTCGCCCACCCAATCATGACTGCAAAGAATCCGACCAACGTTGGCGACACAGTACAGTGGTCGCGGCGGGGCAAGGCTCACACTGACCGAAGAAGAAAGTAAGCCAACCATGCAATCATCCCTCGCCTAGCGTCTCGGCTGGCGATTCGTAAGCCGTCAGGTCGCTACCCGGCCCTCGCTTAGTGGCAGACCAGCAATTCCGAATTCCATTCGACGTTGCCATTGTCACCGACCTCGGACATCTCCGCGCGTTGTGTATCTATTTCGGTGAAGGTCCCGCTGGCGTCTCGTCCACCCTGTCAACATCGTGGTAACGCAGCTGATCAGCGTCTGTGAGCCTTTCTGGCCGAGCACCAACCGCGTGCTTCCTTTTTGTCAGGCGCGAGCTAGCGCAAGTTACGATACCGCGTTCACTCGTGTGCTCCCAGACCGTTCGCCAAGACTTCCCCTCGGTTGAGCTCTTCCGTACCTACGCTACCACAGCGAGCTTTGGAATCGAGGACTGCCAGAACGAGATCGCTGAATGAATGGACCCTGTTGAGAGGCAGGCGATGTACGAGGACCCTGTACCATTACGCGGTGCGCATATCGAATCCGACGGCTTGTCGCTGGCAGCAATAGCTAACGTTCCCAGACGTCCCTCAGGGCGAGTCTGGATCATACAGCAAGTACGCACGAATCGCTTGCCCTTCGATTGCGGTCGCCGTCAGTGCGCGCATCGAGGTTCGTGCTACCCACAATGTTGTGAGACCCTGTGCTCTGAATGCAATGAGATTCGAGACTTCCTATCCGTCGGTCAACTCAAAGTTTTTTTTTTCTGTTTCGCGAATGACTCGCAGGTCTGTTCAGCGATTGGCCTGTCGTGCGACGCAACGATTGCGATCTGAACGATGCCTGTATGACGAACTTGCTCTCAATCATGTTCAGAGCTTCCCTCGCGCTGCTGTGACAAGCTGAACGCGAACAGGGAGCAGGTGAGCTTCATGATCCAAGCCAATAATGCGCACTAAGTTAGCTGGGAGATGAGCTCTTCTTCCTCGCATCTTGTGCGCACCCTCGATCGCGTAAAAAGGATTTTCAACTTCCGACGAGTCTAAAGGAAGGACTGAAAGACCCTTGTTCTCATGATCTGACCTGGTTGTGCAGCCGGGGTGCCTCGTCACGTTATCATCCCAACCCTACCAAGACCACGCTAAGAGCACGCGTGGCAAATCTTTTCTTATTTGATTATCGACAAAAACAAAAGAAAGTGCCTCGCGGTTGGGCTTCAGAGTTGGACGTAGAGCGATAAGAAGAAGACTGGCATCGAGCCCTTTTCCCTTGACGCAGTCGACATCGTGCCGTTGAGAAGACAGCCAAACCAGAGAAGGACTTCGTTTTCCGTGGATTGCTTGTTTCGCCTTGACGCTCTCGACGTCGCATTGAGATGGTGAGGATCAGTGTCGATCTGATGGATGTCTTACAGCCTGAGCATGGCGACTGTTGCGAGCTCGGTCTCATCATCCTTTCGTCGCCTGGAATACAAAAACAAGAACAATCAATCGAGCTGCAACCCTTGCGTGATAAGGGTTTCGAATTGATGGTTGACGGCTAGCTTTACCGGTTCTTGCCGCTCTGCCTCCCATCTTGACATCGGTTTTCAGCTCGTGTGACGAGCGAACAGGGAAAAAAGATGAAAAAAGGAAGAAAACAAGCCTTTCAGGGCACTGAACTATAATAATCGCTGGGCGATTATGCCTAACTGGCGAGTCGAGCCCACGACACAGTGAAACAGTGCTTCGTTCCTGCACCTTTCCAGTATCTTTGCAACCGTTGATTGGTGCGGCCATGACACTGCAGACTGACTGCAGATGATAGCCTCAAGCGAACAAGCAAGCCACCGACAGACCCTACGACCACGCCTTCGTTCTGCGCCTTCTCTCCCCTAAAACAAACGAAGGCTCTTTAGCCCACTCTTTTCCCCGGAACCTGCCTTCTTTGGTGCTCTCGGTTTCGCCTGCTTCGCTTTTGCCGAGTCCTATCGCGCTTTCATTTATCCTGCTGCTGGCTGTCTGGCAGGAGCAAGTCAGGCAGTGCACTCGTCCTCCGATGCAATTCTTGCACCATTTTCTAACCCTAATCTTCCGCGCTCTTTCTGCCTCCTCTTCTGTCCCGCTCGACCTGGACTTTCACCCAAACCTGTCCCGCCTTGCCCGCTGCTGCAGTGCCCGCCGAGCTTTGTCCGTTATCTGTTGGCTGTATGCTCGCCCACCCATTCTCTCTCTCGCTTGCTCACTTATCTCTGCCTCTGCTGGTGAGCCCTTTCTCGCCAATCTCTGTGCGGCTGACTGCAGGCGCGATGGCAGTCCGGGTTCTTCGACGCCTCCCACTGCCGTCGCCGGTGCTGCTGAGACTAAAGCGAGACTGTCTACTGTCCGCCTGCTGAATACGTTCGATATGGTCTAGAAGCACGCCTTGACAGCCTCTCTTGTCGTTCTCGTCGTGACCCTGCCTGCCTTGCGCCGCGTCCGTCGTGTCACTTCTTCCTATCTTGCCATCCCCTCATCCTACCTCACATCCTATCCACACGATCCTCTTCTCACCAACACCCCTTCGTCCTCCTGATCATCGTCGTAGATCTTCTTCGTCGCATACCATCGTACAGTGCTCCGCATATTCTGATCCTGCACCAAGCTTGCTGCCACCCACCAGAGCCCAAGGCGACATCGATCAACGCTCTACATCCTCACCCACCAGCCTCAGAGCATCGCTGCCACCAGCTTCTAGATTCGACCGTCGGCCTACGCTGAGGTTCCTAGCCACTCTCGACCATCGACAATCCAGATCACGTCATAGAATCCTTCGCATAGTCCTTAGACTTGCTCTGCGAGGTCTTATCCATACACCTTGAGCCTTATCCATGGCGCGTACAGTCTGCCCACAGCAGGTATAGAGCACCTCGATCAACTCTGTCTCTCTTCCGCGGAATCGGTTCGCTTCACCTACCTCTTGTCATCGTATCGACCCCGCAACGCTCGGCCTTGCTCACCATCTCGCGTCCCATCTCCCACTTAAAGCCTAGTCCGCGCTTCTCATATCCTCTGCCCAAACCCATCCACCTTCATCTCGTCTTCACCGTCTTGCTCTCAACATGGGTTTCATCAAAGCAGAAAACCAGCCTGGCTTCGGCCCTGGCCCCGTCCACGTCAACCTCAACGAGCCTCAGTCCGGCCAGTTTGCGTTCCTCCCTTACAGCAACACCGGCTTCGACAATGTCCACCCCAGCGAGCTTAACAAGCCTGGCACCAGCGATGGCCGCGCCAAGGTTGCTCGCGCCTGTACAGAGTGCAAGTCGCGCAAGATGCGTTGCGACGGCGGACTCCCCTTCTGCGGCCGTTGCATCACCCACAGCCGCACCAAGTCGTGTGCATACGTCGATCCACCCAAGCGCTCGCCCATCACCCGCCAGTACGTCAGCTCCCTCGAAGCACAGCTCGAGGAGGCCAAGAGGAAGATCGCCGAACTCAACAAATCCTCCAACAAGCCTGTCGACTTTCCCGGCGCACCGACGCGTCGACACACTCAGCCTTACTTGTCCAACCGCTCCTTGACCGGCGAGGACACTGCGCAGGTCTGCGGCTTTGCCCACGTCAAACCATCTTCGCCCTCCAAGAAACGTCCTCGCGCTTCCAGCAGCGGCTTCGATGATGACCAAGACCAAGACAACGACGACTATCTCAATGCCGTCTCTGAGTCTGCTGAGAAGGAGTCCGCCGACGTCGCCGCCACCAATCCCACCCAGGACGTCGACGCTCTTGGCGGAGGCAACTTTGTCAGCCTCACCAGCTGCAACGCTGCCCTTCAAATCGCATCGCAGTTGAGTCTCGGCAGGAAGACCGGCGCCACTGACATTTCTTCCATCGCTGGACACGACGCTGTTGCCAGCTCGACCACCAACCTCGAAGTCTCTTGTGAGGGCCTCGCTCGCGCCACGTCGTCGTCGATGCCGGCCGATCACCGCAACGCAGCCACCTTGCCCGACAACGTCATTTTCGCCAGCTGGGATTCAGACAGTCAGCGCTTCGCCGCCGAGCTCCTCGAGTCGTTCTTCGAATACCACCTTCCCTCTTACCCCATCCTCCACCCCGCCACCTTCCGCGCCCAGCTTCAAGGCACCTTGTGCCCTCCTCAGTCGGCCGCATGGCCCATGCTGGTCAACATGGTGTTTGCCCTCGGCGCGCTCGAGCGCAGAACCTCGGCGGAAGAGGTGGACCTCGACACCCTCTTCTACGAGCGTGCCAAGCAGCTCTACAGTGCTGTCCTCTTCGACAAGGCCGAGATCGTCTCGGTGCAGGCACTCACCTTGATGGCCAGCTACTGTCAAAAGAAGAACCACTTCGCCGCCGCCTGGATGGTGCTCGGCAGTGCGCTGCGCATGGCCATCTCGATGGGTCTCTACTCCGAGTCTGCCCTCCAGGCCCGCGATATGCCCGCATTTGATCGCGAGTTTGGCCGTCGTCTGTGGTACACGCTCTTCACCATGGAGGCGGATACGTGCGTGAGCATGGCTCGTCCCAACGCTCTGCTCTCGATCAACGCGGACGTGGCTCCACCCCAGAACGTCGACGAGACGGCCATGTCTCCGACGTCGGAGGATCTGCCTGCTGCAGTGTCGGAGGCCACCATCAGCTCGACGCTCGCCCTTCACGCCAAGTTTGCGTCCGAGATCAGCATGCCATTGCAAGCTAGACTCATGCGCGGATCCAATCCCTCGATCGAGGAGGTGCGCGCATTTGACCTCAGAACGGAAGAGTTCGTCGACAGCCTACCAGAATACATGGATGAGAGCTATGCCGGACCTCGCCCGGCGTCGTTCTCGGTGGCTTCGGCGCGGCTGCGGTGGAGGTGCAACAACTTCCGCATGGTCATGTTCCGTCCTTTCCTGCTCTCGAACGCGGTAGCCGCTGCTGCCGCTCGCTCTCGAGGCGAGCCGCGACCGGCACTGCGCCCGGCGGTCAAGCAGGCGATCGCTTTGTGCCGAAGGATGGCGAGCAGCAACATCGAGTCCATCTCGAGTTTCTGGGATTCGCATCCGCACAACCAGGCCATGGCATGGCACGCCATCTACTTCCTGACGCAGAGCGCGCTCGTGCCGCTGGTATCGCTGCTGGATGAGCCGAGCGGCGAAGAGGCGCGCGAGTGGGTGAGCATGTTGCAGACTTGCGTGCGCTTGCTCATCGATATGGGCCGCATCACGCCGATCGGCGCCAAGTGCAAGGATGCCATCGAGAAGCTGGCAGGCGATCTGCTGGCGCGCGATGCCGAGGACGAGAGCGAGTCGATGCTCCTGTCCAAGTGGATGTCCGAGGCCGGAGCGTCGAGCGCGGATGGTCATGTGGACCCGCTCATGTGGTCATCGCATCTCATCGCTGCCGGCAGCACCGGCTCGGACGAGACCGGGTTCGGCGCTGTGGTCGGCCATGCGACTGGACCTTCGCTGACAATGTCGCTCGACAGCAACTCTTCGGATGACATGTCGGGCGCATTCGACTTTGCTCGAGGTATGGACGCGTCGCCGGGAGACCATCGCTCATCGATCGCCGAGTCGATTGACGCATGGGCTGGCGCAGCGACGGCGCGACCTTCTACGGCTTCGCAATGGTCCGAAAGCGGACCGTCGAGCCTGCCTGAGCGCGCTTTCCTGCTGCGCGAGAGGATCGATCAATGGTTTGGTCCTCAAAATTCGCACCAGCAGGCGAATCGACACGAGGCGGGTGCAGCGTCGATGCTGAGCTCGTCGGAGCCCGGGTCGAGCCACGGCGGCCACGCTTTGTCGGCACAGCCGCACCAAGCCGCGCACGCCGGAATGGATTGGCAGGCGGCGGCGGATCCGACCAACTGGTGGAACGTCCAGTACCGTCAACCGGAAGCGTCGCAATCGTCGGCATTCATGTTCAACGACAACACGCACAACGCTCACAACGAGCATGGCGCTTTCGCTCCTTCTGGCCCGATGCACTCGTCGCAGATGCAATCGCATGGCCAGCCTCATCCTCAGCCCTTCTTCTGAGGCGGGGCTATAATAAAAAGCATTCGTCACCTCTCCTTCTCGTCTCATATACCCCGTCCAACGTTGGCGAGCTACTATCACAAGCTTCGTCAGCGTTTGGACACCAATGTCCCGTACAGTTTATTTCGTCGTTACCGTAGTCTCTAGCTGGTTGTTTCCTTATTTTTGTCTCGATTAGAGCGGACCGCCTCGCTCATTGTGTCCGTATTGTAATTCAGACGTTCGCGATCATATTTTCTGCGCTGTGATGGTGTCGATGGAGGAGAGTGTGTCGTGTGTGTTTGCTAGGTGACAGAATTGATCTTGAACGGACGTGGCTAGGTAAGGCTTGCACTTGATTGGCGCCTTATGAGCCAGGATCAAGAAGAAGCGAGATCGGCTAATACAACAGTAAGACGACTTGTAGGAGTTGAATCAGGCAGCTCTTCGAAGCGGGACCTGCAATCACATCCAAGGTCCTGCTCTCGAACCGAAGAGGCGGGACGGGAAATCTCAAGCATAAATAAAAAAATGTCTCTCTCAAAGCTCCCGTGCCAACAAGGCGGAATAACCTAACTAATTCATCAGATAGCGCCGTGTCGAACGAGACTGACAAACGCCGGTCTCTGCAGGCTAAGACATGCCGCATTGCAGCCAGGTTCCGCTCGACCACGCACAGGCACACGCGTGGAACAACTGTTTGTGCCAAGCAATCGCTCGTCCCCTTCATCGCTCCTGCATACAGCAGTCGTAGCAGCTAGGTTCCTGCACTCGTCTTCGGGCTTTGACTTTTCTTGAGGGCTCTGGATCTTCTCCTTCGCCTTCTGATCCCGTTGTCCACCTTCCTTTTCGCCTTGATGGCATTGCCAGAGCAATCCCTTGCAAACGGACAAGAGCAGGCCTCATCTTCTCCTCATCCTCCACGCATCTCTCACGTTGACGAGCGAGACCAACACGGTCCTTCCGTTCCAGCATCGGGCGCTGTAGATTCTTCGACTTCACAGACACCCCTTCCGGATCGAGCCACATCGCTGCTTCCGTCTGACCTCCTCCTCGACACTCGATCCGACGATCTATCCGATCCCGACTCTACAGGTAGCCGGCTGAATGCGTCGTCGTATGCAAAGCTGAGTTCATCCTCGAACGACCGCCGACCCGTTTCCTCGCCGTCTCCGCGCAGCTCGGTCTCCCCCTTGCGATCACCCTCGACCATATCAATCCCCGACGCTTCGCCACACACGACCCCCGACTCGAATGCAGGCATTGTAGAATCCCTCGTGCACGACTCGACGCTTCGTTTGCGCAAGACCGCCGCCGCAAGAAGCACCCCGCTCCACTATCACATCGACGCAGCGGATCCGCCTCATTCGCAGCGCAGCAGACTTGCCACAGATAGCTCTCATACCAAAGACGGCGATATGTTTGGCAGCACACCCACCGCCTCCTATTTGCCCCTCAACACGAGGAGGCAAGTAGGCCCACCAACCTCGTCCCACCTGGTATCGTGGATCGCCAAGCACAAGGCATTTGTCATCTTCGTGCTGGTTGCCCTCATCGTCTCGGTACAGATTCTGCTCGTCGGGCCGGTAGTGATGGATATGGAGCCTGTCAAAAAGTTCCGCGAAGAAGGTTTCCCATCGATCAAGCCACCCAAATGGTTTGGACCTTCCGCCGAGTCGCCCGACTCCTGGTACCCATCTTCCAGCGACAGCGCTGCACCTGTCCTGGACAAGCTGCTGGGCCCCGACTCGTTCCCTCCACCATTGAGCCAAGATGGCGGCTTGCATGGCGCGCCACAATCGCAGGACACGCTCTACAAGGCTACCAATCCTCACCGTGGCGAGCTTCCTACGTACCTCGAGAGTGTCCTCAACAAGGAGCCTGTCCACCAACCTCCTCCCGCGCCTCTCAAAGCACCCACCATCTCGCCTGAAATTTGGTCCACGCGGGTCTGGGTCGACCGTTCCACCACCGAAGCAGGCGACGCTGACGCGCCAGCCAAGCAGCCCCTGGAGCCCGAGTGGCGCACCGCTCCTTGGACGGGCTGGAAACCGCCGCTGGACGAATTGTCACAGCCAGCAAGGCCTCTCGCCAAAGTGCAGCACCCCTTTGAGGATCCTTCGCGTCACTCGGGTCGTCGCAACGATCCGGCACGCGATGAGCTCATTGCCCATCGTCAAAAGATGGTACGCAACGCATTCATCCACGCCTGGGAGGGCTACAAGAAGCATGCGTGGGGTCACGACGAGCTCAGACCCGTCTCGAGGTCAGCCGACGACCCGTTCAACGGCTGGGGAGCCAGCATTGTTGATGCTCTCGATACCCTGCTCGTCATGGGACTACCCGAGGAGTACGACCTGGCACGCCAGCACGTGCGCGACATCGATTTCCGCCTCGTCGGCGGCTCACGCAGCGCTTACGGTTCCGCAGACGGCAAGATCCCGGTCTTTGAGACCGCCATTCGTTATCTCGGCGGCTTCCTATCGGCGTACGATCTTAGCGGGGACATCCTCATGCGTGATCGGGCCGAAGAGCTGGCGCAGCTCATCCTTCCAGCCTTCGATACCGTGACTGGCGTGCCGAACGGCCGCATCAGGATGACCGAGGACCCGCAGTACCCTTACACGCGACCACAGCAACAGGGCAGTGTCGTTCTCGCAGAGGTTGGCAGCTTGCTCCTCGAGTTCACACGGCTCTGGCAGGTGACGGGAAACCGCACCTACTTTGACCGCGTCCAACGCAACACAGACTGGCTCGACCACAACATGACCGCCGCTGGCCGCATGGAGTCCCTCTTCCCAACTCAACTCTATCCGGAGCGCAATCTCGCCTACGGTACCGTCAGCTTTGGCGGCATGGCCGACTCGTACTACGAATATCTTATCAAAGAGCATCAGCTTCTCGGTGGACGCCTGCAGCAGTACAGTCGCATGTACTCGGCTGCCATCGAGGGGGCAAAAAAGCTGCTCATCTCGCGCGTCGACACTGTACCCGGAGTCAGCCTCATGACCGTCGGCGAAATCTCTGGCTCAAAATACATCGCCAAGCTCGAACACCTGGCCTGCTTCAGTGGAGGTATGCTCGGCTTGGGTTCACGTCTCCTGACTGAACGTCGTGACGATATCGAGCTCGCCAACGGCATCTCGGCCACCTGCTGGTGGGCGTACAACAGCTCCACCACCGGTATCGGGCCCGAGAATCTGATCTTCTACACCAACGACGACGATGATCGCTTCGAGCTCACCAGCCTCTCCGACGGCACATCGCGACGAGGCAAGCCTCGCGGCAACCCTATCGTGGGCGTCAGAAGCGTACAGACCAGCTACCTCAACCGACCCGAGACGATTGAGTCCGTCATGTACATGTGGAGGATCACGGGCGATCCAGAGTGGCAAGAGCGCGGCTGGCAGATGTTCGCGTCGTGGGTGACACACTGCATGACCGACGTCGGCTTCAGCGCCATCTGGGACGTCACGCGCACCCCCGCCGGCTGGTCCGACAGCATGGAGAGCTTTACGTTTGCCGAGACGTTCAAGTACTACTACCTGCTCTTCTCTCCGCCCGAACTCATCTCGCTCGACGAGTACGTGTTCACCACCGAGGCGCATCCGCTCTTGGCTCCCAAGAATGGGAAGTGGGCCAAGGCTGGCAAGGGAAGCAAAAAATTCTGGGACGCCGACGCCGGTGCGGAGGCGCATCTACCTTTGCACGATTCCGGGCTCTACGCCGGCGGAGAGATGGGTCAAGTGGGCGGACTGACCAACAACCAGAAGCAGATGCTGTGGACGCAGTGGCAGTCCAAGAGCTCGGCCGGCAAGATCCGCGATCTGATCAACGGCCTGGGCGGCGAGGCGCTCAAGAACAAGCTTCGCAGCTTGGTCGAGCGAGCCGAGACGACCACGACTGCGAACCGCAGCGCGAGCCAAGACGAGATCCCCTTGACAATAGCTGCGACTCCCGAAGGGGTCTTGAGCGACGCTCGTGAGGATCGTTTGCTGGCCTCGGTGGCCGGCACATCGGTCTACCAAGCCGACGACGGGACACTCGAGGTGGATTTTGCACCCGACACGGCTGCGGACACGCAGCAGGTGGTGCTGGAGCAGCTGGAGGCAAGCTTCGATCAAGGCATCGATGCTGAAGCGGTCAAGTTGGTGCTGCGGTCCGTCGAAGCGATCCGTCTGGTGGAGGAGGAAGAGGAGCAAAAAACGCAGGAGCAAGCTTTGCATTTCGCTCGTCTGCGATCCAAAGGTATTCGCTGAGGGAGCGCGTCTCCAGGAGCAAAAGCCTTTACATTACGGAAGCATAACCCACATAGATCTTTGTCTGTCCGTTTGGTCGTGCTGTGTTCGCGTGTGCGCATCACCGCTGGTCAAGATGTCGAGGATGTGTGAGATGGTCGAGGCCGCGATCTTTGAGAGGTGTGACGTGTGCACGGATCACAGGAAGCGCGAATTCTGAAGCGTGTTCAAGGCCAGAAAAAGTGGAGAGCGGTAAGGTTCTGTGAGACCCTGAACAGCCGGCTCTCCATTCTTCTCGCTCTCCACCATCGCCGTCGGCGCCATCGAACATACCCTAGCTGCCTATTTTCAACATCAGCCGCGGCACAAGCAAGCATCACGGCCTCCTGTTCACCATCTACGGACTCCTGATTCCACCACAATCATGTCGAGCTAGAACAGCCGCACCTCCCGCTCATTTCGATCATACCGCCTCAAGTCGAGCAAGAGGCCGCCGCTTCCCCTTACCAGCATTGCTGCACGACACCTACGATGAGCGACCTGCGCATTCATGCGGCTCTGTCGCCGCGCGTGGTCGTGCTGTCGAGCCCCGACGTCGACCGCGTCGTTCAGCTCAACGGCATTCCGGATCTGCCCACACTCTTGCGGCCGTTCGAGTTTTCGGTCGAGCGACTCTCGGTGCGCACCTCGCAGCTCGAGACACGTGTCTGCGATCAGTTCCCGCTGCGCTTCGATCCGTACGCGCTCTTCAATCCGGACGCTGCACGCGCTATCGGCTTGTCGCAGTCACAAGCTGCACCGAGACCGTCCGCTGTCGGTCAGTCTCATGAGGAGCTCCTGGATCGGGTGAATCATCTGATCGCTTCCAACATCAAGAGGTGGGATGCTCAGGTCCCACGGACAGTGTCCTCGAATCGGCAATCTGAGCCACCCGCAAAGCTGGAAGAGGACGACGATCGAAAAGAGGACCAGCGTCACGCCTTGGATGAAACGCTGATCAAATTGCAACGAGGTTCGCTCGAGGAGATCGCACCATGGTTTGCCGCCGTCCAGCAGCTCGTCTTTGGCCAGAGGACCATAGCAAAGCACGAATCGTTTGGGCACCCCGTTGCAGTGCTTTTGGCAGTGTCTTCTGCTTCGCCTGATCCCATGAACGACTTTGCAAAGCTCTACGAAGCATCCTCCCAAGCTTCGCCCTTCCCAGCTCATCCTTACATCAACCCGGATACGCTCAAGTACTACGTTCTCATCCACGACGTGCGCACCTCGGGAGAGGATCTGACCGGCTCCAAAGAGATCTTGGAACAGATAAAAAAGACGTACGGGTTGCATTGCTGCCTCTTGGCCATCAACAGCGCTTCGGGCGAACGGGCTGCGGCGCCTGCTGAGTTGGCTGCGCTTTGGTCGCCGTACTTGCCGTCGACGCCGACGTCGCCGGTGATGGCAAGCCCCTCTGTCCCCTCGGTGGACCCGAGCGTGGCGAAGCTGCTCGACGTGGAAGACGTGAAACGCATCAAGGGCTTCATCCGCGAGCTGACCGCTCAGTCTATCGTGCCTTTCATGGAGAGGTATGTTCAGCACATGGGCGATCACCTCGCCAACTCGCGCAAAGGCTTGACCAACCGCTTCTTCGGCGCATCGCGAAAGCTGTTCGGCGGCGTCACCGTCGGTGGGGGATCAAACGCCGACAAGAGCGGATCCGCCGCTCCGACCGGCATCGCCACCTCGGGAGGCTACGATCCCCAACACGACTTCTACCCCCACACCTCGATCGAAGCACAGACCCGCCGACTGGCCGACTTCGCCTTCACCATCCGGGACTACAAACTCGCCGCGTCGATGTACGACCTTGGACGCAAGGATTTCGCCGGCGACAAGGCGAGCCGTCACGCAGCAGGCGCCACCGAGATGTTTGGGCTCTCGCACCTGATGATCATGTACACCTCGCGGAGCGCCCCCATCGACGTCGACAGCTACCTGGCGCAGGCGTGCTACGAGTACGATTTCCGCTCTCCCAGCCGCGCCAGCCACGTTCCGGCTCCGGTGGAGGAGAACCATGCGCTGCGAGCGACTCTGCTGTACTACGAAGCGTATCGGATGCTGGGATATCTGCGGCCTGCACCGGCGGGGTTGTTGCGCATGTCTCAGCGGTCGGAGGAGGTGCTTGCTCCGTTGCTGCTCGAGCAAGCTGCGCTGTCGTGTCTTCAGATGAGACCGAAACCGTCGTTGCGAAAATTTGCGCTGCATTTGGTAACAGCCGCTCACAGGTACCAGGCTTGCGGGCAGAAGATCCTCTCGTTGAGGTGCTACGCTCAAGCCGCCGTCGTCTATCGCGCGAAAGGGTGGGCGCTGATCGAGAACCACATCGAGCACGAGTTGGGCATGCAGGCTTACAACGAGGGCGACTCGGATGCGGCTGTTGCACATCTGGCTCGGTTGATCCGGCCGAGCGCGAACTCGAGCGTCGAACACGAGCGGTTTCTGCAGGACGTTCAGACTGCCTACAAGTACTCTGGGCGGGCGGATGCGGGTGGCAAGGAGGGGAAGGTGTTGGCATTGCCGTTTGCGATGTTTGATGTGGCGGGCGCAGTGTTGCGGTTTGTACCCGAGTCGAGCGCGTCGGCGACCTCGACGGTGGACGATGCTGTGTGGGAGAGGCTGGAGCAGGATCTGGTGGATCACGGGCTGGGGGAGCGGACGCTGGCGGATGGGACGAAGAGGCGACGCAAGAGGCCGACGGGTCAGACGTCGACGCAGGCGAGGCAGGTACCCATCAACCAGACGTTCTGGCTCGACGTCGAAGTACGCAATCCGCTTGGCATCGGTCTGGCCATCGACGAGATCCGACCTCTGCTCAGCGTGGACGAGTCTTCCACCCAGAGCGGTGCCCAAGTTCTGCCAGATGCCGACTTGGAAATCGACGACGCAGGCCGCATCGTCCTCGCACCGTTCCAATCTCGTCGAGTGCAAGTGGCCCTCCGCGTCAAAACCGAGACCAAAACCCTCCGCGTAGCCAGCATCACGTTCCGCCTCGAAGACACGCTCCACTTCAACCAGCGTCTCGACAAGAAAGGGCGACGACTCAACAAGACCAAAGAGCAGCGCACTTCGGTGGTCTACGGACCCGATCTCAGCTTGGCCGTGTCGGTGCACGGTGCGAGACCGACGCTGACGGCGAAGGTGGTGGATGTGCCGCTGCAGATGTACTGCGGAGAAGAGGTGCGGTTGAAGGTGGTGCTGAAGAACGAGGGGGAGGGAGAGGTGGAGGATTTGCGTGCGCTGTGCGATCAGCCGGAGGCAGCAGCTTTTCTTCTCAAATCTAGTGCTGTCGGTGGGGCGGATGGAGAGCTCACGCTGCCGAATCACCTCGGTCCAGCAGCACCGCAGTACATCATCGACACCGATGGGCAAATGCCGCTTTCACCAGGAGAGGAGTACGAAGCAACGCTGGTGGTTCGACCCGTTCGAACGGGCGAGGTACGTCTCTCCTGGCTGATATCGTTCTCCTCCGCCGATGGGGAAACGTACCTCTCGCGAATGGCGCTCCACACGAGCGTCTCAGCTGCGCTGCAGATCAACGTCTCGACGCGACCCACGCGAGACGCAAAGTGCGAGCAAGAGGTGTGGGTGGAAGCGAGCAACATGCTGAGCACGGAGGAGATGCGGCTGGAGGGGATAACGATGCTCAGTCCGAGTTGGAAGATCGTTGGCGAAAATCCGGAGGAGGAGGTTGTGATTGCGCCGCTGCAGGTGTGGAGGGGTCGCGTACGTATAGCTTTCGATTCGAAGCAAGGGAAGGGGGAGGAGTATACAGCGACCAAGTTGCAAGACCTGCTTTTGAGTCGCGATGTTCGTCGACCACCACCTGCCGACACAACGATACATCGAACAACTAAACGCTTCTCCTCCACATCCCCATCTCATCCGGTGGAAGCTTCGACCTACGTCGAGGCACGGAAACTCTTCCGTCAACGAACACTATCCCTCGCCTTCTCCACGATCGCCTCACGCGACAGAACAGCGTGCTTCACCCTGTTTCAAGCCCGCACTCTCGACGTTGCGGTCTCCTTCTCAACCGGCAGCAGGCAAGGGTGCATCACAGTATACGATCTAACGCCCGGACCGGGTCGAAGCGCCATTCGAGAGATCACACACCCTTCGACGGCGAAGGAAGGCAATCAGGTTCGAAGTTTGTACGCGGAGACGTTGAGGGAGAAGGCGAGTGTGATGCAGAACATCGTTAGTGGGCTGGGGAGGGAGGATGATCCGGTGGTGGTCGGGGTGGAGGTGAAGGGGGAGAAGGTGGAGTTTACGGTGAGGAACTTTTCGGATCTGTACGAGGTGCAGGTGGAGATTCAGTTGGAAGGGCACGGGTGGGTGGGGAGGAGGACGAGGAGGTGTAGGCTGCTGCCCGGGTCGGTAGAGCAGGTGTACGGGGTCTGGGGAGGGAATGTGGAGGAGGTCAGGTATACGGTGGTTAGTGAGAGTTACATTGGAGGTGGTGAGAGAATGTTGATCGGACGATGGGTTGAACGATATTGATCGGCGTCGCTGCACCGACTATGGTGATAAGCGGGTCTGTGACAGGAGCAAAGGGCAACGGTATGGATGATAGAAGCTCTGCATAGATTGGCAATTGAAGGTGGAGCGAGTGTTGTGCCCCACAAGCAGAAGAAAGGCGGAAGTATGTATGGATTTGACGTGGGACCGAAAGGAGAGCGAGGTGGTGTGCCCCGCGCTGCAAACATGGATCCATGATGTGGGAGCACGAGGGGTATGGAGAATTCTCGGTCAAATTCTGGTGTTTGTTCGGAGAAGCCGTCTTGTGTTTCATTTGTAGAGGCAACAAACGGAAATTTCAGCAAGAAAGAGAGACCCTCGCTGGAAAGCCTCGCTTACGGCGTTGCAGACAGACCCTGAGCGGATACTGTAGTCGAGTCAGGCTGCAAGTGGTTGTGACCTGCGGAACCTGCCAAGGGTACGTACCAATGCAGTTACGGGATTGATCCCGCCATCCAAGCCTTTGGTTGTTTGCGGGGCCTTGGGCAGCATGATCAAAAGGCGTGGGAGCATTGACGGACAGGAATTCGTTCTCCATCTGTGCGGCGGGCTGCAGATATGGTTCGGGCTTGCATGAGAGTCTGGCGTTTCCGTGTCTCCGACTTCGGCTCTCTCAACGCAGACGCAACAGCCACGGTCGAACTCTAGTGTCTGTCCCCCTGCCACGCCGACTGCACTGACGCTCCGCATTGCTCCCGACTTTGACTCCCCGACCCCGTCTCACTCACTGCTTCGAAGGTCGTCTTCATTCTCTCCTTCCCGAATATGCAACCGGTCCATCGTCTTGGTACCATCGCAGCTTGCTTTTGCAGTTCGAGTGGCAGGCAAAGCTGAGGAAAGTGGATACAGGTGGCCATCCATCGGCAGCAGGTCTCGCAGCCTTGCGCGGCAATCTTTTGCCTCGTTTCCTTTGCCCCGACAGCTCGTGATCCTGCTGCAGCCTCGCTTGCAAGTCGATTTTACTCTTCGCGTGTGCTTTCAAGATGGTGGATTGCATTTTTTCCCCCACCACACATTGCGCTTTCCTGCTGTTGGGGCAGTTCGATGAGTTTTTGTTTTGCTATATGTCATTTTATTTTAATTCTCGCGAAGCTGGGCTGCATTGACGGGTCAAATTTTCTCTCTCCTGTTGCGCTGAGGCACCGGCGAGTCGTGCAACTCTTTGTGTGGCTTTTTTCTGCGCCCTGGACTTTTGGCAACTGGGTCGCTTCGCTACGCCCTTGTAGTCTTCGGCCCTGCATGCCGCCGCTTCTTCGAGGTTTGGTCGATGGGCAATCCTCGTCTTACACCGTTCTCTGGCACACCACCATTCCCTCCGCTCTCAATCGTCTCGTCATCGACGCTCTCAACCTTCAGAGCGAGCAAAGCTTCTGCGTTTGTGGCCTCCCCTTCGTTCGTTTGGAGCTTCTGCTGTTTCTTGAGCAGATACCACCATCATTGACAGCGCAACACATCCCGCCATCCACCTCAACATCGATACATTCCCTCGACCTCGAGTTGCGTCACGAGTGGCGACGTAGTCATCGGAAACTCTTCCGACAACGTTGCTGCGTCTCGTCTCGGTCTCTCTGTCCACAAGCACTCTAGGCCAAACGCTTAACTCAACCTCTAGCTCAGACGGAGCATCCGAGTCAGGGGCCGAAACCATAGCAGGGCCTACCTTGCTACAGTCACATCCAAATTCAATCAACGAAGAGCCTCGACGTGTGCGGGACCCGCCACAGCTTGTCGACCCCACAGCGCAACCGTTTCTCCTTGCCTCTGTGACACTCTGCCAGGAACTTAGTTCGCGCACTTGGTGTCGCAAGACCTTCCGCTCCCACTGTCGCAGCTCATTCAATAAGTCAGGTCAAATCTGCATCCGTACCGCCGCATGATCCTCGATAGCTCCCGCTAGCTGCTTCTGCACGGCACGCATCCGATCGCCGAGCAGCGACATTCGATTCCGGCTTCCAGCTCGCACCTCGTCCTTCCGCCTGCTCAGCAGCGGCCTTCCGTACACGCCTTCAGAGGCGGCTGGCGTGTCAAGCTTGCTTGACGGAGCGTATCACCATGGCTCCTCTCCTGCTCAAAGTCAAAGGCAACAAGTCCTTCAGTCCCTTTTCCAACCTCCACGATGAAGAGTCGCTTACACGCACCTGGAGGGTCTGCACCAAGGTCGCCGCGCATCTCGAGCAGGGTCAACGTCTCGAAAATCTCAGCTGGAGACTATGGTACCTTCACGATCTCATGGTTGAGAATGACGACGTCAAGAGCAGACGCGATTTCAAGAAGCTCTCCAAAAGCACAGGCGAGAAGCTCGACCGCGACAGGGGTCGTGCCATCGGCGAGCTCACCGCTCCTCCCTTCCGCAAAACAGACTCGGGCGAGGCGCTTCGTAAGAAAGCCGTCGAGCGCCAGAAGCTCCGCGCCCTCGCTGTCGCCAAGCTTCAGGGCAAGTTCCGCAGCAATGGACTTAACAAGCAGACCACCATGAAGGACATGCAGTATACCTTTGCGCTCGATCCAAGCGTCAACTTCAAACAGACCACCGTCGGCAACAAGGACGCATCCAAGGAATACGCGCAGGCACAGCGTCAGAACGGTCCCGTAGGCACCATCAACAAGTTCCCACTCACCCTTTCGCCTCAGAGCTCCAGCAACGACACACGCAGTGATGCAATCGAGTTAGGATCCGACGCGCAGGGCGACACCAGCATGCTCGACACCGCCGCCACCTTTGACCAAATCATGGCCAGCGCAGGTTTGAGCGGCGACATGGGCAATCCCTCGGGCGGTTACAGGATCGAGGACATTGAAGCGGCGGAACGCGACCTCTTGCTCAACCACCACATCGATCTCAATGCTCCTCTCGACAGCCTCCTCGCAGGGCTTGGAAGTATGGAGGATGTACAGATGGACCTATCCGACTTGGGTCTGCCCGTGGGTGATCTGCCCAACTTCAACGCTCCTTTCGATCAAAACTTGACCGATCTGACAGCGGCTCCTCACGCAAATGCCGCGACTTCCGCCTCAGCAGGTCCAAGCCGACAATCGACAGGGCCAGCCAAGCTGAAGCAGATCAGAAGGAAGAAGACCGACCCTCAGCCGCAGAAGGTTGCCTCCGAACTCGCAAGGAAGAAGGCGGAGGAGCTTCGAACCTTCCGCAAACTGGCAGAGCAGACGCAGCGTACTCACATCCAGAACAGCTCGAGCAGACCCGAGTCTAAGGAGCCTTCTCCAGATGGAAGCGTCGGCAGTGGTAACTGGGCTGGCAACGGACAGAGCAGCGATGCCCAGCAGCAATCCGATTGGCTCAACTCGAACTCGTCGCTCTTCGGAACGAACCTGTCCCAAAGCCTGCCAGAAGGCGCTCATCTCCCACTGTCCGGCTATGGCAGCGTTGCAAATGCTCCTCGGACCAACCTCCAGATCGACACTTCCGTTCCTACCATCAACGCTGGAACAATGCAGCCTCCCATGTTTGGCGCGCGAGGTGCCTCCGTGTCGGTGCCCACCACTCCACTGCTGGGGCCGGAAGCCGGTCCATTCGTAGGCGCTGACCGCCCCGTAGACTCGCTCTCGGCCCCTTCTTCTCCGACTTTGCGCCCGACGCTGGCCAACATCGGCCGATCCGGCTCCAGCCCTGGTCCTTCGACGAGTGCGGGCTCTTCGAAAGCAGCCATGAAGCGACACTCGACGGACAGCTCGCTCGTCGGCCCCGACGGCATGCCCAAACCTAAAGGTCGCGGGCGTCGCAGCATCGCCGGGTCGATCGCGTTCACAGCCATCAATCCAGACCTTAACAAGAAACCCGAAGGATTCCCACTTGCGGCGAGCAGCACACCCAGCGCCGCATTCCCCTCCGGAAGCGCACACCCTACTCAGGCTCAATGCACAAACTGCGGCGCTACATCCACCCCGCTCTGGCGTCGAGATCCGAACGACTTGTTGCTTTGCAACGCATGCGGACTCTACCTCAAACTGCACAAGACACCTCGACCAAAGAGCCTCAAGAACCACCACAGCCATTCGCACTCGGGTCACGTCACTCCTTCGGCTACACCCGGTGGTGCGTCTGCACCCGGTTCGAGAGCCGGATCGCCATCACGCCCTGGCTCGCCGAGTGGCGAGGATATGATGTCTTGCTTCAATTGCGGGACCTACACTACGCCGCTGTGGAGGAAGGACGATGCCGGCCACACGGTCTGCAATGCGTGTGGTTTGTACCTCAAGCTGCACAACGAGCACCGTCCCGTGACGATGCGTGCCGACGTGATCAAAAAGCGCTCGAGGTACGACGAGAAGCGAGGTCGTGCTTCCGCGGCTAACTCGCGACGCACGTCGCCACAGCCGCTAAGCGCAGCGACGGCGTCGGACGACGCTGCGGCTGCCACGTCCGACGAACCAATGTCGATCGACAGGCCCGGCAGAGCCAAATCCAACTCGGTGACGTTCCAGCTGCAAGCGGACGTTCAGGGCAATGGCAGAGGTGTGGGTGCATCGGCTATTTCGGCGTCGGCGCCAGGGTCCGCCTCTTTCCCTAAATCCGGGTGGCCGTCGCTTGGCATGGCAGCCAACAACAACAGCAACAATGGCCGAGCATCCGAGATGGATGCGAACATCGCACATCAGCTCAACGACGCTTTCGCCTCTGCACACAACCGCTTCTCGACCGGCATTCCGATGCAACAGCCACCCGTCGCGGCGTCTGATGCTTCCATGTCGGGCTCGGGCACTTCTGCGCCGGAAGCGAACTTTGGTTGGACACCGTGGTCGCAACAGCAGGCTCCTCAGCAGCAACAGCAGCAGCAGCAGCATCAATCCTCCGGCCCACCCTCCATGTCTGGCTCCAACAGCACGCCCACGGGATCGACCACCTCGGCCACCTCGCCGCCGGTGCCAGTCGCAATGCCGGGACAAACAGACATCCAGACGCTGTCGGCTGCGTTCTCGGCACACCCGGCGTTGGCGTACGCGGTGCATCAGGCAGCCGAGAAGTTCCCGGCGTTCTTCGCGCAAAATCCCCTCGGCGCGACTGCATCTGTAGCTGCGGCTGCGGGCATCCACAACCCGTTCGGATCCGGGTTCCCTGGCAGCGCCACCACTGGCAGCGGCAGCAGCAACAACAACAACAACAACGTGGGCGATTCCAACAGCACCAATAACGCAGGTGCTGGAGGTGGCGACGAGCTTGCTGCCATCGACATTGCCGGTGGAGTCGGAACGCCGAGCAATCTGGGGAATGGTCACGATAGCGTGATGCTCGATCTGGCGGCTACGCCCGGATCGACAGGTAGACCGGGCAGCAGCGGGGTCGGGGCGATGGGAGGTGCCCGGAGGGATAGTGAGTTTGGACGGTTGTTGAGCGGTGGTGGTGGAGGCGGTGGGACTGACGGAGCGAGCGGAGTAGTGGATCTGGGTGAGGGTGGGACGCCTCAGGCTGGAAGTTGGTGGTGAGGCAAGATGGCGATGCGGTTGTCTCTGCTCGTTATCGTGTGTATTGGCGAAGGACTGTCGATTGAAATCGCAAATCCAGGCAGTTGCCTCTGACCTTCCATCGCTTGCTCCTGTGTCGACTGAAATCCCAAAGGCACTTACTTGCCTGTGAAGTCGTTTCCATCCCTTGACTGTGTACGCGGACTGAGCCCCCACTTCAGCCATTGCATCAACACTCTCCTCTCCATTGCTCCAGTCCTCTCATGCCCGTCTGCGTCCATCCCCCGTCCTCCAAAATCCTCACCTCGAAGCTTTCCACAGCCGCCCCAACTCGCCCACCCGCCTGGACCTCAAATCGAACACCTCAACAGCGCTGTCGAAGTTTCTGCCTGCATCTCGGCTGGTATCCACCTGCGTCCGGTAGCATAGCTCGATGGCTGAGGAGTTGATTCCCGAAGCGTGGGCGACGAGCGTTGGTTTGTGCGAGGGGTGGGGGTGGGAGCCGAGACGTTTTTGCGGGATTGAGGTGGAGCGGGAAAGGTTGAGGTTGGTTAGAGAGATTACGTCCCCTGCGCGTAACGGGGTTGGGGTAAGGGTTGAGGCTGCTTGACCTGGTGCGGATGTGCTGCGCAGGATTGAGTCGCTGCCATCTGCCTCTTGGTCACCAACGATCCACTGTCGAACCATATCCCCCCACAAGACGACCTGGAACAAACTCCTCTCCTCCACCTCCTCGATCAAGCTCCATTCGCCACCAAGGGATTGCGTATCCACCAGTCGCGGGATGCTCGATATGCGACCGTCCATGACGAGCAGAGTGGCGCGCAAGGTTCTGCCGTCAGTGTGAGGGGTATCGGGTTTGTGGGTTGTCGCTGCTGCTGCTGCACGGAAGGCGCTCGACATGCCGGAGCGCATCTCGGATCGGTTGTTGTTAGGCCTTAATGCGGTGGTACGGTTGCGAGGTGGCGGAGCGTCCACCGGGAATCGATTTCTTACACTCTGCACCTCACCAACTTCCTTGACCACAACCAAGAGATTGATTTTGGAGCTGACACCTCCCACCCCGCTTCTCGGGGCGCCACCGCTGCCGTGCGTGAGGAAATGCATGGGGTTCGCCAAGATCTGCGCGACGGGTGTGATGCCGCCCAGGTTGAAGTGCAGTGTCGGCGGAGGTTGGATCGAGTGCGATTCGTCTGCAGGGGGAAGAGTGTGAGGGTGGTAGGGGTGCGAGTCGAAGGATGCGGCGAAGTCGTTGAGCGTTGGAAGGGTCTGATGGAGTGACGACTCGCCAAGGCGCTCGTGCGTAGTGACTTTAGCAGGTTGGGTGATGTTGACGGCCTGGTTTGCGGCATCGACATGCGGCTGAGTTGGATTTGGTGCAGGAAGTTCGACTTGGTCACGGCCTACATCTGATGTGACGCAGGTGGGTGCGAGGGATGGACGTTTGGAGAAGAACGTGAATCGGCAGGTTTGGGCGGGTATTGCTGCCGGGATGGGTGGTTTGACGAGGAGGGATGATGCTGAATTCGAGTCCTCTGCCTCTGTTGGTGCTAGAGCTGAGAGTAGTAATCGGTCGCGGGATACAGATGTCGCTGGCGCTGATCTGGAGGCTGCTCCAGAGGCAGAGAAGCCAGCGAGCAATGAGGTGTCCTGCACAGCATTGAGGTCCGGCTGTGCATCAAGCGCGTTCTGTGAAGCTGCGCTCGTATCATTTCCAGATGCAATACGTCGAGAGTCGCTCGCATTCGTCGTTTCGTCGGCCAGAACTGCGGGTGGAAATAAAGCACCAACGCTACTTGTAGTGTCACCATCTTGACCATGCTGCTCCATTTGCTCGAAGCTATCATCTTCAACGATGACACGGCTTTTGTCCACATCGTCGCCTGCACTTGCATCCTCGCCGGTACTATCTTGCTTGCCATCATGGCCGCTACCGCTATCTTGCATTACAATCGTACGCTGTCTGCTTGCACGTTGTCGTTCGGGCGTTTCAATCACGAGCACGGGGCTTCTGATTCGCACCCTCTTGCGATCCCTCTGGGCGTCACTGCCATCCTCGCCCTTTCTAATTGCGTCACGTGCAGTTGGAAGAAGATGCGCATGCAAGATCTCCCAAGGCACACCCTTTGGAGCATCGAGAACCTCCGATGTGGCAACCGACTCCTCATGATCCGAAATGGGATTTGCGAGGTGAGGGTCTACCGAGTCGGGAACTTCTTCGAGCGTCTCATTCGCCAGTGGATCTGGCCGGGTCTCGTCCGCTATCACTCGAGGGATGTGGGATCGATGAGAGCTGGGTATTGTAAAAGCACTTGTCAGCGTCGAATGCGATGAGCCGGAGGGGAAAGATGTGAGTGCGGGTGGTGGTAGGAAGACCAAGCTACGCATTGTTCGAGCGCGGGACTGCCCGACTGACCGATGCTTCAGGCTCGTAGCTTGTCACGCAGCGGGAAGGTCGATGCTGAGTTTGTGATGTTGGATGTGATGTTTCAAGGTGAGTGTGACATGAAAGTGTTGGTCTCGTCGCGCCATCCGACAAATCTTTCGGCTAGTTCCGCTCCACTTTTTGCCAAAAATTTGGACCCTGCATCGGCCCCTTCCTTTTCTTTCCATCACCACCATCACCCCTTCACCATCCATCGCCAGCCATGCAAGGCTTCAACATGGGTCGCTACCGGCCCCCCACCGCCGATCCCCGCACCACACCCTTCAACGCCACCCACCCTCTCGGCGCCCGCGCTCGTCGCCTCCACACCCACGGCATCCTCGTCGTACGCTTCGAAATCCCCTTCAACGTCTTTTGCCTCTCCTGCTCCACCCATCTTTCCCAAGGTCTACGCTTCAACGCTGAGAAACAGCAAGCTGGAGAATACCTCTCTACGAAGATCTGGAGCTTCGCTGTCAAGTGTCCTTCGTGTTCGGGTCGAATCGAGATCAGGACCGATCCGAAAAACGCACAGTACGTGGTGGAAAGTGGGGCCAGGAAGCAGCAGCAGGATTGGGATCCGGAGGAGTACGGTGGTTTTGCAGTGTACGATAGTAAGAAGGGAGAAGAGATTGAGCCGAAGGATGCTTTTGATAGGCTGGACAAGGAGAAGGCGGAAACGAGGTTGGCAGAGCAGAGGCAGAAACGCGTGCAAGAGCTGCAGCATGTAGCAGAGAGGAGAGGCTCAGATCCGTACGCAGCGAATTCGAGATTGAGGAGCGACTTTAGGAAGGACAAGAGGAAACGAGTCGGTCAGCTGGAGAAGGACATACAGTTGAAAGAACGGATCGGGTGGAGAGACGACACGATGCTCGCTGAAGAACTCACCCCCACGCTCACCCCCACGGCAGCCCACAGGGAGAAAGCGCTGTGGAACCAAGCCAGCACGAGCAGACGGAAGCTACGCAGCAAAAGCGAAAACCCGGCGGAAAGGTTGAAAGCCTCCTTGGTGGCTGCTACGCTGAAGAAGAAGGATCCTTTCTGGAAGGAGATCGCTGCTACTAAGGGAGCAGAAGGAGATGCTTCGAAAGCGTCGAAACGCGCCTGAACACCGTTTGCTAGGCTATTGCCCCCCAACAATCAGCATGGCAGGACGCACACCTAGTGCTCTCGTTAGAAGTACACACCGACCGCTCAAGACTTGCTCAGCTATCGGCATCACTCTTCACAGGCACACTAGACCTCGCTTCGATACCCTTAACCAATGATACCCATTCAATGACATTGCAGCTCATTCATCAGTGTACCCCGTAATCGTCTCTTCGTTGCCATCACGTCGGCCTACAAGCCGGTTTGAGCAGCTCGTACCTCCTCACCCTCTTCCCATCCTCGCCTTGCGCCTCCACGAGCTTGAGGTAAAGGTACAGCTTTTCGCGGTCAAACTTGACCACTACTGGATGCAGCGATAGCCACTGCAACGATCTCACCTTGAACCGCTGCCAGGGTGTGTCCGTCGCGTACCCGTCCATGCGTTGCTCCCATCGGTAGGCGGTGCGGACGATGACGCTGTCGTTCGAGTAGGCGGTGCCACCACCCGTGTACTGCGAAGGCGTGATCGACGGGTTGGCCGTCAACCCCCATGATCTTTCTTCCTTTTGGTGGTGCGCACCGGGTGATAGCGCAGCTGAGGAAGACGTGAGCTGAGATGAGTGCGAAGGATCGTCGTCGATCGTCGAGAAATCTCGTCGTGTTGCTTGCGTCGCATCGTGACCCAGACCGACTTTGATCGTTGCTGCTCGCCGCAGGTCAGAGTCGACCGGGTCCAAGAAAGGATTTTCGTCCTTGCGAGGGTCGGACACTCGGCCACCTTTGCGGTGATGTTGGTCGGACCAGCCTCTTCGCGGATTGACCGCGCGTGCATCGGAATGGCCCGCAAAGACGATCTCGTTGAGTGAAAAGTAGATCCGGTTCAACAGACCCCGGTTGAATGGCCCTCCCTTGGCGCCTTTCTTCTTCCACAGGCCACGTTTGCGCAAAAACTCCTCCAGATCTTGCCTTGGCATGGGACGATAGGCGATCGATGTCGGATACTGCGGCGAAAAGCTGCGTCTGTACTTGCGCAACAGGCTGTAGTCGTTACTGTTTAGCCGCCAGATCTCATCAAAGAAGATCCACCAAAAGCGATGGGCGGGCGAGCGATTGATAGCCGCCAATCGCTCGTACATCAGCGTGATGCTTCCTTCGTACTCCATGGGCAAGTTGCGCATGCTCCGTCCACATCCCGTTTCGACCAACGCCATGCGCAGACCCAAAGGACTGAGTCCGTCATTGTCAAAGACATCCGTCAAGAAGGAATAAGGAAGCACACGCTCCTTCCACAGCGCTTCGCGCTCGAAATGACGTCGGTACTTGCGTAGCACCTTCTCCACCAGAGGTGCACGGTCGATGACCAGCCGTTCATTGTCTTGCAGGAAGCGCGAGAGGGTGGGGTTCATGTCAAAGTCTTCGGTGAGACCAAGGACGCGTGACGCGCTCACCTCGAGTCGCCTTCGCACCAAAGTGATAGCTCCCGAGGTCTCCTTCATCCTGCCGTCCTCGTAGACGATCGAGACCTCGAATCCACCGTCGAAATTGTAGCCGGCCCAGTTGAATTCGTTGCGCCTTTCAATCTTGACTGTACCTTCTACGTACGAGATCGGCGTCGCAAGCACGTACTCTGACCGACCGCCACCGGATCCGAGCCTTCCAAATCTTGGTAAAGCTTTGCGACGGTCCGAGATACGCCCAAACATCTTGTCGACAAAGGCCAGTCCACTGGTGGGATCGCCAATTTGCACCGACGAGACGTACGGACACAGCACCTTCTGACCTTCCAATGCGCGCAAGGCTTGCCGCACCATCCTTTTGCCGACGATCTCGGCATCCGAGTTTTGCTGGATGAAAGCTTCAAAATCTTCCACTCGAGACAATGTCAAGCTGTGGTCACCACCTTCGTCGTAGCGCACAACAAGCGTAGGCGGAAAAGGCACCATGAAAGCTTTGCCGAAGAACGACATGACACCAGACGGGAAAGGCGGCTCCTGTGGTCGCCAGTAGGCATCGGGACCCGTATAGTCTCTTTGTATGGTGCGGATGAGTTTCTGCCGATAGACACCTTCTTCTGTACGAGAGATGTCGACCTCGCTTCGGTAAGCCTCGATGCCGATCTGCTTGACGACCTTGAGGTTTTCGATGTGACGCTCTGCCACGGAGCCCTGGAAGTCGATCAGGTAAGGCGGCCATTTGTCCTCGTCGGACACGGAAAAGGCAATGACCTGTTCGAGCGGCATGTGGTACTCTCGACCGCATAGGATCAGAATCGACAGCGTCTCTTCCCACACACGGCGCTTGATGTGCTTGGTGATGTCAAGCAAGGGCGAGAAAATGTCGATTGTATAGTCGACACGACTCTGCCACCGTTTGACCTGGTGAGCGACGAACGACATGCCCAAGAGGGCAAAATAGATGTTTCCACCGTAGGTAAAGCCTTGAATGATGTAAAGGATCGTAGTGTTGTAGACGGTAGAACCCTGCACATTGAGGGCCACGAGCAGACCAATGGTGGCGGTCAAAACGTAGCCGATACGCGAGACCATTTCGGATCGGTTTCCAATCTTGTCGACAAAGGGTCGTATTATGAGATGCACTCCGAGCAACGATGCCATGACGGCTATGAGTGCGCCCTGCTGAACGACCAGCATGGTCCTCGTACGGAACGATCGGAAGAGGCAGTTGTCCTTGGCCAGCACACCGATGATGAGCAGATTGGAGAGCTTAAACAACAAAATGTAGAGCGGCTTGTAGTAGCCCCATTTGCGATGGTACGAGTTGTAGAGAAAGTTGAAGGGCGATTTGTCGCGATTGAGAAGGCGATGGTAGTAGATCTGCATCTCTTCTTCGCTCCGTTTCCTGCCGAGCTCGTTGAACTTGCTGACATTGGGCAGCATCTCCTTGATGGTCATCATCAGCTTGTAGGGATACCAAAGCGTGTAGAAGATGATGGTGAGGACCGCAAGCGGCAATATAACGTAAGCCCAGTTGAATGCATCTTTGCGCATGGTGGTTGTGTAGCAAAAGTCGAGCGGAGCATGCCAGAGATCGGGGTCGCCCAGCAGAGGACCGGGCACCGGATCGTCGATTCCGCCCTTGTACGGATTGGGCACAGGCCAAAAGTCGCTCGACCAGACGAGAGCATCGACGGCCAGCTTGCTGAGCGGCAGGTAGAGAAGACCCAGGACGAAGACCAAGCATGTGTTTGCGAAGCGTGTTCCTCGAGAAGCGCTCTTGTAGATCCATCCCTGCGAGTCGTAGCCTTCGACGGTCTTGTTGGGGTTGTGCGCCTTGGTCATGCGCCAGAATCGCCAGAGAGCCAAGGCGGTGATGACGATCCAGACGACGAAAAAGATGACGGCGTAGCCAAACACCGAGACAAGGTCGAAACCGAGAAAGGCAGGAAGTGTCTGGAGAAGGAACTTGAAGAACTTGCTCGTAGTGGAAGTGGGATCGCTGCTGTCAAAGTAGCGCTGGAAATGAAGTTGGACCGTCATGATCTGGAAGAGATCTCGGAGCGATTCGAGACGGAGGATGCCGGCAGCAAAAGTGCTACCTTCCACGCCAATGACGGTGTCGAAAATGATGCCCAGCCAGCCGATAGCCCAGATGCCACCTGGAGGTCTGCGAGGACCGATGGCATTGGACTTGAGTTCGTCGAGATTGTTCTTCTTGAGGAGCATGAGAGGCGGGAACATGTGCTTGCGCGTCACCGGATTCGAGAGGGTAGAGAATTTGCTGGATACACCTTCGGATGGAAGTGCACTTCCATTGCCCGCAACCTTGCTCTCGGCGACACGAGCCGAGATGCGGCTGGCCACCTTTTGTGCTTGGAGAGCGTCATCAGCCTTGAGCGTAGCGTCATCATCGCTTTCGAGTTCGCGGTCCTCTCTAGCGTCTACGACAGTCATGTCGTCAGCTGGATCGTCTGGGTCGTCATCCCGGCTCTTCTTCTTGCCGCCAGTGGCGACAGCAAGCAAAGGATCCATCTCGTCGGTATGCGACGTGCTGCTGTGCTTGTGACGTTTGGTCTTGGACGGCTGCGTATCTGCTGGCAGTTGCTGGGAGGTACGAGCTCCTCGACGGCGCCTGAGACTCTCGTCTTTGTTGGAGGTCGTGGGTGAGTCGACACTGGAAGTGTAGAGTAGAGCGGGGCAGTTGATCTGACCTCCGGCCACCTCGAGCTGTGGCAGCTTGGACTTTGTTCGAGACTTGCTCGGATTGGACTTTTCAGTGTCGAGGGCGCCAATTCGAGAGGTTTGCGGAGACGGTGATGCAGCATCGATCATGAACTGTGGATCCAGGCCAAAGAGCTGCTTCTCCTGATCAGTGCAGACCAAGTCGGAATCGGAAAAGATGGGTTCGCCAAAGACGAAAGGGTTTCTGAGGTACTCTTCCAAGGCGGGAAGGTGAATGAGAGCAGCGTCCCTGCAGAAGACGTCGTCAGCGGCAACAGGAAGCGCGTCGGCGTCTACGAGGGAGCATACTGCGCCCTGGGCGATCTCGTTAGATACGAGATCTTTCCACAAAGTCGCCTGTGCTCTGACAGACGAGCTGATCAGGGGTAGTTCCTGAGTCGAAGTTGCTGGAAGCAAAGGAATGCTGCTTGGATCTTCTGCAGACCAATCTTGGTTGGCTTGTCCGCTCGGCGTTGCGGGAGAAGGAGCGGAGAGGTGGGAGCTGGAACGCTCGGGTATCTGTGCAGCTCGTGCGGGTATATTGTCACGGAAGGAGGAAGGGAGGTACTTGCTAGTTCCGAGTCGGAGCTTAGCGTCGAGATCAAAGATGTGCGCATTGGAGGAAGGTCTGGCAAGGCCCTCCCTGGGGGCTCGGAGATTGGTACGCTCATTTGAGGTTGCTGGTTGGGAGATGCGTACGCTAGCTGAAAGCGGCGCTTTGGAAGAGTGTTGGTCTGAATGGAACGAGGCTGAGGTGTGCGGAGGGAGAGCAGCTGGTATAAGGGAGGCACCATGTTCAGAGATATGAATGGGGTCGGATTTGGGAGCAGCTTTGCTGCGCACGAGTGGAGTGTTGGATGCGATGGTGTCGACGGTGGACTGTAGCGTGTAGGAAGTGTCATGCGTTGTTGGCGAGAAGGCTGAAGGTGATGCAGGTGGTCGCTCGGCTCGAGAAGGGAGAGCGCTGTCGGGAGAGGGAGAGACAGGAGAAGGTATTGTCTGAGCAGGTTGGACTGATCGAAGAGGCACGAGGTGACGTCGCTGGTGAGGATTGGCGGGAGAGACTTTATTTGAATCTGAGAACGGTTTTGGTCTGCTTGGTGACCTGGGCGATGCTGGTACTGAAGGCTTTGTGGTGACGCGCAATGCTGGCGGACGAGGTGGGTCCGAAGGCAGGCCGTACTTGGGCGTCCAATCGAGTGGGCCGAGTGTACCGTTTGTGGCATTGACAGCATTGGCGAGGAGGGCGCGATGCGCTGGTGCGGGTCCAAAGTCGGTGCTTGTGGACGTGAGCGCTGAGCTGATCGGTGGTGGAGCAGCCGATTTGGACGATGTGAGGGACGTGGATGAAGAAGGATCCGGTTGAGCTTCCCATCTTGATACGAGCTGCTGTACGCTTGCTGATCGAGGTGCTCTTAGCGAGAGGCTGGAAGGACGAGGCGGTGCTGGCGAAGTGCGTTTGTGATGGTCGTCGGATGCGCCATCGCTTGTGCCTTTGGAAGGTGGAGGCATGGTGAGCTGAGGTGGCTTAGCCGATGCTCACAGGAGCTGTGCTGAGGCGTCACCGCATGAGTGGGTCGAGTGATTGGGCGGAGGAGCCGAAAGGTGGTGGTCAGAAGGGACGTCGCAACTTCAAAGTGCGGTCAAGCCGAGGAGCCAACCTGGACAGAAAGTTCGACTAGCCCTCCATGGAAGGGAAGCACACGACCGGTCACGTTTGTCTAAGGCACGAGTCCTCACTTAACACATCGGTCTTGACTCAGTGACAGGCTAGCTGAACAGTTGCCTGCTGGCAATGCAACCCCGCAAAATGAGTGACTGCCGGATCGACATCAGGTGGGAGGGTCAAACAACAAATCCCCTCATGACACTATATGAAGCGCAGCTCCAGTACTCTATGCTGTATGCATGGTCGATCTTGTGCGGCCTTTCCCAAAAATCACTCAGGGGTTGAGAAACACACACCCATCGACGCGTACCCGAGACAGTATGCAGCGCGTCGGTTCGAAAAACAAGACCGAGCCTACTATGCAGGGCTGCAGCAAACCTTCAAGAGGGTCTCGACTCCAGCCTGTGAGCTCAACTTGCCTATTCTGGCCGCCGGAACTATAAAATTCAAAGTCTACATGTGCGCTTGAGTCATCTAACATTAGGCTAAAAATTCAAAACGGTGGAGGATAGCTTGTCGAAAATGGCGTGGCCGGATGACGTCTTGAGGCGCAGTCAGCGCAGCTTGCACCAGCTTTGCACCACTTTCGCGCTGCCCGACACGGCTGGAGCGCAGAGAAACTCAGCCAACGCTTGGACCCTGATGCAATCCATATGCAATCAGTGCGTTTCAGCCCCACCGACTCTATCCTTTCCCTTTGTCCTTCCCGACACCATCATCACAAACTTTACCTTTGTCTTTGCCCTTTCATACACGAAACCTTATTTTTGCCAACGATGTCCGACTCGAACAACCAGAACAAGGGCGAGGAGCAGTCCTTCACCATCCAGTGAGTGCTACACTGCTCGCATGCGCATGCGTTTCAACACAACTAATACGAATCACTCTACTCTTCCGTTGATCTGGCGCAGGCCCCACCCAGCTACCAGTAAGTTTGCATACCGCAGATGCATATCGCATCCGTCAGCAAACACTCGCTTACAATCCTCCTTGTCGCTGTCTTGTCTGTTCATTCTTCATGCAGCCAACGACCCTAGCACCGACCCTGCCCTCAACTCGGGTCTCAAGGAAGGTGTCTTTGGCGGTGGAAAGCCCGGTCCCGCCGTCGTCAACGCTGAAAACCTCGAGGAGCCCCTCAGTAAGTGCACAATTACCCTGGCCAGCTTGCATCGTTGAGCGACTGCCAAGGCTGACACTCGCGTTTTCCTTTGCTATCCCAAACCCCATAGGCCGCGAAGAGCTCGCTAAGCGATCTGCCGAACTCAACAAGTGAGCCTGCGCTCCAATCACTGTCTCGTAGAGGTCTCTTCATCGATACACGATCCGAGACTGAACCACCATGTAAGAACGACGACACTGTATCCATGTAGCCTACTTTGCTCTGTCTGCAATCACAAACTCGAATCGTCACTTTTCGACTGGCGTGCAGCTCCGTCACGAGGTATCGAAGCGATATAGTCATGCCGACGCACAAAGGGAAATCCGCACGACACCGTGCCGAACCGCATCTCATTACATCTGTCCAACTGCGCCCACCCCGTGATGCCGAGGCACAACAAAGGGTCGATTGCCCTTTGTCCAACAGAGCCCCGTTCTTGGAAGCTGTTCTGGCTCGACCAACTCTTTCTTCCCTTTGTGCCGATTTGCATTCCCTTTGATGTCGAGGGTCAGGATGAGGCTGCTGCCTTGACGCTGTCAAGGCGGATGGTGGATCTAGCTGGCAGCGCAGCAGATATATACAGCTGGCCTGGTTCCGGAATGGATTTTCTTTCCGTCCTCACCGCATTGACTCACATTCTCTTCGACCTCGTCAAGATGCTGCAATCCAACACCAACGCCAGCTCGTTCAAGCTTCAACCTGCTCCTCGACCTAAGTCCAAAAAGCGTCCTCTGGATGCTCCTCCTGTCTCTTCTTCTACCGATGCAACCAAGCCGTCGGACGCTGGTTCAGTGCGGTCGTGTTTCGAAGACGATGAGGACTCGGAGGAAGAAGAAGCGGCCTTGACACCCAAAGCGTCGCTCTTCAACGTCCATGTCTCGCCCACCGTCGCGCCTGCTACTTGTCGTCATCGTTCGTCCACGCTCTCCACCTCCGCCCGTCCGACCAGCTCGGTGCATCGTCTGCTCAATGCGATGTCCATCCCACTCTCCCCCTCCACTCGACCGTTGTCCACTGCATCCTCCCCCTCGGCGACGGTCTCGATCATGCTGACCAGCAAATCGCCTACCCCGTCCTCACCCCTCTTCCCGCGTCGAACGCTGATCCGAAGCCTCTCGTCCACCTGCATCAATCCGTCTTCTCGATCGCCCACTTCTCGTCCCTCCAATCTGCGAAAGAGAATGGGATGGAGGGGGTTCACCTCAGCCGCCCGTGCGGACGAGCTGTCGATCCTCCTATCCCCGGGAAGCCCACTCACCCCGCGGCGTGCCGAACAGCTGCACACCCCCACCCAAGCCAGCATCGACTCCCTCCTCCACCATCGACTGGAAGAAGTCGACGAGATGGAACCCCTAAGTGCAACGCTCAAGGCGCTAGGTGCAAAACGAAAAACGCACCGATTTGGAGAGACTTGCTCTCCACCGGGTTCAGCGTTCGACGTCAAAAGTCCAGATACGAGTATGGGTACAACGGTGGGCGAGTTTGAAGTGATGACGGCGGAGAGAAAGATTTTCAACTTGCCGACGTGGGTGCGGTTTGAGGCGAATCACCATGCGCGTACCAAGGTGGTGGAGGAGAATAGGATGGCTGCGAAGGCGAGTTCTGCGATAAAAGTTGCGGGGGTGGAGACAGAGGTGAAGCGAAACGCATCGATCAAGGAGAAGGAAGGCTTGATGGGCCCAAAGACGAGTCAACTGGGAGACGTCGCACCTTCCAGTCCCAACGGAAGTCTCTTGGGTGGGTTCGATTTCGACACCACCACCCAGCGCAACGATGCTCCAAAGCAGCAGCAGAAAGGAGAAGTAGTGTCTGTCGTCAGACGTCTTCCTGTTGCAGCGATTCGTGGGTTGGATTGCAAATCTTCGCGCGCCGAGGCAAAGGTCAAATCCTCCTTTGCCTCGGTTTTTCGTTCCGCCCTTCACCCACCTTCTCGTCGGATAAAACCTGGCGTAGAAGAGGAAAGACGTGATGGGTGGGGAGGCATTCTGACACGTACCAGTTGGTTCCCTTCCCACACCAAAGGTCCTTTAGTTTCCCCCACCCCAGCTAGAAAAGTCGGGTTAAAGAAGATGCTACTCCAACCAACCAAGGAGGACGAGTGGGAAGACGTGCTCTCACCCAAACCCTCGAGGATCGAGGAAACCTCCTTCTTGGAGATGAACGAGAAACCGCGTTGGAAGGTTTTTCCTAACCGCCCCGTCCATCCAGATCCACCATTCCAACTCAACACCTGGCACACCCGGCCCCTTCCCAAAGCGGACGTGATCGCCAGTCAACTCATCACAAACCACAAAAGCGTCGAAAATCGTCCCATCTCAACGAAATTTCGGTTGGGGAAAACGCGCACGCTGGTGTTGGTCATCGTGACCGTGTGCGTGATTGCCCTGGTGGTTAATGTCGTGATAGTGAAGGAGACTGGGAGCAAATCGGTGACGAGCGGAGATGGGAAGAGGAAGGTGTTTGATCCACTGGTGGGGAACATTGATGGGTTGAAGGTAGCGCCCGCGACGGCGACGACGGTGTCGGTGGATCCGAGCGTGGCGAAGGCGGCGCACATGTCGCAGCCCTAAGAAAGTGTTTCGTTCTGTTCCTCCCCCTCCATTCTTGTTCATATCCTGCTAAAATGTGCTTTGTTCTGTTCCTCACTTCATTCTCTCTAATCGAAAACGTCTTTTACAGTGCATTGATCGGCTTCAACAAAATGTCATTCCTCCTCCACGTCTAACCGACCAAATGCATGCTAACCTTCCCACGCTTGGTGTTGGCATCCTTGGTGACGCCGATCTTGACCGTACACATGTCGAAAATGCCCAGCTTCAAATCCCTCGTCAACCCGCTCACGTGTTTCGGAATGCGCACCTCGTAGTTCTCCTGATCGAACTCGACCTCCTCCCTAAACGTGATCAGACCTTCCAATCCGAACTGATTGACAAACACGGCGAGACCGTTCCTGAACACCCTGATCACGTACGCGCTCGCCTGCATCATCTCGCCCTCTTTACCAGCGTTGCGCTCAGCAATGCTCAACCCGACATAGAACTCCACCGACGCCCTACCCGCCTGCTGTGCACTCCTATGCCTCTTGTTCACCACCTTGAGCACGTCGTCGACGTAGTCCTTGGAGTGCAAACTCGGATGGAGCGGTTCGTAGTTGATCGCAGCTGCCAACTGACGATGCGCCAACACGTCGGCGTACCTTCGAATGGGAGAGGTGAAATGCGTATACATCCCCGCTGCCAATCCGTAATGACTAAAGGTATCCCTCGCCACGCTGCCCGAACAGAAATACTCGGCACTCAGCATGCATCGTGTCGCCATGATACGCACCAACGTGTTGAACGTAGCGTCTTTCGAATCGACGCACTCGTCCAACGAAGCGGCGAGGGCGCCGGAGCTGGACACGTCGAGCGAAAGGTTGCGTCGTTTGAGGAGGATATCCTGCAGAGTCTCGAAATTCGTTCGCGGTGGAGGCAAGTGTCTTCGCAGAACAGCGGTCATGGGGAAAACCTCGTAGATCCTTTCTGCGACAGAGACGTTGGCGAGAAGCATGAACTCCTCCACCAACGAGTTGGTCTCTCTCATCTCCTTCTGCTCCACATCGATCGGTGCGGCGGATTCGGACGAATCGAGATGGATGCGTACTTCGGGCGAGGCGAGGTTGAGTGCACCTGCATCCATACGCTTTTGTTTGAGCTTCTTGGCGAGCGAGTTGAGCAGGCGGATCGACTGAGTGATGGCGTCGGTTTTGGATTTGTCATCCTTGCGCAATTGCGCCTCTTCGTAGGTGAAAGCAGCTTTGGATGCGATGACCGATTTGTGGAATCGAACATTGACGATCTCGGCGTCCGGTGTCATCTCCCACACTGCGCTGAAAGCGAGTCGTTCCACGTAAGGTCGAAGAGAGCACAGGTTGGTACCGAGAAGATGTGGAAGCATGTCGATACGTTTGTCGACGAGGTAGACCGTGGTACCGCGACTGGATGCTTCCGAGTCCATCGGGTTGTCGGGCCGCACAAAGTACGAGACGTCGGCGATGTGGACGCCGGCCTCGATGTTGCCGTTGGGCAGCTGCTTGGCGTGCAGTGCGTCGTCAATGTCTTGGCATCCGGGGGGATCGATGGAGCAGATGATTTCGTCACGTATGTCGACCCTGTCCCTCCAAGCGCGGTGCGTCATGTCCTTGGGTGGAACAACCCACGTGTCACCCTCGGCAGGCAAACAATCGAGGATAGCCTTGCTGAATGGGCGATACGGTACATCGTGCTCGAGCAACAGAGACTCCTGCTCTGCCTCTTTGCTCTCGGCTTGACCGAGCGCGCGGACAAAGTGGCCGTCGGGGTAGCGCGACGTCGGTCGCCATGCGTCGAGTGCGATGAGGATCTTTTGGCCCATGAGATCTTTCGCCTGACGAGTTCGGATGCGGATTCGAGGAAGTTTACGGTCGACAGGGGTGGCAAACACTGTCTGCGCACCAAGGCTTGAAAGCGCAGAGGAGTTGACCGAGTTGACGTCGACGTGAGCGACGTACGACCTCCAGTTGCGGCGCACGATGCCGACGACCTTACCGGTGGGTTGCGGTTCGCCGCGCGAGGAGCGTGCATTGGCCTCTGCGTCGGCTACTTCCTTCCTTGCGAGTCGCGCTTCGATATCGTCATCAGCACCACCCTCTCCGTCGGCGTCTTCGGCGTCATCGTCCTTGAGCGCTGCGTCGGCATCGATGACCTCTTCGGTTGCACTCTTCCACTGGTCTTTGGGCAGCATCTGCACGGCGACGATGTCTCCGTCGACGGCGCGGTTCATGGATTCGCGACCGACGAGCAGGATAGGGCGTGTCAGCTGACCTGATCGAACGGTGGCCTCGAGGTAGTTGTACGGATTTGCGTTGAAGAAGCCTTGAAGCAGCTGGCCAGACTTGACACCGGCGGTGACCTGGTTCTGCGGCAGATGTTCGGGATAGAGGACTGCGCGCTTCTCGCTGCCACCAGAGCCGGACACGAGCGAGCGCGAAGAAAGCAGATCCAGAAGTTGGTCTGCATTGTCTAGGCCTTCGATGTAGTCGCGGACGGACATGGCACGAATGTCGTCTTTGAGGGCGCGTTGCACGTTGTCCTGGTCGTCGGAGATGAGCAGCACATCGAGGTTGGCTTTTATGGACGAACCTGGACCAGTGGACGCCATGAGATGAGTCCTGTACCATTTGGCTGCTGTGCGGATAGCCCTGTCGTTGCGATCGTTGGGGGATTCGTCTTGCTGTTGGAGCACGGCAGTGTCGCGGCCAAAGTCGTTGTAAAACACCCAAAATCTACGGTCAGGATCGGCGATGAGGTTCTTCAAGCGGTTGAAAAGAGGCAGACTCCTGTGACGGACTTCATCTGCAACTGTTTGCAGCACGATGACATCTGTGAAGCTCGGGTTCTCGATGAGATCCATCTGATGAAGAAATGCGTTGGTGTCGAGGACGAGGTAGTGGTTGCGGTCTACTTTGGTGTTTTTCAAGCCGGTGGGATCGAGAAAGATCTTCCTTTGAGAGCCATTATCCTGAGCTTGTCTCTGCAGATCGGCATGGAGGTGATGGCATCGTTCGCAGGCGCGGCTGCCACAGGCGATGTCGTCGCGGAGGTACCTCTCGCGCAGGATCTTGAGGACCTTTCCGCGGGCTGTCTTGCGAAAGTACTTGTGCTGCGCCGATTCGAGCTCGACGCCAGCGAGCGGTCGCTTCTGAATGCTGATCTCGACCATGTCGTATACCTGATGTGCAGTCGAATGTGCACAAGCAAGATGGTAGGGTTGGACGGTGACGAGAAGAAGACGAAGACAGAAGAAGAAAAGCGTCCTTTGAGCGCAGTCGAAAAGTGGAGAATCGACCAAAAAATCCAATCATGGTATGGATCGGTGCCCGATGTGTCGCGTGTCGCCTGATCCATTTAGATTCACGCTGTTAGAACGTAGTCTTGGGCCCTCCTGCAGCGGGTGCCTGGCTATGGATGCATCAACCTTCATTGGCTGTCATGTCTCAAACGATCTTGTTGTCTCGCCCTGATCCTGATCTGTGGCTCACTGATTGGAGGAGGGACTGTGGCAGCTCTCATGTAAGCAAAGTTCGCAAGCAAGGGGCAAATGTTTGTCCGGGTACAGCGGGTTTGCGGATCATGCAGCATGCAGGTTGGCGTTTGGACGTCAAAACCTAGGCGAAGGCGCGCTAGATCCATCAGAGCAGAAGCACCTGAAGAAGCGACAAGACAGGCCGCGGCAACACGTCGCAGCAACATCCTTGCAGAAAAAGCCGCTCGCCTTGCTTCCCCACCGTCTTTGCCGTCACTTGCACATGCTCAGCTACACTGTGTCGAAGCTTGCTGTCAGAGAGCTAGCTACTTTCACGCTGGTAGCGTCGTAGCCATGCAGCATCCATAGTGCTCGCGATATCAAAGACGAGGCACGAGTCGAGCGCCTATTGCGAACAGGAAGACCGACCATCGACACGAACGGCGACCGTGTCAGCGGATCCCACGCTCTGACACAAAGCGGCGTTTGATGAGTTGAACTCAATTGTTCTTGATTACCAACGGCATCAATAGCTAACCACTGTTTGCATCCGCTCGATCTGTCACAAACATTGCCAACGATACAGAAGTCGTTGCATAGTATACTGTATGCCTGCATGTCATGACGAGGATCGAGGCGGCCGCAACTCCGCCAGGCACGACCGTGTCAGAAACGGCACCAAAGACTTACAGTAGCTGACCTCCGTGTCCCTGTCGGAATCGATCCTCGTGGCAAGGAAGCGGCAAGTCAAAGGACCATTCATGCAGATCCCGTGAAGCGGTGGCGGAGTGGATACAGTCAGTACGTTTCAGACGGCCTGGATTTCGGCCATCTCCGCCCTATTGTCCGTGTCTCCGCTCGAAACGGCCAACGCTGGCATGGTAAATGACCTGACAGAATGGCCGCTGGGCCCCAACTTAAACCAGCTTCCACACGTGCGACGCCACTTTTTTTTCCTCTCCCTTTTTCGCACTTGGAATCTGTTCATGTAAATTGTGTTCCTCTTCCGGAAACACCGAACCTGACACGACCGGCTGCCAACTTCACTGGATGTGTTCAGAGTGACACGGTAAGGTGCCCATATTCACGGCGTCGTTTGTGTCGCCGAGTTGACCTAGACAGAGGGGCTTCTTGTGCAATTCAATCTAGTCAATCCGTCATGTCACGTCGGATCACCATCAGAAGATTCGACCCGGCGTGCCTGCAACTGTGTACACAGTAGTAAATTTGTCGTGGCGTACTGCAGAATCCGGAAAAATCCTGGATCCATTGCAGACACATAGACTATATGATGCCTTGTTGTCTCTTTCTGCTGGCGAAGCTTCAGCCGACATTTCAGTCGTCGGCCACAGCAAGGCAACAAGCTGGCAAAGCGCGAGTCTGGAAAAGGCGACTGCCTTTCCGGATCCTCGGACTGGTCTGCAATCCAAAGGGCCTGTTGTCTCATTCCCGCAAAAGAGGACCTGCGGGATTACAGCCTCGCCAGTTCGTTTGCCACGTTGACGGTGTACGTTACCAGTGGGGATGAAGCGAACAACGACGCCACACACGTATGTCCCGTACCGAAGTTTCACGCACACTGCACGCCTGCGGATGGACCGCTGCAAATCAAGACGCTCGTTCAAGAACATACGAGCTCCCAGCCGGCTCGTGCTGCCAGCTGCAAACCCATCACTCTGCGTGATTCGCGCGCATGTACCAGAGCAAAGCGTGTCAACCGAACACACACCTGTCGCCCTTGACTTTGGCTCGGAAAGAAGCGAGCGTCGCATCTGTATTGGTACAACTGGACAGTTGAGTTGGCTTGCTCAAGCCGCCAAAATGTGATTTGCGAGCTCGCTTGTGCGTGTGGGCGTAGGATTCCGCGCGTCGGCACATGCGAGAGAATGGGTCGTATAATAAAATTCGCAACGGAAACATAGTATACTTCTAATTTGCAACCTGGCTGCTGGCGGGCGTATTATAATAACTGTACGTGCATCATGCATGGATATCCTGTCACTTGTAGACTCTGCAAGCTGGCTGCTGCTGTTTATTTTATTTTATTTTTTACTTTTGGCGGCTGCTCGTCTGCGTTGCTTGCGTTGCCGACGCCGACGCCGCGACTGTTTCGACATTTTCGCGCTGTGTGCATGCATGCATGCCTGTCTGTCTGTCTGTCTGTCTGTCTGTCTGTCTGTCTGTCTGTCTGTGTGTCCCTGTTTGCCAGGCCGCTTGGGTGCCTGCGTGCTGCTGCTTCTTGTGTCTACTGTAGGAGCCAACACTGTATCCCGCTCCCTTTCTACTCCTTCCACCTATCTTTTGTACATCTCATCCCACATCACCGCCGCTCCCATCACAGCCGGCCGCAAAGAATCATACAGTACAGCATCTCCATCTCATCTGTTCGACTTCATCACCGAACCGCCTTCGCCGACCTCTCTCTCTTCCCGGCGTGCCTTCATCGAGCCGACGACTTGTCGTCTCATCTGGACAGCAGCACAGCTTCAGCATCGATCTCGATCGCCATTTGCCTCGTCGCGCTCATCGTCTCGGCAAAGTCACCCGGACACCGTCCCAGCGCTGTCCTCTCCCCAGCAACACGGTGCGATCGTCTACGTACCGTTCGTTTTGGAAACGGCGTGTTGGCCTTCAAGATATTCTGTCTTGTACCACCATCAGCACCTCATCGCCGAATCCAAACTCTGTTGATCGCGCTTATATTTGCAGAGTGACACCGTCTTACCCGACCTCATACTGCAGCAGTCCGTCAACAAGATGTCCTTGGCTTGACCGTCTCATTTTCGGTCACACTCTATCCTGTTGCGGTCGCCTCACACCCATCGGCGCTCGTCTTGCAGATCCGACGCATCGGCTGTCTCTTTCGCCCTAGCTTCCCTTTGCAGCTCGTGATCATTCTATCGCATTTCTCAGCGCTACTGTGAACGTAGCCTCGATACCTCAGCATCAACCCACTGCTTGCTTGTTGCAACGCGTCGACATTGTCCACCCGCGATACCTGATCGCCGGTCCACCGTGGTTCCGCCCACTCTTTTCGCGCCCGTCTGCGCCTCGCATCCTTTCATCTCAGACGGCGTCTATTACGACCCATCGACTTTGCCCTCTCAACCTATACTGGCGGGACCCTTCGTCTTCGTTCCCTCTCCAGCGGCACCGGGTCCTTTTCACATCCCCTCCTTCAACATCGTTCGACTGTCGCGTCAACAACATCTCGCACATTTTTCATCTTCAACAGCATTCCCTTACCAGAAGTGTCACCGACACCTCGCAACGACGTGTCACCGTCGCGATGAACTCGCACGAGGCTGAATTCAGTCCACCGCCAACACCGGGCCCAAGCTCGTTTGCTCCACGACCGATGCAATCGAGCAAGCCTTCCAGGGCACCCGCGAGGGCACTCTCTCTACGCATCCCCGAGGATGGCCAGGCGTTTGGCGGTCTGGCCCAACCTCCGCTGCCTTCGGCTTTTCCGCGTTCACCTGTTTTGCCCACATCTGCGCCTCACATCACATTGCAGTCAGCCAACAACCAAGCCGGTCCGAGCACGCTTGCGCCACCACCACAGTCCCGGCTCTCTCGCAAACGGCCGTCGAGGCTCAATTTGGCGCCACCTTCTCAGTTCGACGAGTCTGGCCAGTCTTCACGATCCATGCCCAACTCGCCCGTCACGCTCTCTCGCTCCCCCTCCAAAGCAGAACAGACCGAAACCACAGCGCCACCTGCCTCGGCAATATCGGAAGCGGTCAAGCACCTCTCCAGCACGCTTCGAGGTACGCCGCGCAGGCGTCCGAGCATGCCCTTCAAACCCGCAACCGCGCAAGAGACCGCCTATCCCGAGCCTCCCAGCGCCGCAAGCTCGCGCAGCAGGCCGCCCGAAGCTTTTCGCGACCCCTCTGAACACATCCTTAGCGGCAAAGGCAGCACCCTCCAGCATGCAAGGAGCGTCTATTCGCACGGCCCTGTCGAGGTGCTGCCAGGCTTGTTCTTGGGAGACGAGCACAACGCGCGTGACAGCGACACGCTCTCTGCACTGGGTATCACCACCATCCTCAACGTTGCAAAGGAGACGGCGCTCGATTTTCAGTCGGAACGCGGTTCTTCATCGGTATATCCAAGTGCGGCTCACCCGACCTGGTCCAACAGTGCGATGAGCCGTCAACGCGGTGCATCCGGCGCTGGCCACCAAGAGCCGCCGACGCCGAGCACCTACTTCACCCCTCCAGCAAGCGCTTCACTGTCGAGGCCCAAGGGGCCCGGCGAAGCCTCTTCGCCGCGCGATGCGATCAGCGTCTCGGTGCTGCGCAACACATCCTCGACGCCCAATCTGCTCACACATTTCGTCAACGGAGAATTCACCGGCACTCCCGAATCAGCGGCACTGCACGGCACCGAAGCAGACTCAACTTCCACCTCGGATCTTCGCACGCTCACGGCACAAGATGTGTTGCGCTATCGTTCGCTGCGACGCACCAGCGATTCGTCCTCCGACGACGCCTTTGGCACCGCCTCGTCACCTTCCTCCTCGCGCGCTGCAAGCACCTGCACTTCGGCTGCTACCGAGCTTACTCCGCCAGCGCTCATGCAGTTGAAACACAACGAGGACGCCGAAATCAACGATAATGCTTCGTCTACCTATGCATTCGACGACGACTCGCAGAGCTCTCCGTGCGCGTGGTTCACAAAGGTCGAACTCCCCTCGAACGCCACAGCCATCACCGTGCCCGCCAGCATCGAGCATGGTCGAGCGCATCAGATGCGATACGTCAAGCTGCCTTGGACCCACGACGAAACCGATCTCGCATCCACCCGCGGTGGTTTCGCCCAAGGTATCGCGCTCATCGCCGAAGCGCTCGGCATCGATGATCGCTTCTGGTACGCCGCTAAGATAGCAGACGACGGCGACGCTTGTGCTGCGCTGCAAGACGACTTGGTGAGCTTGCAGCACATCCAGACGGATCCGTTGCCGGGCAAGATCCTCGTCCACTGCCAATGCGGTGTTAGCCGAAGTGCCACGCTGGTCATCGCCTTTGTCATGCAAGCAGCGGCCATGCGGTACGGCTTCGAAGCGGCTCGCAGCTTGCTTGGCATGCACGACTGCTACAACATGGTCAAGGAAATGTCGTCGAGCATCTCGCCCAACATTTCGCTCATCTACCAGCTGGTCGAGTGGGAACGTTACTTGTCCAGTTCCGCCGGCCGACTGCGCGATGCGCTCGGCATGGGCAACATGAGCAACGCTGGCGAGGTCGAAGGGTGCACCAACGCAAACGGGCAGTCGAGCCTGGTCGCAGCAGGCTGGTCGACCGAGCCCATGGATGAGGCTATGTGGAGCAAGATGCGCCTGGAAGAAGAAGAAAAGGAGGCAGTCGAGGAAGAGAGACGGCGACAAGAGCGTCTCGACGAGGCTATGAGACTCGCAGCGGACAGACGCGCGGCACAGGATCGACTGGAGGGACGCGTCCCCGTCGAGGGTGCCTCCGAAGGAGGTGAGACTGGTTCGGGTTCGCTCATGCAGCGTCGAAGGAAGAACCGCGCACCCGCTCTGCAACTTCAGACAAGCGCCACTCCTTCTGTCCTTGGCGCTCCTCCAGCTGTCGCGCCGATGCCAAGCCCCGGACTCCAGCGCCGCCGCCCTCCGGCATTGCAACTCACTTCTGCTACGCGGGCGGGCGCTGGCGACGTCGGACGGTCGGAGGTCGAGACACCGTTCCATACGGCTAGGTTGGAAGTCTGGTCTGGGCATGAGCCGGACGCAGATGGCGATGTAGCGATGAACGAGCCCGAGCCGCCTCAGACGCCCCTGCGCTCGTCGACAGCCGATTACGACACTGCCAGCACGCCCACTGCTCGAACGACAGCAGCAGCGTACGGTGTGGACTCGACTTTTTCAGCGCTTCGCACTCCCAATGCTTCCAGCGCCTGGGCGCCGTCGCCCAAGACAGGCGTCCATGCGCCCTCGAAGGAAGACCTACAATCTTCGATGCCCAGCGCTGCGCTGCTGCCGGCGGCGGCCGCAACGAGGCGTGCGAGCACGCACGGCAGCATACCAACCACGCTAGTATCGCCATCGTCGCCGGCCATGGCACCGTCGCTCTCGACGGGCTCCAGACCGAACCGATTCAGCTTCGGAGGTGCGCCGCTCAGCGGCAGCCTGGCAGCACGACTCGGAGGCGACGCGGAGCGCTCCCGAAGCAGACCAGACTCAATGCAGAGCACCATGTCGTCGTCCTCGTCCTCCACGGCGCTGTTTGGCGTCACTGCCCTATCACGCGAGGAACGAAAGAAGCAGCACCGTCGAACGTTTTCGTCCGACTGGCCGACGCTGCAGGCCAACCTGCTGTCTCAGCGACGAAAGAGCAAAGTCGACAGCCTGCTCGCTCCGCCAGGCATGGAAGCGGATGCAGCGACGACCAACGCTGAGCACAACGACGCCATGGACGTGTAAGACCCGAGGACAACCCCTTCTTGAACTGCAATCACATCCAATTTGCCCTCTTTGTCAGCATGTGAGCCCCGTTAGGTCCGATGAGCAGACGGATCAGAACAACATGCCCGGAAAGATCGGATCCGCATCGGCGCTGTGAGAGACAAAACAGAGTGAAGCACGGTTGCGAGCGGATGCACAAGCTGCACGAACGCATGTGGGGGGTCACGAGGACTTTTCATGACCGGGTGTTTCGAGAAGAAACTTCGCACCCTCGCTCAGCGCGGGGGGAAGGACACGAGGTGGGGTTTCCGATGGACGAAAACGCCAAACAATCGGGTGTCCGCGGCGAAACGTGTGTGTTCGGATGTCTCCGATGTTTTCTTCATGATCTGCGATCCCGAACGCTGTTACTTGGCAACACAATTGCTGCATTGGTCAGTTTGTGTGAGGGAACGTTATCGGGAACGAGCGGAGGTGTTTCGGTGCGAGCCACGTCGCAGTCGAACCTGCACAGCACCTTGAAGTTATGCCAATCGATGCTCTTCCATATCAAAGTTCCTGACGACCCAATGAGAATCCCCTTACACGGTAAGGCTTTCCAACATCGGAATTGGGGCGATGGCATTGGTCCGCCCCAGTGTTGCATCAATGCCAAGCCCTCGGCCTCTCGTCACTGATATCGGTAGGAAACCGACATGTTTTCATGCAGAAAAGAATTCGTCTTTGAGGTGTCACGAGGACAACATTCGCTGAGAGCAACCGCGGAGAGATAGATGCACCGACTGCAGAAGAGCCGCATTTGGGCCGACGCTCGAACTTGACCGATGCAATTGAATCCGTCCCCTACTGCTGGATTGTCTATCAAGTTCACACCTCGCCGCGCAGGAGCACGCCGTTCTGGTTTCGACGGAATCGTCTTGTGTGACACCAACGGACCCATCGTCCTCCGCGTCGTAAAGAACGCAAGAATAGCGATTGAGACGGAACTGATAGCTCTATTTTCAAATGCTGGGGCGAGATAGGCCGCTACAACCGACGGTGTGGCTGCCTTCTCGCGGATTTTCGCCTACGACCAGATGGCGCTTGGTGTTGTCGTAGCGGTTTTTCTTGGCAAAAAAATCGTGTAGCCGAGCAAGACTGTTCCAGTGCTTGTGCTAGAGGCTGACGAAAATTCTTCGCCTGTCACTCCGGTTGCGGAGGTTGAAAACGGAGAGAGGAAAACGGCGTTTTGTGCGGAAATTTTGCAGAACAAAACCTTTTCGACAACTACGGTACTGCCATGTCCCTGCTTCATTCACCCAAGAGTTAGAGTTGGACGAATAGCGATTGGTGATCCCGAGCAACAAAATGGGTTGTGACTCTGTTATCTGCACTGTGTCCAGTAGCACAATATCCTTCAGAGCTCTCTGTCTCCAGATCAATAGTGGGAAAGAGGAGATGACAGCAGGTCGGTGGGTTTGGAAGGCAAGGAAAAGATTCTTGATGGAAAGAATTTGGCAGGGCCCCACCACCCAACCTCGTGGCTTTTCCGCTCGTCCCTTATCAGCAGACCCAGCTCGCTTATGTCGATTGGTGCATCAGAAGTACAGTATCCGTCGTCGTTGGAAGAGAGCACAGCATAGCATCCAGAGCGACAAGATGAGCCGGGCTGGTAGCCGAGCAGGCCTCTTTTTCTCTCTCCGCTTGTCGTTGTTGTGCACGCCATCAGTCGCGAATCTTGTGCCTCTCGCTTAGAAGCTGTGCACGCGACGTGCGACTTGCGGCAGGAAAAATAGATAGCCCAGCCAATGAGATGCTGTGCCACCCCTTCGTATGTAGTGGTCAGGCTCAAAAGGTCTCAGGCTTGATACGCTTGCCATCAGGGTTGCTTCTCGACCACATCATCACCCTCGCTCTCCCCGTTTTCCCCCAATCGCCGTCATGGCGGTCGATCAGATCCACTCGGAGTCGTCTCCGTACGCACAAGAGAAGGCCAGCTCCTCCGGCAGCGAAGTAAAAGGCTACGAACACGATGGCGTCGGCAAGACGTCCTCGTTCCAGGCGGCTGAGAAGCCGGAGGAGCGTCAGCTCCACCGAGCGCTCAAGGGCCGACAGATTTCCATGATTGCCATCGGTGGTGCTCTGGGAACCGGTCTTATTATCGGTACCGGTTCGGGTCTGGCCAACGGTGGACCCGCATCCATCCTCATCTCGTACTCTGTGATGGGTTTCTGCTGCGCTGCTGTCATGTCTGCGCTCGGTGAGATGTCAACCTACATGCCGCACCCGCGAGGTTTTGCCGGCCATGCCACCCGCTTTGTTAGCGACGAGTTTGGTGTCGCTACCGGCTACAACTACCTCTTCAAGTATCTCGTCGTCACCGCCAACAACATCAACGCCGCCGCTCTCGTTATCCGCTACTGGAATGCCGACCTCTCCGGAGGTATCTGGATCGCCATCGTCACCGTCCTGATCATCGCTCTTAACTTTGGAGGACCCAAGTGGTTCGGCGAGGTCGAATTCTGGCTCTCGCTCGTAAAGATCATCACCATGACCGGACTTATCCTGCTCTTGCTGATCATCGACCTCGGTGGATCTCCTACGAAGGATCGCATCGGCTTCCGCTACTTCCAGGACGGTCTCGCATTCAGACCTTACCCCAAAACTTCGGGCCCCACGGGTCGATTTCTCGGCTTCTGGAGCACCATGGTCACAGCGCTCTTCGCATACACAGGTACCGAGCTGGTCGGTGTGACTGTTGGCGAAGCTGCTAACCCCAGGAAGTCCGTCCCTTCCGCCATTAAGAAAACGTTTTATCGTATTTTTTTCTTCTACATTTTGGGTTCGTATACGTAAAAGAAAAGGATGCGGAAGAATGCCGGGCCTCCTCAACGTCGAGAAGAGCGGTCATACGATCACTCGAGATGGAGGATCTGGTTCCGGAAGATGCGCCTTGGAGAAAACCTTGTTACTGACTTAATTCATTCACGTCTGGGGTTTCATTTCATTTTTCCCCTTTTTCTTCATTTCATATAGGCGCTCTTCTGGTGGGTATGGTTGTCCCCTCCAACGCACCCGAGCTGCTCGCCGCCAACAAGAAGGGAACCTCGGCCGCTGCCTCTCCTTTCGTCGTAGCCATCGTTAGGGCTCGCATTCGCGTCCTTCCGGACATCATCAACGCTGCAATTTTGATTTTCTGCATCTCCGCCGCCAACTCGGATCAGTACATCGCCGCTCGAACGCTCTACGGTTTGGCCATCGATGGCAAAGCGCCCAAGATCTTCCGCCGGGTGGACAAACGTGGTGTGCCATACGTTGCGCTTTCCGTGACCGCGTTGTTCTGCGCGCTGGCGTTTATCAACCTGGCCTCGGGAGGAGCTCAGACATTTTCGTACCTCGTGGCGTCGGTGACCATGTTTGGTGGATTGACGTGGATCTGCATCCTTGTCTCACACATCCACTTTATGAAGGCGATGAAGGCGCAGGGCATGGACCGATCCAGCTTGCCCTGGCAGGCACCGCTCCAGCCCTACAGCTCGTACATCGCCGTGGTGTTCACTAGCATCGTAGTTTTCTTCAAAGGTTGGAACTCCTTCCTCTTCAGTTTCAACTGGAGGACGTTCCTGACCAACTACATCGGATTGCCCATCTTCTTCTTCATCTTGATTGGTTGGAAGCTGTGGCACAGGACCAAGTTCATCAAGCCGGAGGAGGTTGATCTGCTGACGGATGTCAGGGAGTTCGACGAGCAGGATGAGTTGGTTTGGAAGCAGGACGAGGAGAAGGCCAAGGCCGAGGTGGAGGGTGCACCGGTCTGGAAGAAGGCTTGGGTGTACGCCAAGAACTGGTAAGGGAAGCTAAAGGAAGGGAAAGATTTTGCCAGGAAAGGTTTTGCTAGGAATAGTTTGTTGTTTAGATATGCTCCTTCTGGAATTTCAGGGTTCGCCTTCTTGTATTGCTGGTGCTGCGTGTGGTTGCGTGCAGAGTGCGAACGTCGAGGCTCTGCGACAGCGTGACAAAGCGGTTCTGGGCGTTGGAAGGCGTTGCAAGAGCTTACCGGCTTGGGCCTTCCATTCATTGGCGTGACGACAAAGGACTCGATCGGCCAGGACCGGAGATTCCGGTTCCACTCAACGTCGCTCCAAGGTTGTCACAGACCGTACTCACAGACACGTTTGCCGACATCTCTCGAAAAAGTCTGTCACACACAACACGCTTTCGGCAACGCCGATCAAGTAGACGAAAAGGTTGCGTTTATAGGGTCTGCTCAGATCCTAGAAGCAGCCCCAGCCGTGCCCTTTGCAATCCACTGTTCGTGTCTACTGCACAGCTCCCTGATGATATCCTCTTCCAACTCCTTCTCTCCTCCTTTCCCACCTCCCTCATTCACCTCATCCGGACTCGAGTCAGCCAGCCTCATCCAGGTTGCCGAAAACTCCTCTCCCTCGACGTGCAACCTCTCTACCGGTCTCTCCCCTCCTCGCTCCTCCGTCTTAGCAGCCGGAGTATTGGACAGCCTCTCAACAAACACCACCTCGAACTTTCTTCTATTCAGATCATTCCCAATGACCAACTGATGCCCATACCTTTGAAGCGCACCCACTGCTTTCGGAATCAACAGGTTCGGATCGGTCTCCAGCTTGAAGCTGACCAGATAGCCTTCCGGAACCCACTTCTCCACCATAGGTTTCAACACTTTGGGAACTTGATCCATCTCGATCACCAGCGAGCCTTTGCCAGATTGGATCTTGTGTTCGGGAACGTTGGTGGATGGGATGAAAAAGTCACTCACCGCCGCGGCGAGGTAGTACATTCCATTCCGGCCCAATGGTTGCATGACGCGGGACATTTCGCGTAGCAGCCAGAGGTAGTCGTTTACTGTGACGAAGGGGACGGTGTGGAGTAGTCCGGAGGTGCGTGCGTGATGGTAGGCCGAGAGGATGGGTCGAAGGTGGGCTACGTGCTGTTTGAGCACGGTGATGTTGTCTTCGCCGGAAGTCGAGGCGGGTGAATCGGTGTGTACGTGTGTCGCGGGGTCGGCGAGCAAGTCTAGGAACGGGTTGGTTGTGTGGCTGTAGTGCCGCGTATACGGAGCAAGTGAGTGTTGGCGACTCATAAAAATGACGGCATACCCAGCAGAGAGGAAGTACTCTGCTGATGTGGCGCCTCTAGTTCCTGCTGAAAAGTTGTCGAGGAACCGAACCACATTCTTCTCGAGCGGCACCGTCGTTCCTCCCGAAGTGACGAGGACCACACGACGCCCTTCTTTGATGTGTCTTTGGACGAACTCGGAGGCAGCTGATGATACTTCAGCGAGGTTGGAGGGGGCACTTTGGGTTTGGAAGAATCGATCGCTCGACCATTTCGGCGATGTAGACGACGACGCGGAAGGATCCGACATGGTATGTAGCTGCCTGCTCGCTGGTAGTCACCGAGGGACGGGCTTTGTATTGAAAAGATGCTGCCTTACTGTATGGATACGACGATTCTTTCTTCAATTGAAGGTTACGTGACTCGACCGCCAGCAAGCTTGACTTCGAGGCTGGTGAGAAGTTCGGACGTGCCGATGGAACGTGAGTCGTGAGGCAGCGCGGCCTGTTGACAAGCAAGCGTCTTCCGAGCAGCGTTGAGAGGAGTGTGACAAGCTCCGTGTGCGTATGAACAGCGTGCGGACGAGAGGTAAGCCGTGGAGAAGAATGTGAGGGGGCCAAATGGAAAGCAGAAAAATGACAAATCCGGCTCGTGCGCTGTGAGCCGTGGATGCGGGGATGTACCGAGACTGCCTTGCCAGTTCACATTTTCGTGGCTTTTCTCCATCAAATATTTGTGATGTCGGAAGCTCGAGAGAGGCGTGAGTGATTGACTGCACGGTGGCATTTCTTCTTGCGTCTCGGCGCTTGCAACTTGAGCTGCTACGTCGCGTTCTGAAAAGCTCGGATCTCGATTGTCGAGTGTGGCTTTGCTGTTTTGTCCATCTCTGCCCTGCTCAGCACTTCGACGCCTGCGCCCACGCTAGATTCAACTCTCTGCTGCCCTCCGTACATACCACGACCAGATCACTGCGCCACGAGTATCCGACGCCACTGTCATTCGCTCAATCACTGCATCATCGGGTAGGGCGAATCTGCCCGCAAATCGCATCTCGCAGCGGGATCGGAGTCCTCAACGACAAGATGCCTCGCAGAAAGATTGTCGACGCCGGTGCCCCCAGCACCTCCTCTGCTGCGACGGCGACACCATCACGGCGGCTCGGCTCCTCGGCTGCTCCAGAACGCTCGCCGTCGCCATCCTCCTCACTCGGTGCCGGCAGGGTCTCAAATCCACCCTCATCTCCGCACAAACCACCGCCCAGCTCCCGCACCAGGCTGCCCAACATTGCTCCTTACCCCGGCAATATGCCTGCCCGCGCACCGTCTCCCACGCTTTCGGACATCTCCACCTCCGGTTCCGAGGCCGAAGACGGCGCGCAAGCTGGTAGCAACCAACGTCTGCGCTCGGCTTCACCAGAAGGTGATGAGCTCGCTGCCGATGACTCTATCCGCGAACCCGCAGCCAGCACCGATGCCGAAGTCACCTGTCAATGGAACGACTGCGGCGAGACCTTCAACAGCCTCCAGCCGTTCATCGACCACCTGCATCACGAACACATCGGCATCCACAAGAGCAAGTACATGTGCGAATGGACCGGATGCATCCGCAAAGGCAAACCCCAGACCTCTCGCTTCGCACTGCTCAGTCATCTTCGAAGCCATACGGGAGAGAAGCCTTTCACATGTCCGAGACCCGAGTGCGACAAGAGCTTCACCCGCTCGGACGCGCTCAGCAAGCACATGCGCGTTCAGCATCAGATCATCACTCCTGGCTCGCGAAGGGCTGCAGCTTCATCATCAGCTGCGAACGAAGATGCGGCGGAAGACGCGTCGCTGCTCGGCGGCGAAGCGGCGGATTCGGCTACGCCCTCTGGCAAGGTGGGTGCGTCGGGAGCGACGGGAGACTCTTTGGGAGACGAGTTGCTCGAGCTCGCTGGTGGAGAGGGAGCCGAGTTCGGGTTGTCCGGTGGAGCAGGTGGTGACGGCAACTTGAACACCATGACGGCGGAAGAGCTAGGGATTCAGGCTCGCGTCGAGATCCAGAGCAACTCGGAAGAAGCCAAACGAAGCGAAGCGATCCTCGGACGAGCACTCCGGACGTGGGCCAAGGACATGCGAGAGCGAGAACGCAATCGCAAACTGCGCGATCCACCACCATCATCGCGTCCACGCAACGGCGTCGACAACGTCGAGGAAGCCGCCAACGGCTCCGCCGCCAAACGTGCCCGAGCCAACGACTACGACAGCGACTCTGGCGATTCCATGCCGGACGTATCCGACCTGCGACGATCGCGACGCAGTGCACGCGCCTCATCCTCCACCGCCAACGGCTCCACCTCGCGCCGTCGCCGATCCTCGCGCTTCCCCGCCGACGATGACCCAGACTCGCCGACGGAACCCACCCTGGAAGCGGCGCAATCGTCCATCCGCACCGCGCGCACGCGCTACCTCGTCGAGAAGGCCAAACTGCAGCACATCCGTTCCGAAAACTCGCGTCTTCACACTCTTCTTCAAGAACTCGAGGCCGAACAGTCGGCGGTGCAACGTCAGTGCACCGCGGCGTTGGAACAGGCGCTCGTGTTCGAATTGGGCGCAGACGTGGATGCGATCTTTACACCTCCGGCATCGCCCAAGCCGGCATTGGAGGAGGCGAGGAACCAAGTGGTGGAGGACGAGGTGGTGGGTTAGGGGGAAATGTTTGTCGAACGTGCTGGGTTAAATGGGTCCAAAGAGCTGAGATTTTCAAGCGGTTCCATTCTCGTATTGTCTGTGTGTGATCGCGTGCGGTGTTTGTGTGAACCGCTCAGAGTGGGCGAACAAAGTTGAAGCAGCAAAACGAGGGAGAACACCAGACATCTTGCCTCCCTTCCTCCCTCCCGCGCATGTCTCGAGTTTCGCACCTTGCGTTAGGTGGCCCCGATGCCGACCCTTTGTCCCAGTCGAAGTAAGCGAAAAAAACTCGAGCAGGGACCAGCCTATGGACGTCATATCGAATCAGATCCCCTCACCACCCCGTGCACACAATCGGTGGACTCTTGATACCAGCAATACAGGCGCAGCTTTCCCGATCAAAGGCCGGTAAAAATATAGAATACGCTCAGTAGATAAAGTAAATAAGTTACAAATGTCCCCTGGGAAAGGGTATAAATCTAGGCCTCTGAAACGCGTCGACAACGATGATCAAGAAAACGGCATTGCGCTATCTCAGAAGTCCTCTCCCCTTGCAGACCCTCGGTTCACTGTCGATCAAACGTCCATCGATCGACCTTGGTCGGAGTCCTCAACCCCCTCGCACAGTCGAGACCGGCAAACCTCGCGGTGCTCGGCGGCTGAGGGCTGGGGGAAACATTGACGAAATCCGCATAGCTGAACGTCTGCTCGCCTCCCGGTGCACCTGGTGTCTCGCCGCCACCTCCGAACTCGCGCGTGATGCTTCGTCGTCGTTTGTGCGATAGCTCCGGCGGAGGTGTGCGTGGGGACGTCGGGGTGACGGTGGTGGAGGACCGACGTTGTTGGATGTACTCGTGTGCGTTGGCCGAGGGCTTGCTGGGTGTAGATGAGAGCGTTTGGACGTCGAAACCCAACCCCACCATCGCTTCGTCGTGAGGTTTCGACAGCTTTCGTGCCGAAGGCGGCGGAGTCAAAGGACCAGCGAAGCTCAAATTCGTATGCCTCGGTCCTCCTGCATGGCTCTGCATCCTACTCCGCCTTCCATCACCACTGCCGTTGCTGCTCTGGAACGGATCCCACAACGAAACCTGCGCAGGCGTAGATAGCATTCCACCCGCCTCCCCCGCATCTCCATCCCCACTAAACCGCTTGATCGAAGACGGCGATGGACTGGACGCCAGGAACAAGAGGTAATCCGCCGCCGCTCGGTCTTCTTCACCTTGCGCGGCGGGCGTGTCGTCTTGCGCCCTGCTGATGCTCTCCTGCTCGTCCTGCAGGTCGACGGGTAGTACGTTCCACGAGACGTTACGCTTGTGCCTCTTATGGCCGTGTGGCTGGGCGAAGGTGCTGTTGCGTCGGATGGATGGGCTGGCGAACCCGATCCCCAGACCCTGCTGCTGCTTTGCCGAAGGCGGAGGGGGTGTGTGCGGTCGATCGCTACCGGAACTGGAATCCGAGCCGCTGCTGGCGGCATTCCTCGCCTCGGCCAGCGCAGCCAACGTGCTCGCAACGCGATCCCGCTCCACCTGATCCTGCTCACCACCCAACGGTTGAGGTTGGATCGCAAACACGTGTCGACCCGACGCATGGCGCGAGCGAGGCGTACGCGGCGCAGTCAGGCCCAAATCCTGCGCAAGCGAAGACGCCGGGTGACCGTTGGGGAGGAACCCGCTGCTCTGCATTCGAGATCGGCGAGGGGTGTTGAGCAGAGGGTTGGTCGGGGAGGCGTTGTTGCTCTCCTCCCTGCGACGTTTGGAGGGCGATCCGGTGGGCAGTGCGAAGGGTTGCCCGGTAGCCAGCTTGGTTTCGTGTGCTACCATGGCTGGGGTGGGGTTGTTGTGCCAGTCGAAGCGACCGTTCTTCCTCTCTGGCGATCCGAGCTGGGGTGATGACGCCGCTTTGTCGAGCAGAGAGCGGGTGGAGGTGGAGGTTGACGTGGTGTTGGAAGAAGAAGAGGCACGTTTCGTCGGTGTAGAGGTGGAAGCGAAGGAAGTGGCACGAGACAACCCCTTGGAAGAGGACGGCGTGGTGGTGGTGGAGGAGGCACGAAAGTCGGTGCCAAAGATGTCGAGGTAGATAGATCGGGTGGAGCGAGTCGACGACTGCGAGGAAGAAGGCAGCGACTCTCCTTGAGATAGTGCTGGTGTAGACGCCGGTGAAGAGCTGGTGTGTGGTTGATCTACGATCTGATTGTTGGATGCGAGACTCGGTGCCAGTGGTTGTACGGGAGTAAGTGTGGATGATGTGAGGTCCGAGAGCGACGTCTTGCCGACACCGTTCAACGCCTTGAACGAGGCAAACTGGAGCCGTGTGCGCAGAGCATGTGCATAGATCTCGACTTCGTGCCGTCTTGGTCTCGCAGCGTCAAGGCTGCTCGATGATGTCGTCGCCATGGTAATGTCAGCGACCCGGGCGATGTGTCTACGATCCGGTATAGACGGTTGGAGTGGTTCGAGCTCGTCGATGGTGTTGCTGTTGTGGAACGATGATGGTGGACGAGCGAATGTATCGAGTAGAGATGGATGAGGGTGCGGGTGACTGCAGGGTCTGATGTGATCTTAGGGGGATGGTGGTGGTTATGGCGGTGGAGGTGATGATAGCGAGGGAAAGCACAAGTGCGGAACGCGGGATGATACCCAAATACTGGTAAAGTGATTGGGTGTGTCCTGAGATGCGCGATGCGGAAACTGAGCAAGTCTGTCACACTGTCGCACAGAGTGTCACAGCAACACTGTACTCTGTGCAGCCCTGTGCTTGTGCAGCTTAGAGAGAGGAGGAGACTGAAAAAAAAATTGCCGAACGCAGGTGTGCAGCCTAAAGTTTTTCGGATGCGTTTCAATCCACCCACACCTTGTTGAGCGGAAGTGTGTCACGGTGCGCCTTCTTTTTTTTTTTTTTTTCTCCCATCAACTTTCACTTTTCGGTTGTTG